AGTGCTCTTTGTCCTGGGAGCACAATCCCCATAAGGAGGCATAGTGGTGGCATTTTCGTGTTGTGAGGATGTCTTTCAACACCAGGGGCTGGCAAACTTGTTAGGACTGAAGGTGAGATGATTGAAACCCAGTACACAGCAATTCTAGAAGGATCTGGAACTGTGGCATAGATTTATTCTCAGGCAGAATATTTACCCTAAACACACAGCCAAAGTAACACTTAGAATGGTATAAAAACACAAACCTGAATATCTTAGAATGATTCAGTGAAAACTCAAACTGACAATCTGTGACAAGATATAAAAGTTGCTGTTCTCAAGTGTCCCCATCCAGTATGACAGAGCTGGAAGCAATAGTGCCACGAAGAATAGGCAAAAATAGCAGAATTCAGATGTGCAAAGCCGAGAGACTTATGCAAGAAGAATTTACCATATATCTGTAACTGCTACAATATTGACTCAGGAAATATGTTCTCATACAACCAAATGTCACTTTGTTTATTTAATTTTGTGCCATAATGGAGCCTCCAGTGGCTCAACAAGTTAAACTACTGGGCTGTTAAACTTGCTGACCGAAAGGTTGGTGGTTCGAATCCAGGGAGCGGGATGAGCTCTGGCTGTTAACCCCAGCTTCTTCCAACCTAGCAGTTCAAAAACATGCAAATGTGAGTAGAGCAATAGGTACGCTTCGGCGGGAAGGTAATGGTGCTCCATGCAGTCGGGCTGACCACATGACCTTGAAGGTGTCTATTGACAATGCCGGTTCTTTGGCTTAAAAATGGGGATGAGCACTAACCCCCAGAGTCGGACATGACTAGACTTAATGTCAAGGGGAAACCTTTACCGTTAATGAAAATATATTGCATTGATTAATTATTGAGTATCTTGGGTAAATCAAGTCGTAACTATGTCAGTTAAATCTATTTATTTATTGTAACACAATAAAAAGTGAAAAAGGTGGGAGAGGAATTCTTCTGCAAGGCACTGTATTCTGTATATAAAAGAGGGAAAAGAATGTCAGCCATACACTTTAAAATGTAGATAATTGCTTTTCAAGCCATCTAATTTGGGGAACCGGTAATTATTTTTTTACATTGTGCCAGTGACCAGTGCTGTATTTTTATCTATTGGTTACAATTGCTTTTGTATTTCCTGGAAACTTGCCTGGTACTGGCTCCAGCTCAGGGATACGCCCTTTGAGTAACACTGAAGTAGATTTTTCGTTTAGAGTGCGTGGGAGGGAGGAATGGAGAGAAAGAAGTCTACCTGTGACTGTTTTTTTAATTGAAGAAGTGAACCCTATGACCACAAGGAGGAGGTCGGAAAAAATGACTCTTGAATCAGCAGTCCCTGATGTTGTTGTTGTTGTTCATTCGTTCAGTCGTCTCCGACTCTTCGTGACCTCATGGACCAGCCCACGCCAGAGCTCCCTGTCGGCCGTTACCACCCCCAGCTCCTCAAGGTCAGTCCAGTCACTTCAAGGATGCCATCCATCCATCTTGCCCCTGGTCGGCCCCTCTTCCTTTTGCCTTCCACTTTCCCCAGCATAATTGACTTCTCTAGGCTTTCCTGTCTCCTCATGATGTGGCCAAAGTACTTCAACTTTGTCTCTAGTATCTTTCCCTCCAGTGAGCAGTCGGGCTTTATTTCCTGGAGGATGGACTGGTTGGATCTTCTCGCAGTCCAAGGCACTCTCAGCACTTTCCTCCAACACCACAGCTCAAAAGCATCGATCTTCCTTCGCTCAGCCTCCCTAAGGTCCAGCTCTCACATCCGTAGGTTACTACAGGGAATACCATGGCTTTGACTAGGCGGATCTTTGTTGCCAGTGATGTCTCTACTCTTCACTATTTTATCGAGACTGGACATTGCTCTCCTCCCAAGAAGTAAGCGTCTTCTGATTTCCTGGCCACAGTCTGCATCTGCAGTCACCTTTGCACCTAGAAATACAAAGTCTGTCACGGCCTCCCTGATGTTATGCAAAGTTTAAAAGGCTAGTGCGAGTGCTTCAATGATATATGGCTTTTTTTCTTTTCAGAAAAAGAAAATATCAGCCCACTACCATGTCCTTTCATCATTAGATTTTTTAAATATATTTCTAGACATTCTGGACTAACGAACTCTAACAGTCTAAGTCCTGTTATATCATCACTAAACATGCATTTTCTGTACTAAATGTTTAGTCCTATAGTAGCTGAAGTATTTAGTTTTGGGTTGTTGTTTAGCTTAAAGTAGCAAAATTGTAACTCTGAAGTTGGATACTGTGATCAGGATACAGCTGTTGTATTTCAGTCTTTCTTTTTCTTCCTCCCTCTCTCTTTGCCAAATTTTCTTTTTTTCTGTGGAGTTTTCAGGATAACGTGAAAGTATATCTTATCTACACAGTTCTTGCTTTCTGCCAAATACGTTGGCTTTTGAGTACAATAAATCTATTTACTTATTTTGTTATAATAATAATATTAATAATAACACTTTATTTGTACCCCGCTACCATCTCCCCAAGGGACTCGGTGTGGCTTACATGACGCCGAGCTCACAATACAACAACAAGAACAATAGCAATAATAATACAAACAATAAATAAACTCATAAACAGAAAATAGCAATAAACATTAACAATAACACAGCGACGTTTAAAAACCTATGGCAGGGCCAATGTACTAATTAACAATTTAAAAAATAATGCTGGGCATGACCCGGTGACATATAAACAGGATAGAAATTTTGGAGAGGGATAGAGCATGTAGATAATCCTAGATCACTAAAAAGTGCATTTAGGGACATATTGCTGGGAGTTCCTTATTCTGGGAAGGCACACTGGAACAACCACGTTTTCAGGCTCCTCCTAAAGACTGCCAGCGTTGGGGCATGTCTGATGTCCCTGGGGAGTGAGTTCCAGAGTCGAGGGGCCACCACCGAGAAGGCCCTGTCCCTCGTCCCCACCAGTCGCGCTTGCGATGGAGGCGGGAGCACGAGCAGGGCCTCTCCAGATGATCGAAGAGATCATGTGGGTTCGTACACAGTGATGCGGTCACACAGGTAGGTGGGTCCCAAAACGTTTAGGGCTTTGTAGGTAAGCACCTGCACCTTGAATTGGGACTGGAAAATGAACGTCAGCCAATGGAGCTCCTTAAACAGGAGGGTTGACCGCTCCCTGTAAGGAACACCAGTTAACAACCTGGCCGCCGCTCGTTGGACCAATTGAAATTTCCGGGCCGTTTTCAAGGGTAGCCCCACGTAGAGTGCGTTACAGTAATCCAATCTGGAGGTGACTAAGGCATGGACCACTCTGGCCAGATCCGCCTTCACGAGGTACGGTCGCAGTTGGTGCATGAGTCTTAATTGTGCAAAGGCCCTCCCGGCCACCGCCGACGCCTGAGCTTCAAGCGTCAGTGATGAGTCCGGGAGGACACCCAAACTGCGGACCTGTGACTTCAGGGGGAGTGCAACCCCGTCCAACAGAGGTTGCCACCCTATACCCCGATCTGGTTTACGATCAACCAGGAGGACCTCTGTCTTGTCGGGATTGATCCTCAGCTTGTTCCCCCTCATCCAGACCGCCACAGCGGCCAGGCACTCGTCCAGCACCTGAGGGGCTTCCTTGGAATTAGGTGGAAAAGAGTAGTAGAGTTGCGTGCCATCCGCGTAGAGATGGCACCCAACTCCAAAACTCCGGATGACCTCTCCCAGCGGTTTCATGTAGATGTTGAAAAACATGGGAGACAGAATGGAACCTTTTGTTTGAGTAAATACCAGAGATAATGCAAAAGGCTGTTTTTTCTGATCCTTAAAAAAGAAAGAATTTCTAAATGTGATTGAGCAGAATAGATCATTCCAATTTGAAATACAGAAGATTGTTGCTTCCATCCAATACTGACCAGTACTCTAAATGTCCAACACGTCCAGTGACTTTTTTTAATGACCATGTTCTGTTAAAGTCAATTTGATTCTGCACTTGTAAGAATGACAAGCAGTGTAATTCCATGTGAATAACACTGTTACATAAGCCAAGGCATTCTCATGAATTCGTAAAATTCAACTATTTTGCTTTAGGTGCAGGTTGGAAGGCAGCCAATGGGACACTAAACACTTTTAGTCTAGTTTTCTTAAGTGATGATAAGTTGAAGAATAGGAATAGTCATAGTCAAAGCCTGTTGTGAGGCAGCAGATAATGAAAGAGAATACAGTAGTCTCACTTTTCTAACCGTTCATCCAACGTTCTGTATTATCCAACACAGTCTGTCTGCCTCCCACCCGGATCCACAGCTGTTTCAATACATTGTGATGTTTTGGTACTAAATTCGTAAATACAGTAATTACTACAGAACGTTACCATGTATTGAACTGCTCTTTCTGTTGATTTGTTGTAAAACATGATGTTTTGGTGTTTAATTTGTAAAATCATAACATAATTTGACGTTTAATAGGCTTTTCCTTAATCCCTCCTTATTATCCAGCATTTTCACTTATCCAATGTTCTGCCAGCCCATTTATGTTGGATAAGCGAGATTCTACTGTACAATTAACTGATGAGAATCCCTAAGTTCAGATTTGTATTTATGTTTGAGAAAGTTCTCTCGCCAGAACTATACTGCTTCTGTTTCTTTCCTTTACTTCACTGTCAAGTTTGACATATAGACTTTAAACTGTAAATCAACACTGGCTACAAAAAAAGTGAATGGGAATGATGGTAGATGCTGTTTAGTATAGTTGATCAATGGATAGCAGAGTTCCATAAATATGTCATTTGATATCTCCCCCTCTATTCAGTTGACCATGGGTGCTTAATTTTACTGCTGAGGAAGTTCATTAAAGTATCTAATCAGGGCTGCCTTTTTTGGGAGTATTATTTGCTAATTGAAATACAAATACAAATTTAAATACAAATAACATGGTTTTGAGGCCCACAGATTGCTGGATGTCATCATGTAGAGAACATCTAAACATGTCAAACTTTTTAATGCTTGTAATCTGACTTTTTCTCTCTTCCTCTCTTGCAGTATCTTGGACATGTGGAGGTAGATGAATCAAGAGGAATGCATATATGTGAAGATGCTGTCAAGAGACTGAAAGCTGTATGTATACTTAGTAGAATATTATCATTATCATTATGCCCATAGTTGAAAAAAAATCTTAATAATACTGTCTGTTTAGAGGAGAGTGGAAACATAGGTCATGTTTGTGATAGCTTTCCCATAAAATGTACAAACAATATTGAAATACTTTATTTATTGCTGAAAAAAATCTTTATTTGAAATATGTTAGTTATTTCTTTTTAAGTTTATCACTTGGTCCTTTTTTTAAAAAAGCAGGGTTACTTTCGGCATAGTAATTATCCTTTCTCCATGTGATATACATTAGGACTGTTGCATCCCACATGTTTGTGTTAGAGTTATGGGGCAGTTTCTGACCTTTATGTTTGTTTCCAATGATGAATGAAGACTGAGGTGGGTGGGATCCATCTTTCTCAAAGAGTTGTAAAGTCTATATTCCTCAAGATTAAAGAAAAAAAAGTCACAAATATTTTGCGATTGGAACACTTGACTAACTGGAGACCCAACAACAGTAGAGAATCTTAATTGAAAATGGTACTGCCAAATAGTGAAAATTCCATGGCATTTTAATTTTAAGTTATGTTCCATGGAGTTCTAACTCAAATGCTTTGTTTCTTCACCCTGAAATATTAAAAATTGCAATTTAATATTTACCCTTAATATCTTACTTGAAATATAGTTTTGTAGAGTGAACTTCCATTTTCACAGGACAACAACATATCTTACAATAAAGTAGGCCAGGTTTTTTTTTCTCAAAACAAAGCATACGTCATTTACAGGCAGCTGATTCTAGATGTATTTTTTAGGTGTAGCGAAATCATGTTGTCAAAACAGACTGACGTGTTTAATAAGCTGTTAAGTGGTTGAACCTGATTTACCTCATCTCCTTCCTCCCCCCTTTCCAATACAGCTGTAGAAACTGTAGTGTCCTTTTCTGGCTACAGTAAAAATCATTCGGATCTACTGCATATTTCAGATTTATTTTTTAAAATACGTGCTGTAATACCCCCCATTATAAAATCATTGTTTTTCTTCTTTCTTTTATAGGGATACTCTGTCTTTTCCTTTCAGATATGGACACAAACTTATATCCAGGCTCATTGGAGGAGTGGGGTGGGTGGGAACAGTTGAGTTCATACATTTTTGTTGCTACCTGCAGCCTGAATATGGCACAGTTCTATTGGGCTTATTCCTAACAGTACTTTGAATAGCATGATTTGACTTTTTAGCATACTGCAAAGTGTACTAATCAATTTTGGAAAGGAAATATGTCTGCTCAAATGACATTAATTTAACCCTAACACTTTGTGCTAAGTGCTTGAACGCTCAGCTATATTGGACCCTGTTAAGAGTGAAGACATGCCAGATTTTCAAGGGCAGGTAGCTAGGTTAACTCCTTAAAAATGGTGGCATGCCATAGAATGGCGCATCTTAAAATGTGAGTAAGAAACCTAACCTGTAGTAAAGAGACTGCAAATAGAACAGAGGATCTTTCGAATTAGATGTCACATGCAGCTATAGGCCTATAGCTATATAGCTGTTGAATGATAACACAAATAGCTCTTCTGCCTGTTAAAAAATGTGTGCGCAGTTTGAGTGTCTAAGCTGAGTTTACATTGGAATAATGCTTTTCTGGTGATTTAGAAAGTATATAATCTGTCCCAAGATCAATATGATCACGTAATATCAATGTAATTTCAAGTGCAATCTCCTCAAATAGGTTTTAAAATAAGATTTTGTGGGACACAAATTCATTATTGGCAAGACAGAGGCAATTTTTCTCATGTCTTAAAAATATATATTCTACCTCCAATAACTAAGTGGGAAGTTCCTTGTCCCTTGTCTCCATTCTTTCTGATTTGGTTAAAATTATCTTCAGTATTAGTGTCTTAACATGTCATTTTATTTTGTTTGCAAATATGATACATTTTTAATATGTGTTCTTGTTTTAGCAGGTAAAAGGCACATAACTTAATTGTGTTTAAAACATTAGTGATATGTCTGGATATTAACCTTCATAGCTTTTCTAAAATTCATTTTGCATGCTCTGTATCACTAACATCTCTGAAATATTTAAATTACTCCCTGTTAACACTTTCTGAAAATGAAACTAATGATAGTCTCCTAAACCAGGTAGCTTACTATGAACCCCCTGAGTTCTGGCCCATCCTTTGAAGACTGATTATATTGATATGTAATGCTGAACTTGGCAGTGGTGACAGTCAGCTTTTTCTTTGTGATTGATTAGTTCTTCGGGCAATGTTAAATACCTCATCTAGGGTTATGCTGCTTAAGCTATCCTGAAAGCAAGTTTAACAATTTTAAGTCACTAATATCTGTTAGATATTTCACAACCTATGCCATGCACGCCAGAGGTTGACAGATGGCAGAGAAAAGGGGCATAACTGCTCTAGGAGCCCACTGTTGATTGTAGAATGGCTCAAATTCTCAGAGTCACACACAGATATGTGGTTGACAAGAGATGGTACATGGGAAAGAGGTACTTCTTGGAGGCTGCAGCAACTGCTGCCAACATATGGGAAGACATGTGCTGCACATTACCACCCTGAGTCCCCCTGGGGAAATAGGGCGGAATATAAATAAAGTTTTAGTGACTGAACGAATAAACAACAACAACAATTATTATTATGTTCTGAGTTGCTTTCCCCAAACGACCCCAAAACCTTGTTCCATAGATTTTTGTGAAGCAAAGACTTTCAGGCCAAAGTGCAAAAATGACTTGCTGCATCTTGGTCATCGCGTTGCAATTTAATGTGTTATTTGTCTCACATCCCCATCCCACTATTTAGTTACTGTTGTCTGTCTGGAAAAATATTTGGGCTGTGGTTTTTTTTGGGGTGGGGGAGGGGGGATTAGATGTAAAATATATTTTAAAGCTGACACTCATAAAATTCCATCAAAATTTGTAACATTCCCGATAGGTTTACCTGTGTATGTCCAATAATGATCATGTATTTCCTGTACAGACCAAGTGTGATACATTGCCTTTCAATTTTTAATAGAATCTTGAGGAAAGAACTCTTCAATGATGCAAATCGTCTCCTTGACAATTATTGCGTGGTTTTTATAGAAAGTGGGAAAGGACAATGTATAAAAACATCTCGTGGGCTTATTGCTTGAAAAACATTATCTCTGTTATGTGGAATTTCTTTAATGAAAGAATCCAGAATCTAAAAACAAAATTAACTTTGACATGATTGTCAACAGCATTTCCTACTGAGCCATCTTCTAAAATATTTTGGAAAACAATTGTGGAGAGTGTATGGGCTTAAGCAATTAACGTAGGTTTTTTGTTTTTTGAAATAATGACTGGAAAGATGAATCCTGCAGATTATTTGTCGTGTACTGGTTTGAGTGTTGGACTAAAATTCCAGGAGATCAGTATTCAGCTCTCCACTCAACCATAAAAACTCATTGGGTGATCTTGGGCAAGTGACACTCTCTCAGCTTCAGATGTTAGAGTGGTATGTCCAAACACTTCTTGCCAAGAAAGCCCCATGATAGTGCTGACATAATTCGGAAACAACCTGAAGGCACACACCAGCAAGAAAGTATTTTGGCTATGTAAATTATACCTCACAGTTATAAAACTTCATAATTTATCTGATGTGTTCATTTCAAGCCATCATCACTCTGTTTGGAATGTCTCCATGTCTGCTGCCAAGTTTTGCTTGTAACCTGACTAAAAGCTAATGGGATAAACAAAATGACAGAAACATTTTGCATGAAGTTGGGTCTGATTTTTCTTTTCCTCTTTCCACCGATTTCAGCACTTCAGTCTGTCCTAATTAAAGCCCCATGCAATGCCTTTTACTTGCATTTTCATGGGTCTTTTCCCATCTGCCTGCCACATTCTCTATGGACAACTCTAAACATTACCTGCTTTCCTTCCAATCCCCATTTTTGTATGTATATGTTGGTTTGAAACACTGGGACACTTTAGCTTCCTACAGTAATAGCGTTCGACTTGTCCCCCCTGTTCCTCCAGGAAAGGAAGTTCTTCAAAGGCTTCTTTGGAAAAGTAAGTTTAACGACTCATTGTGTTTACGCTATAAGGAGTTACATCCCTAGTATAGCAGTGCCATGTGTCAGAATGTCCCACAAAACTGGTTTCTCACTGCTGGGAGCTGCCAAACTTGTTTTCCGTGTATCTCTACCCCAAACTGTCTCACATTATTCAAGAGTATCATTTTGAGACTGGCCAAGCTACAGTGAAAGGGGTGTGTAGTTTGGTATCTGTTAAAGTTCATCACACTATAAATAAGGAAATTGTCAGGTTCTTTTTCAAGACTTTGTAAAATTTCCTACCTGCTTTTCTTTCCTCAAGATGGCTTATATGTACACAATTGTTAATGAAAGATATAGTTTCTTTAAAAAAAGCTAAAAAGAAAAATGTTAAAGACACTTAACAAGATAATAAACTGATAAAGCTATTAATTCCATGTTATATATAATGAACATCTTGGAAAAGCTGTATAGATTTCATTTGATCCCTGAAACATGATCAGTGAGTATGTTTTGGGAGAGAGGGGGAAAAAACCAAAAGATAAAGAAAGCAAATTAATTTTTAGATGTGGAAGAAATCCTTTATCACAGGAAACAATCCTATAATGAATCAAAAGTATGTATATGTGTGCACATTTTTATTTCTACTTATATTAACAGAAGTAGAGAACAGTTCTAGAAAAAGTTAATCCTATCCAAAACATTGCCTTAACAAGTTTAGTAATACTTCATATTAAGTGAAAAGCCCCTTGTTGTTTGGGAGAATCATTAACCATAGTTTAAACAGTTCTGAAGGATGAGGGCCTTTCTCTTGGTTGCTCAAACTTCCTCATATGACACACAAATCTTAGTTACCCTTGAGAGAGCATGCCTCTCCCACTCAGCTGCCAAAGAATGAAAAAAATAATTGGAGTGCCCCCCCCCATGATTGGAAGTATATCACATATCCTATACATTAAGTTAGATCATCCCAAACATATCCTCCAATTAGATGAAAATCTAATGTGTCATCCATACAGAAACTTAATTTTTGTTTACATAGATAAAGTTATGTAAGCAAGCTAAGCTGTGTGTTACTGGAGGAAGTTCATACTTGTAGGAAGTTCATACTTTTTCCCATAGAGAGTGATGAGATATTCACAGATTCTTTATAGTGTTCATTATTCTAAACAATTTAATATTCCCGAGCTTGAGTACCATAACTTGGGAACACTAAATAATGCAACCAACATTTAAAAATGAATTTAATATACTCTCCAGTATATTTAGGTAGAAATAGGTTACATTGTGTCCCTTGAAATCTACCTCAGTGTAAGTATACATAGGATTAGAGCTATCATTATTAAAATTGTACAACCATGGGAGAAATGTTGGTAGTGACATTTGTAATGACTGCACTAGGTAGGTAACTGTAAATCTCTCCCAAAAATAAATAATAGTTTCACTAAAATTTATATTGGACCAATAATAATAGTAATAATAATAATAACAACCATAACAATAACAATTTTATTTCTTACCTGGCTCTCCTCCTGGCTTGAGAAGGGTTACCACATCGCTAAAACACACACAATAATCTAAAACCATTCTACAAAATACACACAATAATAACAACAACAACAACAACTTTATTTTTATACCCTGCCTCTATCTCCTCGAAGGGACTTAGGGCGGCTTACATAGAGCCAAGCCCAGTCAACAGAGTTAAAACATAACACATTAAAATGCATAACATCAATAAAAACAACATAAAACAACATTATAACAATATATAAAATAAGCATCAAAACTAACAACCAATAGTATAATTCAAGTCTCTTTATGGGTGGGCTCAACAATTTAGAGGATAGGGCTAGTGAGTAAAGTGCATAGGTCATTTTAAAACATTTTTCTACAAAATACATATTTAAATACACAGAACAAAGATTGAACATAAGACACAAGTTAAACATTCGTGATTAAAACTGGCTGAGTAGCCCTGCCGAAAGAGATAGGTCTTAAAATGTGTTTTAAGTTCCGACAGCTGATGCAGCTGTTGGAAACTCTTTTGGCAGGTTGTTCCACATCAGGTGGCCAATGAAAAGGTCCCCTGTTGGAGTAGCTACCCCTCAGAGAACCTTATTGTTTGTGGTAGTTGTGGGAGATCCTATAGCTAACATGGATCCAAACCATGTAGGGCTTTAAGGCTCAAAACCAACACTTTGTGCTTTGCTGCATTTCAGCCTAATTTAGGATTTCTATGATGGTAAAGTGAGAGTGCACAGAGCCATATAGATGACCCTGGAGTAAAGGTGGGATATAAGTTTCAGTATCCCAGTAGCAGATACCCAAAGCTTGTCATATAAAGAACTTTAGTAAAACAATGACCTAACAGGTGTTGGTAATGGTGATCATCATCATCATCATCATCATCATCATCATCATCATCATCATCACTGTATATGGCACTTTATAAGTAAAAGACCAATAAATCTATCCCCCCCCCCCAAAAGGCCCCACACTTCTTTGTCTTAAGGCTAACAGATTAATGAAGGCCTGACACACCAACCTGATACTGCCTCTTCTGCTCTGGACAGTAGCAGTTGCAGCAGAGAGGACGGCCTTTCATCTGCCTCTGGGCCAAGTCATGATGGAATTAGATAGGTTGTAAATTGGTTTAGAGTAATTAGGCTTGTGCATGTTGAAATTTCATGGCATATATTGTGCTAGAATGGAACAAGTAGTTATCTTGTTTTGCTTAAAAAAACATTATTGTGCAGAAAATATAATTAATGAAGTTGGGCAGCCATTTGAGACATGTACTGTCTTTGTCCTATACTTCAAACAATAGGCCCTTTGTATGTGGGTAACCATAAATCTGTAGGAAACTGGTGTAGCTATTCACCCAAAGTAGCAATTTTTCAGATATCTACTAACGTCCACAATCCAGAAAACGATGTGGTAAGCTACCCATTTTTTAAGCTACATATTCCGTGTAGCATGCTGTGGTAGGAAATAGTTAACTTATACAGTATTTCATTCATATCATGCAGACCATTAAAATTGTAGAATGGTGTTTAAACCCTTGTGAAGTGTAATTGATTTGTTACATGTGGCTTTTATTCTTGCTCTGGAATACTTTGGCACACTTTGATATTAAATTAGCAATTGCAAATTTTAAAAGATTTCAAGTAATGGCATTCCAAAAATAATGCTGAGTTTAATTATACACCATATTTTAAATCTCCTTGCCACATGGGCAAACCCCACATTTAAAAACAATTGCAGCTTAAATCTATTAACTCTTCATAAATGTTTTCCTCTTTGAGTTGGTGTGCAGATGTGGAAGGCATCAAATTGAAGCTTCCTTTGTATGCTTATGCACTGAAATGTGTATGCTCTGAAGTTCTCAAGCCTACCTAGATTAGGAGAGTAGCATTTTAACCCAGTTGTAAAGGATTGCCTGACAAGAGAAAGCAGCAAGTAGGCTCTGTTCATGCACCATTAGGAATTATTTGCTGGCACTGGGAATTGTGTAGGCTGAAGTGTTAATCATATTGTCCAAGCCAACAAAAGGCCAGTTACTCATTTGAAGACTTGGTGTTTTGTCCACTTTTTCTGTCAGCTGAAATCCATTTTCATCTATGGCAGGCATCCTCAGATCTCCTGTGAGATCTGTTGGAAACTAGGCAAGTGAGGTTTATATATCTGTGGAACGTCCAGGGTGGGAGAAAGAACTTTAGTCTTTCTCCTACCCTGGACGTTCCACAGAAGTTGTGAGGTTTCCAACACACCTCACAACCTCTGAGGATGCCTGCCATAGATGTGGGCAAAACTTCAAGAGAGAATGCTTCTGGAACGTAGCCATACAGCCTGAAAAATTCACAGTAACCCAGTGATTCCGACCATGAAATCCTTCGACTATACTTTAAGACACATCACTTAATATTAAGTATATTGATTACTTGCACTGGCTCTGAGCCCCTCAGAAGGAACACATTGTGTCCCTAAAGGACTAGCAGTGCCATACATGATGGTCAGTTGTTCTGTGATTCTGTTGTATGATATGAGCATAGACAGTTGGGGTGATAGGGAAGACAAAGCAAGAATGTTCCTTGCTGGAAGTTGCAGCAAACGCTACTTGTGGTGTAACTCCTTAAGCGTTGGCATTAACTGACAGTGTATTTGGTGTTAAAATGGGTAAAGAATTTAAGCTTGAATTCTTTGCCTTTTTCTGAATTTATTAACATACTTTATTCATGCTGTTCTTTCCCTCTTATTTTTGCATTGTGTTTTTGAAAGACTGGCTTCGGTTTGACTCTCTGGAGGTTTTGTTGTTTGGTCTGAATATCTGGCTTTGGGCGCTCCTACTGAAGTTGGATATCTGCACAGTGACTTTTGTGCTTCTTGGAAAGAGGAAATCGGCAAGCAGCCTGATGGACAACATAATAGTAATGTTGTGTTTCTTTTTCCTTCCCTGAAAGAGTGGAAAGAAGGCAGTTAAAGCAGTCCTGTGGGTTTCAGCGGATGGACTCAGAGTTGTTGATGAGAAAACAAAGGTTAGCCACTGCTTGGTTTGGATCCTTCACTGATTAAACTAAATATACAATATGGAATGATGTAATTTTTATTGCTTCTTTTAGTAAAGCATGTTAAAATGTTATATGTGCTGGAGGCCAACTCCTGAAATGTTGTATGGCTCAGTTCAAAATGTTGGTTTTACTTAGGCTGTTTATATCTTTATGTATTTTCTAAGTAAATAACAGTGTGCCCTCAATTCCTGTTTGATCTCATTGCTCAAAAATTCATTTGTCTCAGCCAAAAAAAAGTCAGAAGGAAAACACAAAAAATAATGGTGATTATCTCTCTGCCTTTGTAAAATGATTGCAAGAGATCATAGTGTATATAGAAATATGTATTATTGATGTCAATTCTTTTTCACTGTGTTTTCAATTAATGCCATGAGAAATTATTAAGATCTGTAAGGAAGATACAACTCTTAAAGTTCTTCAACCAAGTAATTCTCAGTCATGGTTTCCACTCCAAGCTTTAGAATGCCTCTAGAAATTTATTGAGGTGAAACAAAAAGCTTATTTAATTCATGCATATCTTTTATATGTGAACATTTCCCCCAGTGGATGTGTCTTGTTAGTTTATTTTGCTTTCCCTGATCCTGGTTTTAATTCAAAAGCATCTAATTGTGTGATGATTTACATGTCCTGCTTTGTCAGAAGGTTTTATTTGAAGACCAGCAAGAATTACACATCTTACATTTCACTCAGTTTATTACTAAACACAAAATTTACATTAAATTATCTTCTAGACAGTTGGAAGTGTTGCCATTGATATGGTAGGATGGACTATGCTTTCCCCTTTTTCAGAATAGTGATAAGTAGAAGTAATTGTAGAGGGCGAATAATAGATGCAGCCGGCACTTTGTGTAAGGACAGGAGGAGTAAGTATTATATTGCATCATGTAGTACATAACATGATGTAGGCCAGCTACAATATTTGGAACAATACAGATAATGGAACTATGTCCTTTTTCTGCTTTGTGTTCTTTCAAAGAAGATATGCTGAAGCTGAAGGACAGCTTTAAAAATGATATATCTTTGACTCTGATGAGACTGTGCTGGCAATGATTGGATATATACAGGTGAAAGGTCTCCATTTGCAGGATTTCAGAACTCTCCAGAAAGTAGTCTAAAATGAACCAGAAAACTCCTGGTTTAGATTTAGGTTCCGAAGTTGCTAGGTAAGATGTTCAATTGTTTCAGAGCTTTATGTGCAATGTGATTGTACAGACGTATCACAAGTTCTGCCGAGGACCATTCCAGACATGTGATTTGTTTCCTTAGATATGCATTTTCAAGTTTGACTGAAAGGCAGTGGTAGAGCCTCCTTTTGTCATGAAATGTGATGTGTGGAGATGGTAGTGAAACCAAATAGACAGAAGCACATCACTTATTGAATTGCACCTATACCCCTCACCCCCCAGCTCACTACTGGTATTGGAGCAAGGATGATGAAGGGAATTAAAACATAGCTCAGGGATTAAGGCAAGGGAGTAGAAAAGATCTTACTCCTACTCACTTCTGAAATATTCTGTGTAATGATTGGTATTAACACGCACACCTCCCAACAGACATACAGAGACACTATAGCCAGGTTGCCAAGTGTATGTCAATAGACTATGCATGTTTATGTTTACCCTGAGAATGTCAAGCTCTTGAAGGCACAGAACTCCCAATTTAAATTTCAATCATGCTAGTTTATTTAATTTTTTTTGCTTTTGGTACACCTGCATGACATTTTTATAAACGACCTTTCCAGGACTGTTACTATTATGTCATTTAAATAATTTTCAAATGGAGTTAAACTTATCAACAACATTTCAGATCCTGGGGCTTCTTAATAAACCTGTCAGTTTTAATATTGCCGTAAACTAGTGGTGTTAATTTGTGGCTCTCCAAATGTTGTTGAATTACTCATCACATCATCACATGTATATATCCAATCATTTTTATGTGGCAAAGGGCCACACATTTTCTATCCCTGTACTTGATTTTAATAATATGCCCACTAATGTAAAAAATAAATCATAGCATTTCCCCTTTGTGGTTGGAAGCATCTGGTACAAAGTTCCAAACTTTGGAATTCCATCCATTGCAAATAAATCTTGAAATTATACGTTTTCAATAGGCATTTCAGCTACATCAATGTTTATATAGAGAGTGGTAGGCAGGCTCAGCACATCCATCTGTTAAGTCTGATAGCTAAGTCTAATGGATGCGAGAGAGGCAACTTTTGTATTAATGTGAATTAGGAACCCAGAGAGAGAGGTTTGGAAATATATACTTCTGCCATGATTTGAATCATGTATACTATCATATTGGGTTTTTTTTTCTTTTTCCTCTAGGACCTTATAGTTGATCAGACAATAGAGAAGGTTTCTTTCTGTGCTCCAGATAGGAATTTTGACAGAGCATTTTCTTATATTTGTCGAGATGGCACTACACGGCGCTGGATATGTCATTGCTTTATGGCTGTAAAGGACACGGTAAGATGTTTCTAGGATGACAAAAAAGCAACATTCCTCTTTCAAAGGGAATGGGGGGGGGGTAGGTCTTTTCATTGAAAAGGACATTTTAGTCTAACTATGATAGTTTTATTCGTCTAGAGAAACTTAGGTTTGTAAGCCGCCCTGAGAAGGGCGGGATAGAAATATTGGAAATAAATAAATAATAAATTATAGTAGTTTTCTTGTGGCAATCCCTTTGTTAAATGCAATGCATTTGTAAAGCTTAAGTCATATTTCAAACTGGAAACATTAAAATGTGCAGCTCTGTGTGTACAAAGGCAGAAGCAAATTATACTTGCATTAAATATTCTTGTAATGGGTTTCCTGTTATTGGGTTTTATAACAGCAATATTTCAGTCTGAGCTAGCTGGGCAGCATAATACTCATTATTTAAAAGGAGATATATAGTCAGTTGTTTTGTCTCTGTCTCTTTAGATGTTCAATACTGTGTGTCTTATGCATGCTTGTAATAGTTCCTCTGAATTTTCTTGATCAGATTGCCACAGGATGTTAGTATTGAGTCTTAGTTATCATTTGGCTGTGTCTAGAGGAGATGTAGTTCCGTTTTTTTGTTTCTAATTGACGCAATATCTTTTCAGGGAGAGAGGTTGAGTCATGCAGTTGGCTGTGCATTTGCAGCCTGCTTGGAGCGAAAGCAAAAAAGAGAGAAGGAGTGTGGGGTGACTGCCACCTTTGATGCAAGTAGAACCACATTCACAAGAGAAGGATCTTTCAGGGTTACTACAGCAACCGAACAAGCAGAAAGAGAGGATGTCATGAGACAGATACAGGATACTAAAGGTATTGAAATACAGGTCCAGTCACTTTGAATGTAGGCTGTTTTATTATGAAATTACTATTTTCTCTGACTACCATTTCACCTCCAGTACACCACATTTGTCCAATATCTCTTGTCCAATATTCAATTGCTGTATTAAAATATTAGTGGCCCCCATCTACACTGCCATAAAGTGCACATTGAAACTGCATTGTATGGTCAATACAGGCAGTCCCAAAGTTACAAACATCCAACTTACAAACAACTCATAGTTAAGAATTGAGGTGAGACAACAGGAAGTGAGAGAAATCTACCCCTCAGAAGGGAAATTCACTCCTGAAAGAGTTGCCATGGGGAAAAGGTATCTCTACTGAATCTTTCTCACCAATCCTTGTTTCTACAGCAAGCCAAAAGGTTCCACATCCAATTATCACAGTAACAGAAAATGAGGTGAAATTATCTGAAGAGGGCCACAGACAGCAATACAGGGGTGTTAATCCCTATGCTACTATCCAAAGCTTTTTATACATACATACATACATACATACATACATACATACATACGGCTGAACCTAAACTTTAAAAAATATACCTTTTCCGACCTAAATACAAATTCAACTTAAGAACAAACCTACAGGACCTGTCTTGTTCGTAACTTGGGGACTGCCTGTATAGGTTCATATGAGTCTACACTGACCATACAATAAAGTTTCAAACTGCATTATATGACAGTGTAGATGGAGCCAGTCAACCTCAGAACCAGATATTTTAATTATACAGGAATTCCCATGGAGTCATGTGAAGTGTTTCTTTCATGTTGTTTTTGCATTGCCAATATAAACTTCCATATTTCTATTTACCATCCAGAAAACTGTACCTTTTGCCAACACTGTAGATTGGTCTTACTGACCCAGCCAGGCTTTCTTTTCATAAATCAGGTCAGTTGTTACTTCATTATCCCAGAATGCTAGCAGTAACACTTTCAATGTCCAGTCCTCATCTTGATGATGAGACTGAAATATAAACCCTGTAGTGGCAACATCTGACCTATTTTTGGCTAAAGAAGATAGGATCCACCAAAATCTCCTAGGGAACTTTGTGTTCCACAGTTGCTCACAACTGCTCTAGGACATCCTAGTTTCTCTGATACCTCCCGCTTTCCTCTGGCTATTAAATTGCCATGGAAGAGGAGGAACATATGTCAGAAGAAAGTTAGCTTTGAGAATGTGGAGGTTGTTACACACTGATAGTAAATTCTTCCCTTCATGAAGACCATAAAATATACAGGCAGGAAAATATAGAGCATGATAATCCTAGTTCAGTGAATAGAGGTTGTGCCTCATACTTCCTGTTTGCAGTGGTTCCCAACCTTTGTGGCTCCAATTGTTTTTGCCTTCAACTCCCAGAAATCCTAACCAACTTATCAGTTGTTAGGAATTGTGGGAGCTGATGTCCAAAACAAAGGATGAAAGGTTGGAAACCACTGCTATAGAGAGATATGTCACATTGTCCATGCCAACATAATTTCTGCTGTCATATTTTTACATAGTTCCTTGGTTTTGGATTGTAGTCTCCAGTATATACATGCACACTGTAAGTTGTGCATAAGGCTATCATCCTACAAGTTTTAAAGGCACAATTAAAAAAATAAAGAGATTTACTCTTGAGTTACATCTCCAAATTTTATAGAAACCCAAGAATTGGATTTAAATAAGTCAAACAAAACATATCCTCAGTCTTGCGTTCATTTTAACTTCAGATAGAATGTTTGAAAGCAGTTAAGAAAAGGCTGGCAGTTCTTCAAGCGAAGGTACAAATATAGGTTGGGTATCCTTATCCAGAAATCTGAAATCCAAAATGGTCCAAAAGAATCCTCATTTGGCTGAAATAGGGACACTTTGCTTGATGCTTTGTTTCCTGCACCAAAATTGTTAAAACATTGTGTATAAATTACCTTCGGGCTATATGTATATGAAACATAAATTAATTAAAATGGGACTTGGGTCCCATTTGCAACATCTATGCAATTACAGGTATTCCAAAATCTGAAACAATGCAATTCTGGCCCTAAGCCTTTCAGATAACGGATGCTCATATCTCCTAGAATGTACAGAAACATTTTGATAATGGCTTGAATGTTTGCCAAGCTTACCTAGATAAAGGTTAAGTCAGTAATTAATCATCTTGACCACTGTGCATGTATTAATCATGATAAAAACACAATAGTCTATTTTGGTAGACATGAGCATTTTGGAACATTTTGTATTTTTATCAATTGTTTTAAATTTTAAACAATAAAGAGCTCTCCAAAGAGTGCTAGCAGTGTTTGCCCAGCCAGAGAAAGATCCTTTAACTAATATTACTGCTTTTCCTTTTTTTCTCACAGTTGAAGCAGATGTGAAAACAACTGTATCAACTGTTGTACTTGGCAACACAGCACCCTCCCCAAGTTCCCCCACTTCTCCAACGGCTGATGCTGCATCCTCTGCTGACAAAGAGTCAAATAACCCTCATGCCATCCCACGAAGACATGCTCCAATAGAGCAACTTGCAAGGCAAGGCTCTTTTAGAGGTTTTCCTGCTCTCAGCCAAAAGATGTCTCCATTTAAACGCCAGCTGTCCCTGAGAATTAATGAGTTGCCTTCAACAGTTCAAAGGAAGACTGACTTCCCCATGAAAAATTCAGGTGCGTGTTCTGTATTCGGTTACATTTTGAACTGGCTCACATTTGATAAAAGGTTCTATAGAAGCAATGTTATTTGTATAATTTATTGTTATTTATTTGAGACATGAAACATAATTTAAAGTATGTTCATATTGACATCTCAGATAATTGAAACAAGATAAAAACATATTAAGCAAAATGGCTGTTTAAGCCATTTTAAAAGCCATTAATATGTTTATACACTTTAAAATAGATTAGTTCCTAAAGGCTTTAATTAACAATATGTTTTGGTTTGGCACTGGAAAGAAACCAGTGTTGGTGCCAGTTGGACCTCAAAAAGGGAAGGCATTCCGTATTTGGGGTGCTATAATGCCTTTCTCCCCATGCCCTCTAACTTCACTTTGAGCAGGTACAGATGGGGAGAGACATTCCTTCACACTTGAAATATTATAAAACCTTTACAAATTAGCTTTATGTCATCATGTAATGACATTGCGATTTTAAAATAAACTTTCCTATTTATGAAGTTCTTTTGGATACTACCAGTACCTAGGCCTCACATTGTGATTAATAGCTATTAATATCTATTAACCACCTGAACAGGTGGAACTACATGGCGCCTGCTCAAAAGTGAAAATGTATGACTTGAGGAGTCAAACTGTTAGCATATTGTTACTCACATATGTTTACACAAAAGAGTGAAAGAAGCACCTGGTTGTTGCATGTGAGGGTTGCGAAGCTTTACTAAATTACAGCATTGTTACAATAGGTAAATGTGCCCAGAGGATATGTCATTAAAATGAACAAGGTATTTAACATCCTCCATGCCCAGTCCTCTATATTGGGCATGGCTGTGTTCTAGCTTTTCTCTTAACGTTTTTACCTTGGTTATGTGAAATAGTGGATGGAGTTTTCACTACCTACAGAAACCTTTACAAGAGTCACTGACAACACATTGGTTGTAAGATGTGTAGGGAGAAAAGACCTGTTAGATCCCCATAATAAATTGTCTACATATCTGTGCAATCTTTTTCTCCCTTTTAGTTCCTGAAGTCGAAGGAGAAGTGGATAGCATTAGTTCCCTCTGCTCCCAGATCACAAATGCATTTAGCACACCGTCAGAGGATCCTTTCTCCTCAGCACCTATGACAAAACCTGTCACTGTGGTTGCACCACAGTCTCCTGCTTTCCAAGGTCTGTCCCGTCAAAACAGGGGTGCATTTATGATGCTTTATATATATGCAGTGCTGCTTTCCTCTTGTGTCACCCATCATCTTAGTGTCTCAGATTGCCTTGCAGCTGTTTTCTTTTGCACTCAAAGTCATGTTATTTTAATTTGCTTTGTAGCCTTTCCCTCTGTTAACTTCCTGTTCAAATGACAATCCGTTCATCTATACACTCATTGTAGAGGAGGATTTTCTAGAAATAGAAGACTGCTTCTTTCAGATCTTAGTAGAACAATACTGTAAAGGAAGTGTAATATCTAGATTCATAGGTCTTTATCCTCCTAGGTCTTTGTTTTAGCCCACTAATAATAAAATAAGTGAAATTGTTTTTGGTTGGCTCTTCCTCACAATGGTCCAAAAGTTATTCCTCATTTGAAGGAAAGGGGGCTTTCAGTATTAATGTTAAGTAACTTTTTGTATATTTGGCCTCTTGTAAATGTAAAGCAGCAGCCTCTAAAATTTAACAGAGTCCAGTAAAGTATGCTACCTATATATTTTTTTGTTTTTTTAAATAAGGAAAAATATGCTAAGAAGGTCAGATTGTAGTAAATGCTCAGGTGGAATAAATTATAAGGACAGAATTGTTATAGCACCTCACAATTCAAACCACATTTTTCATGAAGCCTATGTGAATAGCAAAGTCACTCCCTTTGGCTTTGAAAGTGTGGTCAGAAGAACATGATTATAGTGTAATTAGTAGCTTTGATTTTCCAGTACACAGGAAGTAGTAAACTGTCTTGTTTAGGTTCAGGAAAACCAAACTACATTTGAGTATAAAATGTGGAAGCCATGTTAGCAGTATTCTGCTACATTGCTAATCGAAAGCTGTCCACATAGCTTCAAAGAGCCAGCAACAACAAAGATCTTCTGAGTCAAAGGCACTGTTTAAAATGTCTGTAGATTAATAACATGAGAATATAACCGAGTGGTGTTGTTGTGCGCTGCATGTTGGCAGTAACTGCATTTATTTTCACATCCCAGTCACCTGCATGCTTTGCATGAATTAACAGCATTGATGTTGTCTGCTCCCATTTTAGTCAATGGCACTGCCTCTGCGTTCAGTGTGCTTGCTGCTAAACCAACTCAAACTACTGTAGCACCCCCAGCAATACCAGTTCGGGAAACCAATCCTTGGGCTAATGCCCCTGCTGCTCCAGCGGTGGCTAAAACTGGAGCTGCAGGTCCTGTTTCTGGTAAGACTGGACACAGATCATGTGTGTTCCCTTTCGAAATTTGAAGCATGCGTTGCCAGTATTTCTTAGGTGTTTATAGTTTTTAATTTAAAGGTGTAACATGTTTGAGGGAAAGTAGCGAAAATTGTATAAGAGGCAAGTAGGTGGCAAAGTTACTTGAGACACACTTTCTTGCTTTATGAAGGGATTGGGCTTAAATGGATTTATGTATTTTAAGTCCAAGATTTTTCATTAACCAGGATACCTCTAATTTTAGCTATCCAATCCTTCAGAAAATCAAAACAGGCATAAGAGAGAAGACATGGAGCAAGTCTCCTGTGTGTGGTTTGGAAGTTACAGGATTCCTATTCTTGTGATAAAGCATCAGATGAGGGAAAGTTCAGTTATGAGTCATAACAGTAGAGCTTTTTATAAATCGCAAGTGCATATTCTCAGAGTTATGCATTTTCTATGCTGAAATATGCTATCCATTTACCTATTCATAGTATTCAAGAAAGGGATCTGTAAACCAAATGTAATACAGTTACACACATTGGCTTGAATCCTGTTGCTAGTTTTAATATTTTCTGTCAAGTTGAGCCAGCATAATATTCTGTGCATTTTATCCAGGGTTTTTGAGTGCATCATGCTGAAGTGGAAAACACTGGTGCAAATGCCACAGCATTGTTTAGACCTCTGCAAACTCTTCTTAACAGGACAAAATGACAAGTGGTGCATATACTGAAGACAGTGTTAATATTTTGCACATACAGGGTATTAAGCTAATCTGGTAGTTGAATAGTGTTCTTGCCTGTGTTTCAGTTCCAGAAATACATAAATCTGCCATTGCCTGAAAACCTTTTCCCCAGTGTCCACATTCTTGTCAATTCCTGTAACCCCGTATCCCCTGTATCTTGAATGAGGGGGCTGCAAATGTCTTCCCTCCTTTTGTAGTGTCCAAATTCCAAAGCTTCAATAGACATCTGTATCTTCCCTTCTACATTAACCGCAGTGACGAAATGAAATATTGTACCTCAGTTGCAAAATTATCTTGAAGCTGTGTCTCCCTCAGAGAGCTGTTATTAGAGATGGGGTGACCTTTAACCTTAACATCTCATCTTTTGTCCTAACATCTGCTTTCCTTCGCAGGTGCTGAGTGGAGTAGTGACTCAGGAGCCACCTCACCAATTGTATTCCAGGCGAACCACAGGCGCACTCCTTCAGAGGCAGACCGTTGGCTGGAGGAAGTATCCAAAACTGTCCGGTCGCAGCAGCCACAACCGCCGCCTCCAGCTCCTCAGCCCCTTCTGCAGCCTCCAGCTGCAGTTTCTCAGGCAGCGCCGACATTTCCAGTCAACACTTTTATTGCCCCTCCACCAGTCCCTGTTGGTGTGGTGCAGCCGATGCAGCCTGCATTTATTCCTCCTCCACCCTACGCTGTTGCAAACGGGATGCCCTATTCTGCTCCCAGTGTACCGGTGGTTGGCATCACTCCTTCCCAAATGGTAGCCAATGTCTTTGGCACTGCGAGCCACACACAAGTATCCCATTCTCATCAGTCACCCAGTCTTATAAAACAACAGACATTTCCTCAGTATGAAACTAACAGTGCTACTGCCAGCCCTTTCTTTAAGCCTCCTGGCCAGCAGCTCAATGGCTCAGCCGCATTCAATGGTGTGGACGCTGCCAAATGGCCGACAGAGGATAAGCATGTGCTGCCACCGGCAGCTGCCCATCAGGTTGACCCTTTTGAAGCACAGTGGGCAGCACTGGAGAGCAAATCGAAGCAGCGTACCAACCCATCTCCAACTAATCCTTTCTCAAGTGAATTACAGAAGACTTTTGAGATTGAACTTTAAGCAGTCCTGTGGCTTGTACTTCATGTGTGTGTGTGTGTTGGGATTGGATGTAAGGGGATATGAGGGCAGAGGGGACTTCTGAGTGGCATTGTCCAAATGCTGATGTCCCAGAGGAAACAGAGCAGGATTATGGAGAGGGAACAATCATGGAAAGAGGTTCCCATCCCCAGAGCAATTGTAAATTAATCTAGGAAATGTATCCCTTACCACTTGCTTCCTGCTTGGGAACTTAAATGGCAAAGGAACTGTTGAAAGGGCTGAAAATGGGAAGTGAGCCCTGAAGCCCTTTTCCCACAAGAAGCTCAAAAGACCTCATAAGACAAAGAGCAAGCTACTTACCACTGTCTTAAAGTGACCGGTTCCCCTGAGGGAAAACGAGGAATAATGGGGATGGAGGTACAGTGGTGAATGGGCTGATGGGGAAAACATGAAAGCTGCTCAGCACGTGCTGTCAATGAAAAAGGACGAGCTTCCATTTTGAGTGACACGTTGATTATTATATATAAAATAAAGCCAAAATCTTTATTTTTATGCATTTTAGATTATTTTAAATAGGTCTAGATATTAAAAGCTGAACGAGTTGTAAGTAATCTTGCCAAAGTTATAACGGGGTGGATGTAAAATTGTACATAAGATTGATTTATCACTGAATAATATGGGAATAGGGTGGGGAGCAGAGTTTCAAGCTTGTTCTTGTATGTTCATTGTAAGTAGCATATTGCAACAACAATCATGAGTCATGACCAATTAGAAATCATTGTAGAGTAGTTTATGAGCAGTATTGTCTTGGTTTGAAAACAATTGGTAAATTCTTTTCTTTTTAAGAAATCATAGTAGACGATATTACAGAACATATAGGTTCTTTCATGTACTGCTGCAGTTTTCTTGTCTTAAATCTGTTTTAATACTACTGTGACAACTATAATCAAATCTACAATCAGGTCTACTTAGGAACCCATTTTATGTGCATTTATTAGGTTTTATTTTATTATTTTTTTAAAAAAGCTTTTCCCCATCATTCTGTGTGAAAGTGTGTGGCTAGACTGCAGCTGTTTCATGTTCTTCCTCTGGTAAATCATGAAATCCATCTCATTTTAAATTTTACTCTTAAAACTTGGCCTTACAAGCAAATGTAAGTTATATATTTGTACTGATGATTTATAATCTGCTTTAACAGAAATAAATGTTGGTAGTAGACGATGTGGCTTTCTCAGGAAGCTTCCTTGTCCCTTTCCTGGTCTTCAGTCTTCTCTCAGCACAAGATCATTTGCCATATGCCTGGACTTCCAAACTCAGGGCAGGAGGCTAGTATCTATCTGGACTTTTCTGAGAAACGAATTACCAAAAGCAAGAAACTTGGAGGCTTTTGGAAAGCTTGCCCATGTGCTGCGAGTGCCACCTGTTGCTTCCTACGTGCTCTTTGCGTGGCTCTTCATCCGTCATACTCTGATCTTGCACTTGGCATTGGCTATTACACTACTCAGAAATGGCTCTGGAAATCAGGTTGTGCTTGTTTTAAGCAGCAATAGGAATATATGATCCTTCAGATGTTGAACTTCAGGTTACATTAGCTGTGGTGCCTAGCACGGGCAAAAGCTGGAATCTTACATTTGGAAGGCCACACATTTCACTTGTATGACTGTGTCCTAATTTGCAGTATGCTATAGTGCTGTGCACAAATAACCTCTTTCCTTGAGTCTGCACATACCTTCTAAAAATATAAATTTACAATGGGCTAATTTGACTGCTAATGTGAAAAGCCAGTCCTAGAATGGCTCCCTGTCCCCATATAGCACTTTGGAGTAACATATATATGGGTACCATCTAGTACATCATGGCTGGGGCTCATGGTGGGTACCACCTCCTGGAAAAAAAAAAGCATGTTCCTTTTGTCAAACCTGTACACTTCCTATTACTGTAAAGCAAGACTGGGGATTTTGGGCTCCAGCTGCCATCAGTCTGGTAGGAGCTGTAGTCCATCAACATTTAAACAGCTGCAGGCTCCCCACCCACGACTGCAAATGAGATTTCAGGGTAACATTTGATCCCAGAACCTCCACTAACATATCTGCTTTTGATAGGGCAAACTTTCTGCCTTTCCTCATCCATGGAAAACAAATCCTGAATATGAGAAGATATAACGTATCATGTTTTGTTCTGTTGATTGTTCTTTCCTGTTGTTCTTTGCTATGGTTGAAATACGCTGACATTAAATCTATTTTTTTGTTGAAAACCATGTGACCTAGTAGTTCCTATTTCAGTAAAAGATGTGTTGTTTTCTTGAACAGTGGCATTTCTCCTCCTAGAGATATAGAAGGCCCAGCAGTGCTATTGGCACTGTCTTGGTTGAACCCTAAATGTGTAACATCATGTTGTTTTTACTCCTTAAATAGGATTCATGATGGGTTCTGTTGAATGGGGTGCTCTGAATATTGCATTTTAAGTGGAGGCAGTTGATAAAATATTAATATAATTGAAGATACTTTCTTAAATAATCAAATAATGCTCAATATGAATTTTGGGGGGACATATTGGTATGCTCTTTTTAAAAAATGAATCATGGTAGAAAAAAGACATTTTATTAAATCTGCAGCCTAAGAACTGAACTATCCCAACCAGGTTTGTCTTAGATGCGTGAAAAGGCCTACAAGTTAGTGTATCCTATTGGCTTAAATGACCATGGATGCTAATTCCAGATATTCTGAAGTAAGCTGCAGAAGGTATCTAGTGCTTCGTTTTGCAATAGGCCTTCTTCCAGTGCAATAACAACTTGAAGGTTCCAGTTTGCACTTTCATTGGCCTTTTTGTTCCTCCCCCAGTATGATACCTGAGGGTGCTAGGATGTCTTCTCTTGGCAGGGAGATGTGAAATGTGCCTAGGCAGCATCTGATTCTGCAGCCCAGAGGAAGAAACAGCTGTCACCCCCTTTGGACATCCAGCTGTTAATAAAGGACATTGAGACTGCTTGTTGGAGACCCAGAATGGCAATGGTTACTCCTTGATGCACTACTGCAACTTGACACAGCTCGGATTCCCCATCCCCCTCACAGCCCTAATGGCTTACGGGAATACGCTCTGTTGCTGTTCAAAGTCATGTTGGAAATCAGTGCCCCAAATAGTCGACCCCCATGGTATGATTGTACCTTGGTATTTTGGAAAGAGAAGTTACTTGTACAGTCTGCTAGCTGAACTAACAGGCATGGGAAAACTTTGGCTGTCCTGGTGTTTTGGACTTCAACTCCACAATTCCTAACAGCCAGGCCAAAGTTTGCCCATGCCTCCCTTAAATGGTGTGTTCAAATGTCTCAATTGTTATTAATTTTCTGAGGAAACAGGTCAGAAAACATTTCAAGGCAAACCTGGTTGGGGTAGTTCCATTACTGGATGCAGATGTAGTAAAGTTGTGTCTCATTGAATCACTGCTATGCTTTGTATCTGTCTACATAGAATTAGATAAGGGTATAGCAATAACATGGAAAGGCCCGATTTAATCTTTTGTGGATACAATAGTTTACAGTAGTTGTGCGTATAAACGTTTCCGCAGAACACATTTTTATCACATGACAGCCAAGAGAACATGCCTCTGGTGCTGGTAATATGGGAATTGACTTTAGGACTGGGATCTTAAAGTCTGCTTGCATAGGAAAAGCAACTAATATGTTATATGGATGTAATTGCAGTTAGTCACAGACAAACACAGCAAACAGTAAAACTGGACGGTTGTGTGCACTTGGACGATGTGTAAGATTCTGATGCACATGAGGAAATGAAGACCACCTGCAGGTAAAATGTGTGTCCTGAAAGTTAATGATGAAGAGAAAGCGGAGAAAACTTTTCTCAGTCCTGAAGCTGACAGTCAGTAGTTGTCTATTATGTAGAGTTCCCGGTTGATGTAGATATCGTAGCTACTATTTGGAGCAGTCTGCAGTGGAAGACTCAAAGTGGCACAACACACACATAAACTCTGCTGGGGTTTCCTCTTCCTTTGTTCTTATGGTAGAAGCCTTTCTTGTAGTTGCCATGACAGCCATAGCCTTAGCATTTATTGGTGTTCTGTTGCATTGCAAAGTGCTCTTTTGACCTACTGTTTTGTAGACTATTAAGTAGCAAGATTATTTAATTAATGGAAAGGTATCTTCTATTGTCAGCAAATAGGATCTTTTGAATTGAGACTGGCGCCTAAGGCAGCACTTCTAGGTCACGCCACTGGTGCTGCTTCTTTTTGTAGAAAGGAAAGTTAATGTAAGCAAATAACACTAGGGATTTTCATGTCACATCCTTATTAATTCAATTATAAAAGCTCAGTCAGAAAGGGTAAGCTTTAGATCAACAGTTTTCTTCTGTGAATAAAAAGAGTAGGATCTGAACTTATCCCTGTTTCTTTCTCATGGTTAATGACTTTTATTTTGGGATTCCCAAAAGTGTGTTGTGTTTCACATAAAATTACTGAAGTACATGCTGGGTAGCATTCCTTTCCCCTCTTGCATTTAGTTTGGGATCTCTGCTCCTTTCTACCATCAGTCCCCAACCGCAGAATCTGCTTACAGAAGGTCAGTAAAAATGACTGCTTTGAACTTTGAGGTAAGATCTCCCATTACCTGACATGACCCTGCTTGGTCTCAGAGCTCATCCTTACACAGTACATATTAAGCTTATCTGATAGTGATTAACCGGAAGATAAACAAAGATGCAGACCTTGGCCTGCCAAGATTTTAGAAGAAAACCTCGTACAGTGGTATTCATGAGTCTGAAGAATTCTGGAACTTGCACAACAGGTCTATTTTCTTCTTGAGATTTTGTAAGTAAACATGTTGGTGATTGAACTAGAAATTCCCCAATGTTCAGCGGGCTTATTTTCAGTAAGGTGGCCATAGAAGAAACATAGAAGTTTCATAGATACATCTTAAGAAGTAGAAGTAGCTCAATGGTATCTAAAGTGCAGGACTCTTTTCAAATTCTGTATTTGCTGTGGAACAAATCCTCTTGTCTGCTTGGAAATCTGAAAAGCATGGTGTAGTTGTAGGAAAAATATTTAAGGTCAGCATGCCAGATTTCACAAATATGGTTCTAATCTTCTGGAAAAGGCAAGGCCCCTGCTTTATTTTATGTGTTTATAGGCTAAGGTGTCTTTTTCTCTTTCTTTTGACCGGTCCATATTGCTTGTGAGAGAAATGAACGTATCATAGCTGATTTTATACAACCAGGTCTTTCTACTGCAAAAAAACTTACGGAAGGCTTTTGCCAACTGTTCTAGCTGCTTTCTGTCTGTATCCTGACTTCCCCATGTATGTGCTTGAGTAATCAAATTGGAGATTGCTTCCATTAAAATCATTTCTGGATTATAAGCTTCTTTCTTCTGGAGCAGCATCAAATGGAAGAGAGGCAGAGCTTCAGCCACGATAGCGCGCACAGCTGGCACAGCAGAAGCTGGAATAATATTCATTGCTACAGAGTTGGGCCTGTAGGATCAGGTCACAGTTAGCCAGATGGGGTTGGTCAACACATTCACGACTTGGGTCCACAGGAACAGCTGCAGGCACTGGAGGAAGAGAAAGGCAGAGGTTAGAGGACACCTGCACACCATTTGCAAACACATGAGACATAAAAGCACATACATTTACTTCCCAGAAGGAGCATGCAAATATGTGGCACATTTGCAGTGTTGTAGGTAAAACAAATATATTATGCATGAAACAACATGGAAGAGATCCAAAAGCAGAAATGAGAATTCACATGCAAACAGTAACATAAGAAGAAGCTTTGGGGAAATAATTACCACTTGGAGAGCAATGCCCTAGAACAGTAACTTCTAAACTAGTCCTCCAGATGTTTTGGGTGTCGACTCCCAGAAGCCACAGTTGCCTTGGCCAATGATGAAAGATTCTGGGAACTACAGTCCAAAACACCTGGAAGATCAGAGTTTGGAAAACACTGCTCTAAATGATAAATGATGTTCAATGTGTTGTCAAAGGCTTTCATGGCCAGAATCAATGGATTACTGTGAGTTTTCTGGGCTGTATGGCCATGTTCAACAAGCATTCTCTCCTGACATTTTGTCCACATCTATGGCAGGCACCCTCAGAGGTTGTGAGGTCTGTTGGAAACTAAGCAAGTGAGGTTTATATATCTGTGGAATGTCCAGGGTGGGAGAAAGAACTCTTGTCTGTTTGAGGCAAGTGTGAATGCCACAATTAGCCAGCTTGATTAGCATTGAATGGCCTTACAGCTTCAAAGCCTGGCTGCTTCCTGCCTGGGGGAATCTTTTGTTGGGATTTGTTAGCTGGCCCTGATTGTTTCCTGTCTGGAATTCACCTGTTTTGTGAGCGTTGTACTTTATTTACTATCCTGATTTTAGAGGGTTTATTAAATACTGGTAGCCATATTTTCATGGAGGAAACCATGAAAATCAACAAAATCAGGTATTTACATTAGGATTCATAACAGTAGCAAAATTATAGTTATGAAGTGGCAACTAAAATAATGTTATGATTGGGGGTCAGCACAACATGAGGAACTGTATTAAGGGGTCACAGCATTAGAAAGGTTGAGAACCACTTCTCTAGATGTCTTTGTGAGCTCTATGTATGTGGATACTGGACATAGAAGCCATGCCAGATCTGGCCATAAATCCATCTATTCCCAGGATGGACATTTCAGGACAGAATTCTCTCCCACACCACGCCACCCCACCCTGTACCCTCCAGAAACTTGTAATCTGACTTGTACCTTAATGACACCAGACCTCATTTGATTTTTGGAAACTAAGTAAGGTCAACCCCAGGTAGCCAATGAATACCTGGTGCTGTAAGCTAGATACCGTATGAAATGCATGGTGTCACCCTAAGTTAATAGGTGACCTGGAAGCATATGATGAGGTGGTCCCACAACATCTGGAAAAAAATGGCACACTTTCCCTGCTCCTACTTCGCAGGTTGTCAAAAGGACTGTAGGGCACACCCACCTTCTGTTCTCCTCCTGATCACTTTCACATCTGTACTGGCACTGACAGAATTGCTGCCACTGTAAGCATTGCAGGTATAGGACCCCTCGTCACTGATCTGCACGTTGCTCAGGAGCAGGCTTCCATCCTGAGGCAGCTGTATGCGATGACTGTCCGCTCTCACCGGAACCCCATTCCTGAGTCAAAACACTTAAATTAGTGTCTGGTCCTTTGAAACTGAGATTATTCTCATGCATTTCATGCCCATCAGAAGTTATGTAAAACCTGTTACAAGCCACATCTATAAAGCCTTCTAAGAAACACATCCTTAAGAATGTGACTGGGCTTAATAAATAAATAAGTACGAGACTTGGTTTCTAGATCAGGGGTTCTTAACCTTGGACCAAAGAGACCAAAGAGAGTGTAAACCAGACATGGGTAAACTTTGGCCCTCCAGGTGTTTTGGACTTCAACTCCCACAATTCCTAACAACCTACTGGCTGTTAGTAATTGTGGGAGTTGGAGTCCAAAACACCCGGAGGGCTGAAGTTTGGCCATGCATGGTGTAAATAGGTCAATGGGCCCACAAATATGGGAGAAAAATCACATTTGGGTTGTTGTAGGTTTTTTGGGCTACATGGCCATGTTCTAGAAGCATTCTCTCCTAACGTTTCACCTGCATCTGTGGCAAGCTTCCTCAGAGGTTGTGAGGTGAAATGTCAGGAGAGACTGCTTCTGGGTGGCCATCTGTCAGGGGTGCTTTGAATGCAATTTTCCTGCTTCTTGGCAGGAGGTTAGACAGGATGGCCCATGAGGTCTCTTCTAACTTCATGATTCTATGATTCTAGAACATGGCCATATAGCCTGAAAAACTTACAACAACCCAGTGATTCCAGCCATGAAAGCCTTTGACAATACATTAAAATCATGTTTGTTGTCGAAGGCTTTCATGGCTGGAATCACTGGGTTGCTGTAAGTTTTTCGGGCTGTATGGCCACGTTCCAGTAGCATTCTCTCCCGACATTTTTTTCAGAGGAGTGTTGGAAATGAGACAAGTGGAGTATACATATTATATCTGTGGAATGCTTCCACAGATATTTCACAGAAATGTATACACTCCACTTAACCTCATTTCCAAAAGACCTCTGAACAAACCTCTGAGAATGCTTGTCACAGATGCAGGTGAAACGTCAGGAGAGAGTACTACTGTAAAATGGCCAAACAGCCCAAAAGACTCACAGCAACCCAAAAATCACGTCTTTTTTCTCATTAACTTCTCTATTTGGAACAGCTCTACTTTCAATTATGAATGTAGACAGCACATTACAGTTGAATTAGCAGTACTTGAGACTTTGTCACCAATAGAAATGACATATTTTCATATCACAGTTGTTTCAAATATCTTAAAATATCAGTTGACATGCTTTTCAGTATTTACAAGATCATATGGTGGATTTAAGATACTATAACTGCTGGATTGTGCTCATTAATGACCAAACACGACTCCATGAGCCTCTGTCTTAAACCAAGAAGTGCACCAGCTTGAAAGGTTTCCAGTACTGTAAGCATCATTTTCAAGCACCTCCATCTGCGGTGCCTAGGAAAGTCTTTGGTTGAGGCAGTGCCTGGCTTAAGACATGGAATTTTTAGGGGGAGAAGCATCAGCAGATGTATTGAAAATAATGTTGTGGTTACATCTGCAAAGGCAGGATCTTGGCCTTGGTTTATGCTCAGGGCTACTTAAAAATACTATTATTATACACCCGACTAGCATGCACATGATAACACATGTTTTACCAAGGAGTCTATGGCTCAAAAAAGGTTAAGACACTCAGATGGCAATAACCGGTTGCTTTATTGGTATTGGAATGAAAAGTGTCGTGGCTCCTTTATGAATTTCCTTACCTTGACCATCTTATGTTCACATTGCTGCCTTCCACCACACACCGAAGCTCGGCATCCCCTCCCTCCGACACAGAGAGGCTGGGCAGCAGGCCAGTGATTCTCAGCTCTCCTGAGGAGGAAAAGGGCATTTTCCATCTCAGGAAGGTTCTGCCCAGGGTGCCGGAATGACTCTCTGAATACACAGCTCTGACTGTAACCGGTTGCAATAACCCAAAGCCCTGCTGCTTGTGTGAACTTGGCCCCTCTGACTGGACACTGGCCTACTGTAGTGTGGGAAAGGAATCCCGGCATTATGTGCCACAATAGCAGCCTTTGTCCAGAGTACTTAGTGATGTAACCATCAACCTATAGTTAAATGCCTCTCTTTTCATGGCCTTCCTCTAGCCGCAAAAAAGTTATGAACTTTGGTCTTAAGGGGGAGAAATTCCCATAGCTCATCTGAGGGCCCTGGTTGCAGAAATAAGCTCTTCCCATAGCCACTTTGTCTTCTTGATCCAAGAAAACTATGAGCATTACAAATTCAAATAAGTGACTTAAATATCTTCTGTAGCTAAAAAAAAAAAATAGAAAAAAAAGGAGGGGAAAGAAAGACAAAAAGTGCTGACTGCATCTCCTCATCCTCCTCTTCCATATTTATACCAATGTAGATAAACACTGAAGCCCCCAGTGGCGCAATGGGTTAAACCCTTGTGCCGGCAGGACTGCTGACAAAAAAGTTGGTGGTTCAGATCTGGGGAGTGGGGTGAGCTCCCATCTGTCAGGTCCAGCTACTCATGCGGGGACATGAGAGAAGCCCCCCACAGGATAGTCAAACATTTGGGCATCCCCTGGGCAATGTCCTTGCAGACAGCCTATTCTCTCACATCAGGAGTGACTTGTAGTTTCTCAAGTTGCTCCTGACACAAAAACAGAACAAAACAAAACAAACACCAGTGTAGTTCTTTTGTGCTATAAACATGCTGGTGGCTGAAATCTGATAAGACTGGTGAAGTTACTGATTCACACAAGTAACCATTCATGTAATACTTGCATAAGACAAATCCATACAAGGACACTTCCTTTTGTGTGAGTGGCTGAGCTTGGGAGGCAATTATTTTAAACTCTCTGGTTTATTGTTGCAAGTTGTGAACACTTGAAACACATACTAGGGATCCATGCACACCAACGGTTCCCATTGCAAACTAATTACAGCTGTAAATTAGCATCCAGCAATTGTCATTGAGCTATGTCTGTAAGCATGTACATACACATCTGATTACCTCTAGGTCTGAGCTGGATTCTTTTCTGATCCTGGTCCCGACCATTGGAAGCAATACAGGTAAAGAAGCCAGCGTCTTCTGCTGCAAGACGACTGATGACCATGGCCCCATCCGACTGCTGCTTGTGCCTAGAAGCCAGAGGTGAGAGAGCATAGCACATTTTTAAGGGCCAGCATGGTTTCCTCCACAAAAAACCCCCCCAAAAAACCCCAAAAAAACAGGCAACAGGAATCCTATCTCTTACTATTTTTGATAGGGTGGCAGATTTAGTAGATCAGGAGAATGCTATGTCAGTAGTATATCTTGGTTTCAATAAGGAATTTGACACAGTCCCCCATGACATCGTTGCGATGAACAGTGGGCCAGACAGTAGTTAGGTGAAGTTGTAACTGGATGACAGACTTAATGGGAGAAAAACCATGTGTAGTTTTGCTACTGTTCTTACCACGGAGAAGAAGTAATGTTTATTTATATATTTACTTCTTTTTTTTACCCCACCTTTCTCGCCCTGCAGGGGACTCAAGGTGGCTTACAAACTCTGGCAAAATTCAATGCCGCATGGACAATGGCTTCAAAGTACAAGAGATGAGATTCCATCTGAACATTAGGAAGAACTTCCTGACTGTGAGAGCCATTCAGCAGTGGAACTCTCTGCCCCGGAGTGTGGTGGAGGCTCCTTCTTTGGAAGCTTTTAAGCAGAGGCTGGATGGCCATTTGTCAGGGGTGATTTGAATGCAATATTCCTGCTTCTTGGCAGGGGGTTGGACTGGATGGCCCATGAGGTCTCTTCCAACTCTTTGATTCTTTGATTCTATGATTCTATGACATAACAATAAAACACACCCCAACAAATTATAAAACAGCGAAACACATGAACAATTAAAACACATAAACAGTAAAACAGATTAGGTTGTTGTAAGTTTTTCGGGCTGTATGGTCATGTTCCAGAAGCATTCTCTCCTGATGTTTCACCTGCATCTATGGCAGGCATCACCAGAGGTTCTGAGGTATGTTGGAAACTAGGAAAATTGAGTTTATATATCTGTGGAATGTCCAGAGTGGGAGAAAGAACTCTTGTCTGTTGTAGGTGTGAATATTTCAATTGGCCACCTTGATTAGCATTTAATGGCCTAGTAGTTTTCAAGGTATGGCTTCTTACTGCCTAGAGGAATCATTTGTTGATAGATGATTAGCTGTCCCTGATTGTTTCTTGTCTGGAGAAGAAACAGACATGGCCATACAGCCCAAAAAACTTACAACAACCCAGTGATTCCGGCCATGAAAGCCTTCAAGAATACAATAAAACAGATTAAAACCATATAAACCACTGACTTTTGATCTCATACTTATCCATAGTCATTTTCTAAAATTCAAAGCTATAATTCAGGCTGTTGAAGTCTAACTCCATAATATCTTATTCACCAAACGCCTGCATGCAAAGCCAGGTTTTAAGGGGTTTTTTTTAAGACCAGGAGGGATGGAGCCTGTCTGATGTCACTAGGGAGGGAGTTCCACAGCCAAGGAGCCACCACTGAGAAGGCCCTATCTCTCAGGGGACCAAGTGCATTTGCAAAGAGGGTAGGACTGAGAGCAGGGCCTCCCCAGCTGACCTTAAAGCCCTTGTTGGCTCATAAAGAGAAATGCATTTGGACAGGTAACTTGGACTAGAACCGTTTAGTGCTTTATAGGGCAAAGCCATCACTTTGAATTCAATCCGTAAAAGAAAGACAGAAATAACAGAGCCAATAGACTAAGGAAAGGAAAGAGAGGTAATGAAACGGAGGGCTCCATGAGGCCTGAAAGTGGAGAGAGACAAAGTGGGCCTCTTGGAGATGGGAATGCAGATTTCCCTGTGGAAGTACAGTGAGAGCACACATACCATGCAGGGAGGAAATGACCTATCTCTTAACAAGTGGAATTTGTACAGTGCCTTGTTGATTTGGAAGCAGAGAAAAGGGGTAGCTAAGATGAGCTAATGCAGAATTGTATAAGAAAACTCCAATAAGAAAACAGTGGGGTGGGAGGAATAACAGATGGGGATTCAGAAAGGTCTGCAAGCGAGGCAGAAGAGAGAGTGTGTTTGAGCAACTGAGAAATGAAGGTGCAGTCTTAGAATTGCACAGAAAGCAAGTATGGTGCACAGAGAGAACTTGGTTTAAAAAAACCAATTTGATTTGTAACAAAAACACAAGTCACTCATTAACTGTTGCACTTCAGGCCGGGAAGCCCTCTGACTTTAAACACTACCCAGCTGAGTAAAATGCAAGCAGTTTATTGAAGATAATTAAAAGCAGTAGCAGTAAAAAGCAATCCACAAAAGTAGGTAAGTCCAATTAGGAAGAAAAGAAAGATAGGAACAACAAATCCAGGAAATAGTCCATCAGAGTTCATGACAACAAATACTGGAACTTCCAAGGCAAAATCCCAAAACCTGAGGATGAATCAAACAAGGCACTTCAGCATGGATATAACAAGGCACCTGATACAAGAATTTATCCGAGGCAAGGCTTCCAAGGACCTTAGAAGACATCTTGACTCAATTCCAAAGTTGCTTCATCTGACTACAGAGTCTGTACTTGGCACTTTTATCCCCTAATCTACTCTATATCCCAAGCAGCCAGGAAAGGATTTCTTCTCAGCCGTGAATCTGCTATCAGTCTCTCCTGCAATCTGGCAGAGCACCTGAGAGTCCGGTTTGTTTTTCTTTGCTGGCCGAAAGCACTTCTCCTATCTACTGGCTCATTTATTTCTGCAGCTGGCCCAGGTGCTGAGCCTTTCTCGGGATCAAAGCCTTGGGAATTCTCTGGTAGCAATTCAGACCCAAGGAACAGACCATCATCCCCAAACCTTCAGGAAAATTCTCATCAGAAAAGTCACTTTGAACAGGAATCACATTGCCATTCTCTGCATCTAGAGCAACCTGATCATTAGACACAGTAACCTCATTGTCACTCCCAACATCCAGAGTACTCTGATCATTAGACACAATCACAGGCTGAACTCCAACATTAACATTCTAATGTAACCCACTTACTACAAATTGCTCCTGGATGGCACACAGAGAGAGAAATGCAAAGAGTGGCAACTTCTGATTGGGAGCTTACCTGGAGGAAGAGATGGGCTGTCCATCCTTCTGCCACTCAATGTTTAGAGAAGGTGAAGCCTCTACACGGCAAGGTAGTCTGACTCGTTCACCAATGTTGGCATCAACCACCGAAGGGTCGTTCTTGTACATTTTTAACCTGCCAAACAGATCAAAAGGAGAGGCAGGATTCCAGTTCTGCATTTGAAGTCAGTGCAAGACAACCAAACCCTCCCTTCCTCTTTCCAAGTGGCTTCTTGTCTCTCAGCTGAAACCAGTGCCCGAGATGCCAGCTTCACCCGGGAACTGCTCTTCTCTTAACATTTTGCAAAGTGTGCACTTGTATAAACACATCTTCCCCAAGTGTTCCCTTGGCTGCAGGCCTGGTGAATGCCCCTCAGCCATAAGAATCACATGTTCACAGAATGTTCTTCTGCTGTGTAGAGATTTGCCTGGCTCTATTTATTGGCTTCTACCAAAGGCTGGAGGTCTTTCAACAAAGTAACTAGTTGGGAAAATCCACTACACATATGGGATTGGTCTGGGAGGTTCAGTCGCACAGCTTGGACAACAAATTTTTTGCTCCCCTTCCCCCTCAATAATAATAATATAATAAAACTTTATTTATATACCACCTTATCTCCCCAAGAGGACTCAGGGCAGTTTCCAACATAAGGCAAAACATTCAATTGCCAGAAAGGAAAACTATACAACAAAATTAAACATCATAAAACATAAACATAAAATCCTAACACAATTACAAACATTTAAAATCCAGTTTCAATTTTACTCCATCAGGTTGGTTCAAATTACTAATGGTCAGAATTACAGAATTGACATGGCCAACTATGAAAGGGCTAGGCAAGGGCTAGAGCAACAGAATATCATAGGGCCAGGGAAGTGGATAAATTGCAGAGCAGGGTCCTAGCTGACGGCCAAGGGAAGGGCCTAGGGACTGATAATTCTCATAAACATGCTGGAACAACCAGGTTTTCAGGTCTCTACAGAAGGAGGACAGTGTAGGGGCTTGCCTAATCGCTCTGGGGAGGGTATTCAAAAGTTGGGGGGCCACCATGGAGAAGACCCTTTCCCTCGTCCTCACCAATCGTGCTTGTGACGGTGGTGGGAGCGAGAGGAGAGCCTCCCCGGCAGATCTGAGAGCCTGTGTGGGTTCATGGGGGGAGATGGGGAGGAGAAAGCTACTCCCAAGCTACTCCAATTCATTGGACTAGTTCTCACAATGAGTTTTCACAATGAGGGTGAGATAGGAGGAAGGGAGACAGATTGAGAGTGAAAGCAGGCAGCCTACCTGCCCCACATCACTCAAGTCAACTCCCTGCTAAGGGAGACATGTTTGGTCTGTTTCCTGTTGTCATTCCACCAGCAAGAGAAATACTTTTTATGCAGAAGAGACTTTTTATTCAGAAACTGGCTATTTTTAATTCGCAGGCTCTGCAATTCTTTTTGTTGCTATGTGCTGACAATCAGCCAACGATTCAAAAACCCATGGCTTGAAAATATTTTCAAAAATTAAAAAAGCACAGCTTGAATTTGCCATTTGATGTAAGGGACAACAATTTGCCATACCACCGTATATCATTGGACTTTAGCACCCACAGATTCTGGTATCCACGGGGGATTCTGGATACCAGCAGCTACCAAGAACCCACTGTACGTGCTTCTAATATAACTGTGTTTAGTTATATAATATATCCCCCATACCCCCCCCTTTCTGTATGTGTGTTTGTGAAATTCTGAGCTGAGCTAATTCCTAAATATCTGTTGCCTTTTGAAATACAGCTCCCATCAGCCCCATACGGTATGGCACCTGGGAATCATGGACTTCGCAGTCCAAAAGATCTAAAGAGCTCCAAGTAAATGAAAGCTGTGTTACATTGAGAAGCTGTTTCCTGTAAAATCTGTTCCTGAGATGAGGTGCAGTATGATTGGTTATTCCATCGTCAATCTCCAAATAGCAAGTAACGCTGAAGGCTTTGTTATACCATGGAGATCATGGGATGATACTGGATGTGGGTAGGTTTACCTGTATGTTACATGAGAATGCTCAGAAGAGATATGCGGCTGTCCACCACTAGTTCCTGTACCTAATCCTCCATGGCTCCATAGCCTTCTTGATCCCTGGGCAACAGTAGATCCAGGGGTTTCTAGAGAGAACAGGGGAAAACAACAACTCTGAAGAATATTGTCCTATATTTGTAAAATTCCTATCTCTAGACATCTCATGTCATAACTTTCATTCTATAAAAATGCTCCAAGAACTAATTTGCATTCAAAATGTGCAATTTAAAGGTTCATGGGAATCTAGGTAATACTTAACAGCTAGAATTCTCTATCACATAATTATCTATAGATATGTAGTAGAAATGCTAAGAACTCCTTGAAAGAAATGCTAAGAAGTGAGAAGATGCAGAACAGGACACCAGCAGGAGTGCCCCAATTAATAAGTTTGGTTCTGAATCATTCACATTGCCGATTCTCTCGTAATGTTAACAGCAGCCTTTTTGTTGTATAGGCATTCTGGAACTGTCCAATTTTAATTCTCACAGATGTAACTCCACTTACAAAAACCTAAGTTCCCAACAGGATTCTGGCCAATGTTTTCACTGTCATCCATATTGCCCATTAACCATGAAATGCAAGTACTAAGATCTCCAAAGCCCTCATCTCTAAGCCCTCGGATGCTCAGTTCCCAAGGCAGCCAGCCTTAAATCAATCACATAATGTAAAAGAGAAGAGCAAAGAACTGGGAATAGATTGGGTAACTGCTGTGACTGAGCTAGTCAACAATCTCATAGTTGCAATGGGGAAAAACAGCACTTTTCTGGAAACTATGCCATTCAGTGTTAGTAGTGTAACTTAGCTTTCCATGAAAAACAAAAAGCAGTCCCATCACTAAAGAGCTCTATGCTACTACATTACTGAAGGACTATAAAAGGGCAGGTATGGCTGGTGACCTGCAGGACTTATAAAGATAGCCAGTGCCACAGACTTGTTTATTATCTTCACCAATGCAACAGATGCCACTGGCTGGGAGCCCCCAGTGGTGCAATGGGTTAAACCCTTCTGATGGCAGGATTGAAGACTGACAGGTCAAAGGTTCGAATCCGGGGACAGTATGGATGAGCTTCCTCTGTCAGCTCCAGCTCCCCGCCTTCCACAAGGATGGTAAAACATCAAAACATCTGGACATCCCTTGGGCAACATCCTTGCAGATGGCCAATCCTATCACACCAGAAACGACTTGCAGTTTCTCAAGTCGCTCCTGACATGGAAGAAAAAAAACCTCAATGCAAATGGCTTGTTTGTTCAGCTTTTTGCAGTGGCCCACTTAAGAACATAGAAGTGAAGAATTATAGAATCATACAGTTGGATGACCTCATGGGCCATCCAGTCCAACCCCCTGCCAAGAAGCAGAAAAATCGCATTCAAAGCATCCCCGACAGATGGCCATCCAGCCTTTGATTAAAAGCCTCCAAAAAAGGAGCTGCCATCACACTCCGGGGCAGAGAGTTCCACTGCTGAACAGCTCTCACAGTTAGGAAGTTCTTCCTAATGTTGAGGTGGAATCTCCTTTCCTGTAGTTTGAAGCCATTGTTCCGCATCCTAGCCTTCAGGGCAGCAGAAAACAAGCCTCCTCCCTCCTCCCTATGACTTCCCCTCATATATTTAGACTAAGACCAATAGATGCCACTGGCTGGGATTAAACATTTAAAGAAGACAACGGACAAGCACATATGAAAAGTCAGTGCACGTTATGAGACATGGCTCCACATGCTAATAGATGGTTACTTACATTATTAATTTTTAAAAGAAAAAGCCCAGCATGTTGCAGCCACAAATACAGTCAGGCTTCTTCAAGGGCGACACTTTACACAGAGATTTCTGGAGTTGAATAATATAGTCTTGAAAGAAATGGACCATGAAGCAAAGAGCAAAAGGAGGAGACCATATATTACCGGAGTGTAGCATAAAAGTTCAGCAAGCGGAACTACTATGATATGCCTCCTGTCTACAGCCACATCTCCATGGCAATTCATAGCTGGTGGAGGGCAGCGGGTTGGAGAAGCATGTGGCCATGTCCCAATAGTCAGACGCAGAAAGATTGTATCATCAGCCAAGATATGCCAGGACCCTCCAGAGCTCTTTATTCTGCACTTCTCGGTATCTCCCTGGGCACTCTACAGTGCTTGCTATCTTGGCACTTAGAAGCACTACACTGTGTGCTCATACACTTTCATACCCCTCATGATGAGACAGGGCAACTCCATTTCTATTAGGAAGAGGAACCACACAGCTCTCTTCTCTCCCTGCTCAACTAAGCTGGATGCAGATGGGGTGGGAAAACATGAGCTGGCTCACTCATGCAATATATTGAAAAGTCTCGAAAGCTGGAATATGAAAGGTCCAGGCCTCTAGATGTTATTTGACTGCAACTCCCATTATCCTAATTAATGTTGAGGAATACTGGGAGTGGTAGTTCAACAACATATTGCACACCTGTGCTCTCAAGGCTGATTCCAATTTTTAGAAATGCTCATCTTCATTTCTAAGCTGAAGAGCTGGCGTTGTCTGTAGATGCCTCCATGACTGTATGGAGCGTTGTTACCTTCCCGCCGAAGCAGTACTTATGATCTACTCACATTTACATATTTTCAAACTGCTTGGTTGGCAGAAGCTGGGGCTAACAGTGGGAGCTCACCTTGCTCCCCAGATTTGAACTGCCAACCTCTCGGTCAGCAAGTTCAGCAGCCTGAACCCTGAATCAAAGCTAGGCATGAAAGCGAGATACTTCAGAGGTAAAAGGCAGAGTGCTCCCCGAGCTGTTCTGAAGAATTCTAGGAATGTGTTTCCAGCTCAAGAACTAAACTGAGTTCACAGTCTTTTCAAACAAAGAGCCGCTCCTAGTCAGCCTGAACTCTCTTCATTTCAGCAGCCCAATTTAGGAAGGAAAGGGGTAAGAAACCTTTCCTTTGTGTTAAACAATCAAGGAATTGGAAGCATTTCTTGATCCTACTGAAAACCACCAAAGAGACCTGCTAGTAGATGAAATGTTATATGAAATAAAGTATTTAAAACCAAAATTTACAACTTGACTTTTGCCTTCCACTTTAGTTAATGTCTTAAAAGAGAAACAGTTGTAACCTTTGATCCTCAACTCGATCTGTCGACGTTCTGTCCTCCCATTGGAAATGATGCACACATAGAGCCCAGCATCCTCAGCTCTGAGCTGGCTGATCACGAGGGAACTGTCCGACTGGTAGGTGTGCCTGAAGGCCAAAAAGCAAAGTTTATCAAACACTGTCCCTGGCACCAATAATGTGGCTGACATCAAGTGTGCTATCCATATTGCTGTCAAGTGATTATTAACTGGCATAAATGTAATAAGAGAAAGAATGTGGTAGATGAAAATTCAAGATTTCCAAAGGTTTGGCAGGTGGGAGAGCCTAAGAAACAACACCAAGTTAATAGTTGGCCTTTACCATTAAGGGTAATTCAGAAAAGGTGCAGTGTGTGCGCATGTGTGTATGTACCAAAGTGGGGAGGATCGAGGGACCAGACTCACCTGTCAGATGACACTGGTCTCCCATCTTTCAGCCATTCAATTCTGGAGAAATGGGAACTGCCTGCCTTGCAGAGGAGACGAATGCTTTGTCCTAAACCTGCTTCTGCTGTAGATGATGATCCATCTAGGAGGACTCTGAAAAACATAGAGTAATTTCCCTTAGTCTCCAAAGGAGCTGGAAAAAGCAGGGCAACAAAGACATGGTCCTAGGAAAAGACAAACAGCAGTCTAACATTTCTGCAAGGGCAATGGAGTCACTAATTTGTCCTATGAGTCCAAGTCAGTGTTGCAACATTTTAGAAGCTGGGAAGAAGCCAAAGGAGGCACATCTTTAGCAAAATGGACAGAAATATGAAGTGACTGGGATGAATGAACACTACTACATCACCTGCATGCCAACAGCCCAAAAGGTTTAACATAAATTTCTGTGGAAAAGTAAATGCAATTCTTCATCTAAATAATAATAATAATAGTAATAATAATAGTAATAATAATAATAATAATAATAATAATAATAATAATTTATATCCAACCACCATCTCCCCGAAGGGACTTGGGGACGCTTACAAAGGCACTCTAAGGTGCACATACAACATAGGTAAAGGTAAAGGTTTTTCCCTGGCATTAAGTCGAGTTGTGTCCAACTCTGGGGGTTGGTGCTCATCTCCATTTCTAAGCCGAAGAACTGACGTTGTTCGTAGACACCTCCAAGGTCATGTGGCCGGCATGACTGCATGGAGCGCCATTACATATAACATACATAAAGTAAAAAAATGGTATACTAGTATAAACAGTCACATAAAATTATAACAATAACCCCTGTAACATATATAACATAAAATCAAAATAATACAAAGTTTAAAACATCAGTAGATTAAACTAATTGCCATCGATTCAACTAGCTGGCAACGATTCAAAAAGTCCCAAGCGTTAAATTCATATGGGCCCATTCAGCCTACTCGAGGTTAAAGGCCTGTTTGAACATCCATGTTTTCAGGCTGGAACCAAAGGATTGAAGGATGGGAGCTGATCTAACCTCTTTCGAGAGGGTATTCCAGAGCTGGGGAGCCACCACAAAGAAGGCCCTCTCTCTCGTCCCCACCAATCGCGATGGTGGGACTGGGAGAAGGGCCGTCCCATTGATCTCGGAGCCCATGCTCTAGAATAATGTTATCTTAAGATGAGAAAGCAAAGCAATCTACCATTTCAAAATACTCCAGGTAAACAGAGCTATCTTCTGACCTAATCTACCTCTCTTGGCATAAATGCCCCTCAAAAGGTATGAGATTACACTGTTTTAGAAAAACGCAACTGCCTGGCATCAGAATGTGAACCAAGGATTCTACTGTAGGAAACCTGTGAGATTCCAGGAGCTGTTTCCAAAAGGGTAAAATTTCTGGAGCCTTGTAATATCAATAGGAAAGTTTCTTTTAAAGATTAATTCCCTTAAGAATGGAAAAGGAAGTCTTGATAACTGACCACGGAGCTGGAGCAATCCCTATAGCAGAGTCACGCGGAAGACTCTCCTTGGTAAATGTCAAGAAGAATTCAGGTTGTGAAAAGCAGCTGTCCTGTAGGAAAGCACACCCAGTTCAAAAATGTTACCTGTTTAGGGACTGCTGGAAGGGCAAGGCTGGTGAGGCTTGGTGCTCAAATTCATTCACAACTGAGCCATCTGCTCCAGATTCCCTCCTCCAGCTTTCACGTTCATGATGGACTGTCTGACCATTCATGGTCATCCACCTCTCAGAGTGTCCTGAGGATAGAGTTCCCCCCAAACCGTGCAGATGATTGGCTGGGTCTCTTCTTCTTCCCACATCTATTGCTGAGTGCATTCCTGTCCCTTGTGGAGACTCAGGAGCTGCACCTATGTTCATAGTCCTTGTCCAGCTTCTCTCAGTGTGATGTTGTCCTGCGGAGGTTTCTGAGCCACCTTGAGCCCCAGCATGGAAAGCTGCCCCACCTCCTCCCTGATGCCTGTGACCTGTGGCTTCTCTGGCGGGTTGCTGAGAATCAGAGTGAATTCTGGAAATTGATGAATGGTGGTGATGATGCCTCAGGTCACTTCCTTCCACTGGCCCATGGCACATCTTCATGCACTCCTCTTCAGAAGGGAAGTTGTTCTTATTGCCATGGCAGCCTCCATACCAGAATCGATTGCATTTCCCAACATCATGCACAAAGTACCAGCGAGTTGTCCAGTCTGTACAGGGGCCATGGGCACTGGGTAGCAGGCAACTGGTAGGATAAGCTATCAGGAAAAGGCATAAAACAAGTAGTAGTCACAGATTAAGTTCTCACAGAAATTATTTATTGATCAGTCCCAGTCACAATTGTCAGAGACATGTTTAATAAATCAAGTGAGAGGCCAGCAACCTGAATCTTGATGTCAGACCTCATACCATGCTGCTTTGGCATGTAGAAATCTGTCTTCTTGCTTTTAAAAAAATGAAGTATAAATAACTTTAGGAAGTGGTCAAACCCCCCCCCCCCCCCCCCCCCCCGTTTAAAACAGCTCCACTGGCTGCCAATAGTTCGGTCTCAATTCAAGGTGCAGGTTATCACCCACAAAGCCCTAAACGGCTGGGGTCCAGCCTATCTTCATAACTGCATCTTCCCCTATGAACCTGCGCGAGCTTTAAGATCTGGGGAGACTCTTCTCTCGCTTTCACCTCCATTGATGGGGAAGAAGAAGACTGACACCCACCCTGTACACTTATTGCAAAAACCTACAAACCTGGACGTTCCACTGTGCATTTGACTAAACAGTTCACTAGATAATTCTGCCCCCTTAACCATTACTCAATATTTGGCTCCTGCACTTTTCTACTGTATCCTACATATAGTGTTCTAACTGATATTGCCCTTCTCATTTACACACTACGTATTTTACTCTGCTACCACTCGCAACTGGATATGACTATGGTCCATCATCCATGCACATATAGGTCACTAAGAGGATGCTAGCCATTTGATGATCCAACATTATGTAGTGATTTGAGCATTGGACCAAGACTCTGGCAGACTGGGGTCTGAATCCCCACTGAGCCCTGTAAACCCACTGGGAGGTCTTGGGCAAGTCACACACTCTGAGCCTTAGAAGAAAACAAATAGCAGATAACTCTTGCCAGGAAAAACCCAATGATGGAGTCTTTATGAGTCAGAGTCAACTTGAAGGCACATAACAAGAACAACAGTTTAAGGGCCTGCCCTACAATATAAAAGCAGACATTGTGTTCACTGAGAATGTGGATGACTAGCTCTGGGTTGGGCCCCATGCCCATCCAGAAGCCCACTGGCCAGGGCTAAACAATGGGGCTTTATAAAGATGGAAGAGTGCCAGGACGCTTCAAAGCCGCAGTCCTTTGGCCCCTCCAAAACTGGCCATGCTGCTTTTGATCTTCGGGTTGGCTGAATGGGAATTAGCTGACAACTAAAATGTATTAATGGTTCCTTCCTGTCAAGACCACTGAATATCGACCCTTTATTAAAAACCAAACTGAAAGAACACACCGGTTTAAATGGGGTTTTTACAGGAATCTCTCACGAAGCTAAAAGCATTCACCAGATAAAATTGGCCTGGGCCAACTTGGGCCCTCCAGATGTTTTGCACTTCTACTCCCACCATTCCTAACAGCCTCAGACCCTTAAGGAATGGTGGGAATTTAAGTCCAAAACACCCGGAGGACCCAAGTTTGCTCATGCCTAAACTAGAACCTTGACTGTATCTAAAAAAATTAAAAATGTAACGCTCATTTGTGGGATTAACATAATGCAAAAACCACTGGATGAATTGACACGAAACTTGGACACAATATACCTATCAGGTCAATGAGTGACCATCACTCAACTCCCTCCCTTCAAAAAAAAAAATCAGAAAGGCTAAATGATGAAAAAATAAATGACAATACAGAAAAAAAGGGAAGGAAGAGGGAGGGAAGGAAGGGGAGAAAGAAAGAAATAGGGAAAGAAAGAAGGAAAGAGAGAAGGAAGCATGGAAGCAAAGTGTGATGGAAAGAAGTAAAGAGGTAAAGAAGGAGGAGAGAGAAAGAAAAAAAGAAAGAAAAAGGAGAGAAAGAGGGAGGGCAAGAAAGAAGGAAAGAGAGAATGAAGCATGGAAGCAAACAGCAAAGGAAGGAAGGAAATAGGTAGAGAAGGAAGGAAGGAAGGAAAGACAGAAAGGGGGAAGGAAGGAAGAAAAGAGAGAAGGAAGGATGGAAGTAAAAAAGCGAAGGAAGGAAGGAAAGAGGTAGAGAAGGAAGAAAGGAGAGAAAGAGGGAGGAAAAGAAAAAGGAGGAAGGAAGGGAAGAGGTAGAGAAAGAAGGAAGGAGAGAAGGAAGAAAGGAAGGAAGAAGGAAAAGGAGGAGAGAAAGAGGGAGGGAAGGTTGGCCACAGCAACGTGTGGCGGGTACAGCTAGTAGTTCATAAATGGCTTGAAGTCTGTCTGAATTTAGTTGAATTTGGGATTGTGTGTACAGTTATAGAAAGCCTGTCTTTTTCTCACCCTATTTATAGGAAGCATTGGGCGAATCCACATTTTTACACCAAAACCTCTCACTTACGTTGGCTGGGTGGGTTGAGGCATCCTTCCCCTCGAGGCCCCGAAGCAGAGGCAACGTTGTCATGGCAGCAACCATATCTCGAGGCTCGGCACTCCTCCGCCGGCCTCTGCTGGGACACAACTCGGCTGGCCTTAGACAAATCCAATGCTACCAATTAGATGTGCTTGAGAAAGATCACAGATGAACAAACTAATTCCAGAAATTAATCCCAATTTCCCTTCACTGGTTGTGGTACCAAGAAGAAAAAGGAGACTGGTGATGAAATCTTCCTTTTCAGCATTTGATGGGGTGAATTTGAGAGACAAGGCCCAGGCAATCATCACACTCGAGAAAAAAATCCACTTAAAATCCAATTTCTGCCTTCTGCAGAATTCTGGGGTTTGTAGTTTAGGAAGGAGCATTTAACAACTTCCATCTGAACATTAGGAAGAACTTCCTGGTTGTGTGATACATTCAGCAGTGGAACTCTCTGCCTCAGAGTGTGGTGGAGGCTCCTTCTTTGGAAGCTTTTAAACAGAGGCTGGATGGCCATCTGTCGGGGGTGCTTTGAATGCAATTTCCCTGCTTCTTGGCAGGGGGTTGGACTGGATGGCCCATGAAGTGTCTTCCAACTCTATGATTCTATGGATTTTAAGTGGATTTTTTTCTCTAGTATCATGAAGTATTAGATGCTTCTCATTAACTTCAGGAACTGCAACTGGGCATTTGTCTATACTGATGGGGGAAAAATCTGTTTAGCATTGCATTTCCTAGCCCACACTGACCTTATATTGACCCTGTTAGTGCTGTACACATAATTTATATCAGGCATGGGTGAATTTAGGCCCTCCAGGTGTTTTGGACTTCAACTCCCACCATTCCTAACAATCTCAGGTCCTTTCCTTTGCCTGAGGCACTTTCCGGTTAAGTGGCTGAGAGGGAAAAGGAAAGGATCTGAGGTTGTTAGGAATGGTGAGAGTTGAAGTCCAAAACACCTGGAGGGCCCAATTTTGCCCATGCCTGAGAGATAGATAGATAGATAGATAGACAGACAAACAGATATTATAGTGGTGAGATTGCCATAAACAGCCACACATTTTTCCCTGGCAAATTCACAAGACTGTTGGGGGACAATCCACATTTCGAATCCTTTGCGTTATTTTTGGCCACACAGCCATAGCTATGGTACTTCTGTCTCTCCCCTTCATCGTGCATCCAAATATACATCTTTTCTATTAAGCGGAATTGCGCTAATGTGGATATCCGGGGAAAAAGTAAAAATCTGGCTCTTTGAACAAACTTTTGGAAATGCAGTGTAATAGATAAACATGGAGCTATGAAAGAGTGAACGTGGAATGGCTAGACAATGCTACTGGAAAAATGAGTTTAACAGGACAACACTGGTGATTATATGTTTTTAATGGTTTTGTATAGATTTTTAAAAATGTTTTGCTAAATGTTTTAATTGTATTTTATGACTGTTGTAGCATTAAATTGCTGCCAATTTTTAAGCCGCCTTGAGTCACCTTCAGGTTGAGAAAGGCGGGATAGAAAAACCATAAAAAATAAATAAATAAATACTGATGTGCAAGTATCCTGGTAGGAATGCTCACCTCTCACCAATCAGTTCTTCCCACTAACCTCGACTCTATAGTGAAGCCATGCCAGATGGACACACACACAAACAAAACAAATCTGGATTTTCTATTAAACCGAGGGGTATAAGGCAAGTTTTTTGAACTGGATTAAAGCCCAAAGAACCACATTGTAAGTGAATTTTCAAGAACACGGTGTTTCAGGATTGCAGCACCCACAAAGTGTGTACCATCTTTTTCCTCAGTGTAGACAAGCCCTAGGAAATATAACTGCATGTGGATTTATTTCATAAATGACTCTAATGAACTTGCAAAGGAGGGAAAGAAGAAAACACACATATACACTGTTTTGTTTTGGTTTTTTGCTGTAGGTTTGCAATGCTGACTCTTTGTTCAACAGGAACTAAGTGGGAGTCACATGCTTATACCCCCGTGAAGTACGTAACAGTGCCTCCCCAGAGTCCAACTGGGTATTTCTTCCTACAGAAAGTCTCCACAGCATTTGAGCTGTCAGCTGTTGGGCAATGCTCCCACCAACTCTCTATCACTATCCTTGGGCACTGAGCCCACACACTTTGCCAAGTCGGAAGGAACTGTGTTATGGTTGATAATTAGGTGTTGCAAACACAGTCCACGGCAGCTGGAGAGGCTTCTGTTTCTCTTATGCTCAACACACGATGGGGCAAAATGCATCCCAAGGCTATTTCTGCAGCCCTCAACATCTCCAGACTTCTCTTTTTATAATTCAATGAGCTACTTCTTCTTAGAGACCCTAGAAGTTACAATTCATCCTATTAAGTATGTTGAATATGCCTTTGCATTATTTTGCATTCAAATGACAATGTGGCCTTGTAGCCACTTCTAGGTTTAGGGAAGAGCTGGCAGTCCATTTCTGACTATTGTCCTTGGACTTGCAAACATAGGGCCGAAGTGGCTTCCTCGACTGAATATATTCACCTGTTATGTGTGATCTTCCTCTGTTCCTAATGTGTTATAAGAATTATTTATTTCCATTGAGTTACACGTTATGGCTAAAATACTAAGTCTCCGTTTAGTCATCTTGGCTTCTAGGAAAATTATTCAGGTTTGATTTGGTCTAAAACTCATTTTTATGAATGGTAAGAACTGTTATTCCTTCCATTCTTGACATAGGATGATTAAAATGAAACTGTAAAGCCTTAAAGCCACCACTTGCAGGAAGTTACACTGCCAGCTTGGTCTCTGAAAGATCACCTATGTTCATCTGAACACAAAACGTAAGATCCAAAAGATCAAATCTGCTGTTTTTTTGATGCAATATTAGTGTTCAGTATTTACTTTCAAGGTAAAGTAACTATAGTATCTGATATTGATGTATTTTTACCGTTGGAGCGACAGCAGGCTCATTTCTGTTCACATAAACATCACTGTAATATTGTGCACACCCTTCTTTGTTTGGCCCCTGAGAAGGTGATATTCCATCAGGGCAGCATCCATATCTACATGAAAAAAACAATAACATCAATAACAACGAAAGTCTACTATGTTCAAATCAACCAAACCATCAGCTTTGTTAGTAAGTGAGTCATTAAACCAGGTTGTCTTACCTGCTCAAATGACAACCATCAAGTGGGCAGCCTTGCCCAAAAGGACCCTCTGCAGCTGTGTGACCATCTGAACAACAACCATGAGGACTCTGGTTGCAATCACGAACATCAGTCCCAACGTTTTGATGGGAATTGTGACGGCGGGACACTGAGGAGCTTGAATGAGACTCCCATCGAAGGGGCAAGAAATTGGAACTGTGATCTTCATTGGACTGCTGGTGGTGATGAGTAGAGCCAGCTTCGTTTATTCTCTCATGTCCAGAAACTGAAAAAATATAATATTTTATGGGTCGTAAAACATCTCCCTGCAATTACTAGATTAAAACAAGAATAAATCACATGATTAAAATAACAAGAGTGGAACTTTTCGTCCTTGGAAATCTAATTCCAAAATACTCTAAACTAAAATCCAAAAATGTCCACTTGAGTGGCTGAGATAGTGACACCTTTCTTTCTAGCGGTTCAGTATAGACAAGCTTTGTTTCATGCATAAAATTATTAACAATATAATATGAACTTACCTTAAGACTATATGTATAAAGTATATAAGAAATATTAATTTATTTCATATTTAGGCTTGAGTTCCATCTTGAAGGTGTCTCATTTTATATATATCTTAAAGTACACATTTTCCAAAATCTGAAATATATCTGAAATCTAAAACGCTTCTGATCCAAGGTGTGTTGGATAAGAGATACTCAACCTGTATAGAGTCATTTCTGTACACACTTGGAAGTGATCCTTATAAATTATTTCACTATAGATCCTTTATTTCAATTTACACTTTTTATTACTTAACTTGAGCTTCTATGTGATAAGAAAAGGTTTGCCCTTGAGATTAAGTCTAGTCATGTACGACTCTGCAGGGTAATGCTCATCTCCATTTCTAAGCCAAAGAGCTGGCGTTGTCCATAGACATCTCCAGGTCATGTTGCCAGCATGACTGCATGGAGCGTCGTTACCTTCCTACCAGAGCAGTACCTATTGATCTACTCAAATGTGCATGTTTTCGAACTGCTAGGTTGGCAGAAGCTGGGGCTAACAGCGGGAGCTCATCCCACTTCCTTGATTCGAATGGCTGACCTTTTGGTCAGCAAGTTCTGCAGCTCAGAGGTTTCACCCACTGTGCCACCGGGGCTTCTGGTGAAAGAGGCTGGTAAAGTACAGTCTAAAGTGCTCCTGATCATTTTTTTTTTTCAGTTCCCAAAAAGTACATGCCTCCGTACAATGGGGAAGGGGTCTGGTTTCAAAATGAAAATGGTCAATAGTCTCCTCAAGCATTAGAGGTATAAGCTATTTCATCACATTTTAGGTGTTTGCCTCCCTCACCCCACAATCACTTTTTGTAGCTCATTTTTGGGAAGAGTATCATAACATGAAGCAACCACACCAAAAAATCAGCTCACTTTCTGGTTGGATTTTTTCATCGTCTTCCTATCTCCACCTTTATAGCAATGTTGCTTCCCGAGAGTGCAATTGAAACTACAGCAAGATAAGGAAAGACACCTGGTTTGGTCTTTCCACCAATGAACATATAAGCTTAAGAGCTCATAAACCCCTATTAAAAACGTTGTACAACTACTTCAAGGAGGGCAAAATAACCAAAACATTAGAGAAAGAAAAGAAAATACCCAATGGTTCCAGACCTGTAGTGCCATAGTCAGGGTTATAGCGGGTCAATAAGGCCTGACGATTGACATCGTAGCCCGCAGTGTCTTGCATACTGGGAACCTCTGCAATAAGAACAGGAGTCCTAATTTAGAAAACACTGAACTGGCACAATGACTGGCAATTGCTACAATCATGTACATTTACTTCATTGAAGATAAAGTTGCCCGGGGGAGGGGGGGGGAGGTCAGAGAGAACTGGTCTGTGCCAAAATGATTTCTTCTTGCTGTGTGGCTTCATGTTGTTTCTCCTTCATGATCACCCTAAAGCAAATCTATCACTGGGGCTTCTCCGCAAGACTTGTTCAGAAGGGGTTTGCCTTAGCCTTCCTCTGAGGCTGACACAGTATGACTTGCCCAAGGCCACCCACTGAGTTTCTATGACTGAGGGGGATTCAAACCCTTTTCTCCAGAGTCCTGGTCCCATATACATACTACTCCATCACATTGACTCTCTAAAATTCTTTCTATTCTTATGGGTATCAATTAAAGGAAGCATCATTTATATATTTTGTTTATGGATGTGTGTTCAGGAGGGAATTGTGCTTCAAAAATGTGAAGGCAAGGCTTTGCAAAAACGTCAGCCCTGTAGGCTTTCACATAGAGGGTGTGAGGTGTGAAATCTTGTTATTTTCTGCTAACAAAGAAGATGATCAATGAATACTTCTTGCTGAGCTTGTTTGACATTTTCTGGGGAACAAATTTTGTCTGTGTGCGTGTGTGCTTTCAAGTTACTTGTTGACTTATGACGCCCCATGAGTTAATAGGGAAATGAGAAAGATCTCTTACTGCTTCGTTATACTATGCTGGTATATAAAACAGGAATTTTTCCTGTCTGTGTTGAAGGTTTCAAAGCCTAGGCCTGGATGATATTCAGCAACTAAGTAAATATGAGTGAGCCAGGATGTCAAATTATAGCAGCAAAAGTAAGGATAGAAACTTGTACTCTTCTCTGTCCTTTTGCTCCTCAGATGATGTTCTTTAGTCCAATGTGTTCTAGAGGACTTACAGGCACTGTTTTATTTCCCCACATGATGTACTTTATCCAAGCATATGTCCTTTTAATCTACGTATTATAGGCAAATAATTACTGATCTCTCACCAAGTAAGCATTTATGCAAAGGCATGATTCACAACTGAACCCTCTTGGGGGCATAACAGATAAACAAAGCAGTGGTATATCTGCCAGTTTTCACTTACGCTGTGGCAAATGGCAGGGCTGGGTGTTGCAGCTTCCCATCATAGCTGGTATCTGTGGCTGGATGGCCTGGCACATTTCGTGGTTGTAGAATTTGGAGTCGCCATCAGCACAGATGACTTGGCGTCTTCGGATGCCTGAGTCACAGCTCTTGGAGCACTTGAACACAAGGTATAAGGCAAGTTAAGAGTCAGCTATAGCTCTACTTCTCTGTGACGATGACGCAAGTCTTGACAGTAACTCTTAAAAGAAAGTATTTTTGGATAAGCAGAGCCACAATTGGATTGTAAACCCTGCAGTAATCTGGAAGCAACAGGATGATAGAGACTGTTATACGAAACAAGGTGGCAACCAATGCAGTACAACAAGGACCAGGTGTCATTAGTGATGGTGGGATCCCAGCCTCACCTCATGGCATGTTGCATATATTGCAAATTTTTCATAGTAAAACTAATATAGTGTGGCCAAGCAACTTCAGAGCATGGTCAAGATGGCAAAAGGTATTGATGAAGGACAGCTAGGAAAGGCTGCAGCAGTTTGCTTTTGCTTTCGCCTATTGGGAAAAGGAAGAAGTCCCTCTTCTCTCCCTCCTGCTGAGTTTTTTTTTTGTCGTGTCAGGAGTGACTTGAGAAACTGCAAGTCACTTCTGGTGTGAGAGAATTGGCCGTCTGCAAGGACGTTGCCCAGGGGACGCCCGGATGATTTGATGGTTTTTTTATCATCCTTTTGGGAGGCTTCTCTCATGTCCCCGCATGAGGAGCTGGAGCTGATAGAGGGAGCTCATCTGCCTCTCCCCGGATTCGAACCTGCGACCGGTCGGTCTTCAGTCCTGCCAGCACAGGGTTTAACCCACTGCGCCACCGGGGGCTCCTCCTGCTGAGTTAACTGAACCCCAACTACTTTTGTATTTTGAATTCATTTTGCAGCTATTGAGGAAGATGGGGAAATGGGAAGAGGAAAGAAAAATTGGGCCATTTTTAAAGCAGCTGAAAAAAAAAGTGGAATGACAGAGGGTTAATCTCAACTGTCACTGCCAAATTAGGACAGTTGAACAGCATGATGCTTCCCTCTCACTCATTTGCATACATGGGCATAGCCTAAGTTGACACTTCAAGGAGAAAATCTTTTAGTGTCAGCTTCTTGATCAAGAAAAGTAAGGAATAGGTGGTACTTTCTCAGCAGCCTCAGGAACAGGCTGGCAAGATGCTACATCAGACCAAACATAAGGTGACATGATTTTGAATAATGGGCTGGATTGGGGAGCCCTAATGGCTGGATTAGGTGTGAATGTTAGAAACTGTCCACCGATCACATGAAACAAAGATACAAGCAGAATAATGAATTCAAGTGTATAAGACTCCAAACAAACTAAACAAAAATAAACAGGTTCCAGATAAACAAACAAAAATTAAGCACTTTTAGTTACATGCTCTCTGTACAAAACTAACAAAGGGCCTAGTGGCACCTGAGATATTCCTTTTGCTATTCTTGGATAGACTAAGTAATTTATTATGCCATGAGCTTTCATGAACTATCATCCTTGGAAGTTCGTACACTGAGAAATGTGTTAAGTTTTAAGAATTGTCACACAATTCTTTGGATTTTGCCCTGCAGTAGACTAATACCGCTAGCTCTTTGGAAATCCTTTTTGCAACTTCATTTCCAGAGGAAGTGATGATGTGAATAGATTTCACCACTGCTTTGTTAACTGCTGACTTGAAGGCACACGGATATGCACTTTTCACGTCTACAGAAGTTGTCTTATGATACTGTCTCAAACATGTTTGGAGTGACCACTTTCTCACTGTTAGATTACATCACCCTGGATGACTAGGAAAGGCTATGCTTTTGCAAATAGGTCTTGCTAAGACTCATCAGGGAGGATACAGAGTGCAGCAGATAAGAAGATGATAAATTAGGAAACAGGACAGCAAGCAGATATGTGCAATACTCACCAGCCCCCAGTCCCCAATATGCCAACCAATCTCTTGTATACAGTTCTCCCCAATGCACGGCTGAGCATGAAGAGGTCTGGGTTCTGTCGAACAGGCAGCATCCATAATCTGGGAGCCATGATCTGCCCTACAACTTACAGTCCGGGTTTGAACACCTTCCCCACAGCTAGCTGAGCACTGGAATAAAAAGGAACAGACCACTGTTAAAAGCAGAAATTCCAGCTACTTTTAGGGCTCTGAATTCTCTAGCTAAGTCTGACCATCGGGAGGAGAATTTGGGAAATGTTCCAAAAAGAACTTTTCTGACTTCTGGATGACCAGGTAAATCTATCCTAACTTTCCTTTTCCTCCTCAAGCCAACTTCACCATATCTGCTCTGGGTGTATGTTTATATGAAACCAGCAGAAGTGAGCGAGTAGTGCCAGTCATCAATAGCTCATCGACTGGCTTGTGGTGAAGGTTAGAGATAAGCATCCTCATTCTGTTTCCCTCCAAGTGAGAAGTTTGCGCTGTAATATGCTACTTAAATGCTAAGGGCATGAACGCTGCTGCAATTCATCATGAAATCGTTTCAGTTATGGAGAGAACATAATGTCAAGACAGCATGTGACAAAATGGGTACAGAATATATTGTGAAACCATGCAGAAACTTTGCAGAACCGACCAAAACAAGCATCGTGGGATGCTGACGGTGGGAGTCTGTCTCCTTCATGACAATGCATGTCCGCATACCGGTCATGCAACACAAGAGTTAGGTTCTTGTGGGTTTTTTCGGGCTATAGAGCCATGTTCTAGAGGCATTTCTCCTGACGTTTCGCCTGCATCTATGGCAAGCATCCTCAGAGGTTGAGAAGGTCCTTCTCAACCTCTGAGGATGCTTGCCATAGATGCAGGCGAAACGTCAGGAGAAATGCCTCTAGAACATGGCTCTATAGCCCGAAAAAACCCACAAGAACCTAGTGATTCCAGCCATGAAAGCCTTCGACAATACATTGAACACAAGAGTTGTTGACTTCATTTGGTTGGGATGTTTCAAGCCCGCCCCCCCTCTCACAGCCCTGATCTTGTACCCAGTGAATATCATCTGTTCACTAAATTGAAAAAACATCTTGGTGGAAAGCACTTTTCCAATGACGATGAAGTGAAAATCAAAGTGACAAACTGGATGAAAAAAGCGGAGAGAGACTTCTATGACACAAGTATCAAAAACTCGTTCCACAGATGACAAAATGTATTGAACTGAATGGTGATTATGTGGAAAAATAATGTAATAGCTATGCTACAATCCATGTAAATTTTATTAAAATATATTCATTCTTTGTATTTTTTTAAAAATCTTGTAATCTTACTTTCCGGACAACTCCCACATCATATTTCAAAGCAAACAATACTTAGATCATTTTTAAGGATGAACAATTTAGAAATATTTTCAAATAAGTCAGTATGTACACTGAATTTACAGTAAAAACTCACCTCAGACCAGGGCCCTGTGATCCATGTTGCACACTGCCTCACATTACAAGGCTGTGTGCTCCGAGGTTTCTCCGTTAACGATGCACACTCAGCATCATCCACAGCATCCTGAGAACCGTGTCCGTTGAAGGAGACACAATAAACTGAGCGGGCCTGTGTGCCTCCACCACAGGTAACTGAGCAAGGTCCCCAAACCCCCGTTTTCCAACTGTAAGAACAAAAACAACTTTCTTTTAGGGAACCAAGAAGTCCGCATTAGCAGCAAGAAGGTTCCCAGCAGCTAAAGCAAGGATTGCCATCTCAAAGAAAAGCTTTATCTTTTTGGTATTGATTAAGCATTCTTCTTGTCCGCCAAACCTATCAATCTGCTATGAAATACAAGAACTAGTATCGTCTCATCAAAGTAATGGAATGGAAAGCAATGGTTTGTCTTAATGATGAAAATTCTGCAAAGGTGTTTAGAATTGTGTGACTGCCAATTCAAGATGACAAAAGAATGCAATGAAGAAGATAATCTTAGACTGTATTACTCAAGGCTGCATTCATGCTGAAAATGTTTGGGAAATGAAGAAGGCTTTCCCAAGAATGGTATTTAAGAAACTGAGCTGGTCTTGATAAAGCAATGGTCCATATACTATTGAGAGAAAGCAAGGTTGTTGTTTTTTTCATGTCAGGAGCAACTTGAGAAACTGCAAGTCGCTTCTGGTGTGAGAGAATTGGCTGTCTGCAAGGACTTTGCCCAGGGGACACCCCGATGTTTTACCATCCTGTGGGAGGCTTCTCTCATGTGCCTGCACGAGAAGCTGGAGCTGACAGACGGGAGCTCACCCCTCTCCCCGGATTCGAACCATCAACCTTTTGGTCAGCAGCAAAATGTTTTGCAGTAACAGCTAGGTTAAGATAACTCCTAAATTCTACTTTATTTACTCTAGGTTCTACATTACGCAGATATTGTTTTGAGCTGCTTTCCTACTTGCAGGGGAATAACTATTCCTCATGGATATAAAAGCAAATGGAGAGTCTTTTTTTTAAAATGAAAACTGGCACATGGGGAAAAGTTGAAGCCTTTCACTGCTACTCAGACAAGTTTCATGCCTAGCACTGATTATGGTAATGGAGACTCTCTGCTGAATAACCACACCTCTCCCAGGGACTTCTCTATTTTGGCATAAGAGTCTAATAAACTTTGCTCTGGCTAGATATGCCGCTCCTAAAATAACCCATTTTTTTCTGGATTGTCATCAATCTTTTAATTTTTGGTTCTTCTGTGTCCAAACTAAAGATGACCCAAATAGTTTTCAAGTTAGTAGGCTTCCGTTTAAGAGAGCCTTTATTATACAGAGGAATTTGTGAAACAATGTGCTCAGTGGACAGAATACAGAAACTCACCTGTAACAATAAAAGAGAAAGAATGAAGCAGGAAACTGAAATTCTACGATTGAACTGCGTAGAGCTGACCCTCCACATCTGCGAGTCTGAATTTTGCAGATTTGATTAATATGGTTTCTCTTGGAATTTCTAGGTTTCCCAGTGCGACTCTATGGTCAATTTCCGCTGGATGTTGACTATAGAGATGCTTTGAAGGACCTAGTGATTGCTAGGGTTGTATCCTCTTAGGCTAAAAAAAAAAAAAATAGAGGGTTTTTTTTATTTGCAACTTTCCATGAACCCCAGCAAATGTGGAGGGCTGACTGTACAAATTTTGTGATGAGCCAGTTGGAAATAGCAATCTTCTACAATAATAAAACTTTATTTATATCTCTGGAGGGACTCGGGGTGGAGATATACTCCTATACTAGCTATTTGTTATGTATAGAATTGTGATTGTCTATATATATATATATATATAATTTAGTATGCGGTTTCCCCCTTAACTCTATGTTGCTTGAAGTTGTGGGAGGGACTGCAGACCATGTGACCAGATCTGGGACTATTCAGACTCAGACTCCATTTTTAGAAGCCGTTTGCATCAGACACAGTACAATTTAGAAGTCAGTACAGTATGCAATTGTCAGTGCTAGTATAACATCGATGTCAGTATGCTGCAGTGAGTAGTCCGTCTGTATTGAGTCAATGTTCAGTAATGTAATAGACTGAATATAGTGTTAGTTTGTATGCAACAGAGAAGAGACTAAAACAGAACTCTTTAGAAAACAGATTGTTTAAACTATCAACCAATAAGAAATGTGCCTGAATGCTGAATGCATGAAGTTTGTAAGTAAATCAACTACATTATTTTGAATGAAGACTACTTATTTTTGGTCTCTTGAGAGCATTATTTAAAATCAATATATTTTATGGGGGAGCAGATGTTTTGGGGGCAACTGAAATAACACTTCTGAAGATCTGCTATATATTTTGTGCATTGGCATATCTTTGTTCCTAACAGTTCAGAGAGATAGGAGCCCCCAGTGGCGCAGTGGGTTAAAGCCCTGTGCCGGCATGACTGAAGACTGATAGGTTGCAGGTTCAAATCCGGGGAGAGTGTGGATGAGCTCCCTTTATCAGCTCCAGCTCCTCATGCGGGGACATGAGAGAAGCCTCCCACAAGGATGATAAAACATCAAAAACATCCTGGCGTTCCCTGGGCAATGTCCTTGCAGATGGTCAATTCTCTCAGACCAGAAGCGACTAGCAGTTTCTCAAGTCACTCCTGACATAACAAAAAAAAGTTCAGAGAGATCAGGTATATCAGTCTAACAACTGAGAAGCCTAATTTGCCTTGTATTTACTACTGTATCTACCATTTAGTGGATATTTACCACTAAGGAGAAGTTTCAAACAAGTATTTAACTCTTCTCAGAAATATCATACTTTACAAAAAGTTTATGATTATTCTAAATAGTGTGAATGCCAGTTAATCTCCAAATGAGTCACACTTCCAAAAGGCTATGGAGACTCCTGGTTTTCCAAAAGGTTATTATCTTTAAAAAAAATCATGCCTTTCCAAAAGAATCTGTAGAGGAACCTCTATACCATTATTTTATATGAGTTACTTTAAGTTGTTCCTTTTTAGTATATTAATTTATATCATTTCCAAGCTTTTCTTATTTGTATCCTTTGTCTGGAATAGCCATGTTTTCAACATTAATGAATTACGTTATTTTTAAAATGTTGTAATTTTCTGGTGAATTTTCATCACCCAACCCAACTATACAGATGACAATGCAAGGATTTTATATTCATGAACAAAGGTTGCACCTTGAAACAACATTCTGGATAGCCGCTTGCTTGTACTAAGCAGCCTCAGACATTTTGCTCATCCAAGCCTTATTCTCAAAAGAAACAGTACAAGCAGATACAGACATCTTGAGTTGTAGAAATATGGTGAAACAGGATTGGATTTTGGGTCTGGAGTCCAAATCTACCCTCAGAGAAGGGCAAATGACAAGCATCTACATAGTTATATATCCTCATTGTATTCTTTTTCCCTTTAAAATATATTATCATTTTGCTTATTTTAAGTAACCATTAAGCATTAGGAGAAAAGAAGTATATCCATTTTACTTTTTAAATCAGAACAGTCCCTTTCCCCCCGATTTTAAAATGCATCAGTGGACAAGCTGGAGAATCTTTCTTTCTTTCTTTCAGGGCTGGGAAACATGTGTTGTTTCAGTTGCTTTGCTCTAATATATCAGGAATGCAGAAGCAGTTGTAAAGTGAGGAATGTTGGAGCGATGTGTAAGTTGTGTGCTTTAGAAATGAAGCAATAAGCATGTACGCCTAATATCTAAACTCCATTGCCACAATCCTGGCAAGATTATTAAATTACCTAGTAGCATCCATGGGGAGAAAACATGCTGGGTAGGAGAGAGCCCCTGGGACTGGAGAACAGCTCCCCAAAGGAAATCATTTGTTAAATATATTGGCAGGAAATCAATCAAGCCAGCTCCTTCGTCTTGGTCAGACAAAGAAATGAATTGCAAATGATGAAAATTGGTGCTATCTCACCCTTGAATCCCAAGAGGAAGTTTCCCTGCTTCACCTTGTCGTGAATGAATATGTATATATTTTTCACCTTCTGGTACAGCCACTATTCTCACTGCAATGAAACAAATCTCTCCACCATCATCCTACTACCTGCCAATACATCAGAAATAAACCTCTCAAAACTCAAATTTTATTTCAGAGCTGGAGCCCTTCAGAATATTTAGGTTTTGGCACTGTCCTTTGCCCAGACAGGAATCCAAGAACAAGTTCCCTTCTTTATTATTCCTCCTTTTCAGCTTCTGACACAGAGGGAATGAAAAAGAAAGGCCCCTTCCACACAGCTGAATAAAATCCTATATTTTCTGTTTTGAACTGGAATATATGGCAGTGTGGACTCAGATAACCCAGTTCAAAGCAGATATTGTGGGATTTTCTGCCTTTATATTCTGGGTTATATGGCTGCGTGGAAGGGCCCTAAGTGGCAACAACCGCAAAGATAAGAAACAAATGCAGCTGCGATGGGGAAGGCTGAGTAGGGGATAATTTACTACAGTACAGTCTTGCTTATCCAACATAAAAGGGCCGGCAGAATGTTGGATAAACGAAAATGTCAGATAATACGGAGTCCAACGCGGTGCTAGACACCTAGAATACTAACAACATGGGCTCAAAGGGTTAAGGCAGGGCAATGCCTTGGGGCTAGAGCGGTCCAGCAGGAAGCGCCCGGATGCAGAAGGAGGGAGGATGCTTCCGGTCCTGCCTCTTTTCCCCATTTCCTCCCTCGTCCCTCTCCTTGTCTTGCCTTGCCCTTTTCACTTATTGGGAATGGAGAGAGACTTGGGGATCGCTCCTTTAATTGAAGGGTAAATGCTGGAGGAAAACGAGGTGTTGGATAAGAGTGTCGGATAAGACGGAATGTCAGATAAGCGAAGGTCGGATAAACGAGATTCTACTGTATTGTACTACGGAAATTGTTTATAAAAATATAAATTAAACATATTTTTAAAAGAAAGACAGGCTACTAGTTTTCTCTCCCCGTCAAGTGAGCAGCTAACAACAATGCTAGTAAGGAGCAGAACCTGGGAAAGTTTATTTTCTAGACTATAACTACAAAAAAGCCACTGACCACATTACCTGGGGAAATCAGGGGTATCAAGTTCAAAAAGTAGCTGTAGGCCCACAAAAGGAGAAGAACCCAAACCATACGTGTCTTGCCCAAAAATCTGGAGCAAGAACTGTCTGGATTATGAAAGAAACATATACCATAACTTCTCACGGGCAGTATATAGGAAGGGGTCCGAGGCTGTTAGGAATGGTGGGAGTTGAAGTCCAAAACACCTGGAGGCCCAAGTTTGCCCATACCTGGCCCATATACAATCCCCAGTATATTTCATTTGAAAATTGGAAATCATCATTCAGGTTAGTGGCAAAAAGAAAGAAAGCAAAGTCCTATGGTATCTTTTTGTCTTTTCCCACTCTACATAGTAGATATATGCAAATGAACAATCTACAGTAAAAAAAAAGCTGCTACCTAAGCCAAGCTCATCCTCACCAGCACCCAACGCCAAAGCAGCAAGAGAGACCATCACCCTTCAAGGATTCTCAATGGGATCTAAGGCAGTGGCTTTCAAATCATGTTCCTCAGAACCCTTGTGCTCCTCAGACCCAACTCAAGAGTGTTGGCAAGTTTAGCAGCCTGCTTCATTATTAGCAAATTACTCCCACAGAGAGTGACCAAGCAATGCATTCTGGGGGTACGTTACAATGAGCAATAGTGAGTCTCCAAGGTTTTGACCCGAAGGCCAGAAGACCACACAAACTGAGTATGCAGCCTAGAACCCTCTTCAAGAGAGATAAGAATTATCCCACAGACAAAACGAAATTTTAAAAAAGGAACACAAGGGTCAGGACATTTTGAAGACCACTGTAGGTAGGGAGCAGGGAAAGAAGAGCTCTATAGGATTACTGAAACCTCTTTCCCCCTTGTTACCTCTTCCTTTGCAAGCTCCATGCTGTGCTGTGGCTCCATGCTCCCGGCAGATAGAGGTAAGACATCCTTTATATACAGAACAGAGATTTTAAAGCCTAGAATGTATATAGAAATATCTGGGTCTGTTCCCTACAACTTTGGTTGCATAACTGTCTTTCAAGGTAAATGTAAAATTGGAGATGCATTAATGCAGTGGTTCTTAACCTGTGGGTCTCCAGGTGTTTTGGCCTACAACTCCCAGAAATCCCAGCCAGTTTACCAGCTGTTAGGATTTCTGGGAGTTGAAGGCCAAAACATCTGGGGACCCACAGGTTGAAAACCACTGCATTAATGCATCATTTTTAACCATTTGGATTGGGGCTATATGGGTAGAATTATTGGTAGAATCGTCCAACACCCAACCCCAAAGGAATTTGTGACAGCTGATGATTTCCACGATGAGTCTGGTTTTTAGTCCAACTTGGGACTAATTCAAGGAATTGAAGTTATTAAAGATAAGTACCTTGGCCTGCCCTGCATTTCCTTTTGGGGGAATGGGAGGAGACTATGGCTGCCAGTGCTGCCACCACATCCCTTTACTGAGTTAGCCTTGCCAGACTCAGAAGAGGTCTTCTGGTAGGAGCAGCACCCCACGCCCAACAGTGGCTATAGCAGAAGGATGACAGAGGCACCCTGGTCAATGGAGGGGGGTGGTTGGGGGTCCTGAGATGGATAGTGAGCAACTGCCATACTGGATGTCATCCCTCTCTAATGATATCACCCAGTGTGGTCATATGCCCCCCTCCCCGCCAAACCTCTCTAATGATGCCACTGATTGTAAAAAGCACCACATGGAAATAATACCATCCTGAGTTAAATTTAAGTTAAATCTGCACATGCCGTGTTTTCCCAAAAAATAAGACACTGCCTTATATTTATTTTTCCTCTATATGGCTTATTTTCAGGGGATGTCTTATTTTTATTAAGTATGGTACAACAATCTGCATTTATAGGATGATCCTTCTGAGCTCAGTAGCAGACTGCTCGCTGAAGCTTTTTCCCTATCCCCTGGTGTTTGTGTGTGGTGAGAGAGACCCACAGACTGTTGCTGGTCAGTGCTGGGGAGCAGCAGCTTTACTGGTGTTTGTGGGGGGAGTGGGGGGGAGAGACCCACAGAGTGTTGCTAGTTAGTGCTGGGGAGAGCTACAGCTTTACTTCTTCCCTCTGAGGACAAACCATACCTAAAGCAGAGCACCCTGCTCCTCACTTCCCTAAGGAGATATTTACCTTCGCTTTCTATGTCTCCCTCTATGCCTCAGCTTGCAGCACGCACAAAATGACTGGGATCTGACAAGGGGAGCTGACCATGTGCGCTGCACAGCCATGCCCACACTGTTTTATTTTTGGGGTTTGGCTTATATTGTGCAAATATGTCCTGCTATGGCTTATTTTGTGAGTATGTCTTATTTTCGGTGAAACAGGATAGGTACTTTTTGCTTTTGCTCCTCCCCTCCCCCACCATTATGGCTGCATTCTACTGAACCAAGATAAGTTCTGGGGTCCTTCTATAAGTATCTTCCTTTCTCATTCTAATATGTCTAGAGATACTAAGACTGCCTCCAAGACAGCTTCCTTGAACAGCTATTTGCTTTAGCCCTCAATGCCTTTATATATTTTTGGGTATGTGCATTAGAAGCCATAGTGTCCCCAGATGTGGATTTCCTATGAGAAGAGTAATAGCTGAAAAAAGACCCTAACACTTAAGTTCAGGCTTGCAATGTTCTTAAATAGTACACCATTTCAGAAATCAGATTGTAAAAACAACATTAAGACTCACCGTTTTGTCTGAGGGCATGGCTGGAGATTGCAAGTGCGGTTATTTTCCGGCTGTGGTTTATCTCTGCACATGTAGCCTGGATATTCTTCATTGTCAATGGTGCAAAACACCAGACGTGACTGATAACCTACATGTGAAAGAACAGCAAAGCACTCTAGTGAGTGCCAACAGTCCACAGAAACAATTAAAAAGCAATCAGATTACAACCATAGTATTTCTAGAACAATAGATAATTCTATGACTTGCTTCCTGTCTAGGGAACAAAGTCAAACGGGAGACCAGGATGCCTTGGAAGGGTGTGTTATGACAGGCATGTTTCTCTGTAAGAGAATAGACTCAGAAACAAGATAAAATATACACAATAGGCCCTTAGCATCCACTGTGGTTTGGTTCCGGAAACTGCTGTGGATACCAAAATCCATGGATGCTGAAGCCACACTGTATACAGTTACAGGGTAAAATGATGTTCCTTGTAAAAATGGCAAAAATCAATATTTGTTTTTTTTTTGGACAGGTTATTTAATCTGTAGATGCAAAATGTGTATCTAGTGTAATTCAGCACTGGAATGTAAGGTATCCTTTAATTTACTGCTCTCTAGCTTTCACCATGTCATATACAATTTACTTAACGAACATATATTGAGAATACAAACTAGCTATGGTCAAGTCTGATTTTGGAAAAGAAGAAAAGATATTTGGACTTCATGTCATGATTACACTGCAAACAATGCTGTATCTCTGTTACAGAATGGTACCATATATACTCGAGTATAAGCCTACTCGAATATAAGCCAAGGAACCTAACTTTACCACACAAAAAAACTGTGAAAACGTATTGACTTGAGCATAAGCCAAAGGTGGGAAATGCAGCAGTTACTGATAAACTTCAAAACAAAAATATATACCAATAAAATTACAATAATTGAGGCATTAGTAGGTTAAATATTTTTGAATATTTACATAAGACTGTAATTTAAGATAAGACTGTCCAACTCTGATTAAACCATTATTCTAACTTTTTTCAATGTAAATGTGCTAATTTATCCTTCCAATAATAGTAAAGAGATTAAAATAATAAATGTAATAAAATAATAATAGTAGAGTAAAATAATGAAAATGTAATAATAACAGTAATAATAGAGTAAAATAATAAATGTAATAACAATAAAGAGTAAAATAATAAATGTAATAATAGTGTAAAATAATAAATATAATAATAACAATAATAGAGTAAAATAATAAATGTAACAATAATAATAGAGTAAAATAATAAATGTAATAAAATAATAATAACAGAGTAAAATAATAAATAACTTGAGTATAAGCCGAGGGGGACTTTTTCAGCCTAAAAAAGAGCCGAAAACCCAGCTTATACTCGAGTATATATGGTACCTTTTGAAGTAATCAGGATTGGCATTATTTTTATTGCAGTGTTACTAGGATATAATTTCTGCACTGACTGCCACAAAACATTTTTTCTTTTGCTTATGCACAAAGCTGTTGTCATTGCTGTTGTTATTGCTGCTGCTGTAATCAAAGTTGCCAATTAGCCATTCTCTCAGAATCTAAAGTGATCCATACACCTTTTATGATTTACAGACCAGCCCCATCACTTCATTCGATGTGAGTATTGATATAATAATCACACCATGGAGAAGACGGGGTGAGAAAAGAAATTCAACCTAAACATTGGGAATTTGGAGGTGAAATGCCATAGATTGCTTCAGAGGATAATGGACCTTCCCTTCTTTGGCAATCTCTAAACAGAGATTGGATGGCTATCTTTCAGGGGCGACTTAGTTGTCTATATCTGTATGGTGGTAGCAAATTAGATGGCTCTTATGATGCCTTCTAACGCTATTCTATTATTCTATTATCCTTGGTAGGCTGTAGGACATCTGTGGACATCCTGTAGCCTGGGTCACTTGGGTTAGGATACTTTCATTCAGCCAGTGAGCTTGCATGGTGTGATTTGCGTATTCTGATTGGATTTGAGATTTTGTTGTCTTCAGCTATGTTTTAATTTTTGTCTAGGTTTTTCCCCTCAACTTGGAAATTGATTCAGCTATAACATTAAATACTTTAAGCAAATAAAATAATGCTCAAAACTTGCCGCCACCACACTCAGCACTGCATTCGCCCCAGGAACCATAACCCCATCTGTAGCCAGGAATCTGCCTTTGGAATGGAAGGTAGTATTCATAATGCACCCCTTGGTTCGGTTCCTGGCTGATAAGCTACAAGGAAAGAAGTAAAGCATGTACAATGAAAATTCTTGAGGCTGTCCTTCCTGGCATCAGAATAATTCACACGAACAGTGAAGGAGAAAATAATAACAGGAGGAAACCATGAAAATATGGCTACCAATATTTAAAAAACTCTAAAATCAGGACAGTAAAAAAAGAACAATACTCAGAAAACAGACAGGAATCAATCAGGGCCAGGTAACACCTCCCAACAAAGAATTCCCCCCAGGTAGGAAGCAGCCAGGCTTTGAAGCTGCAAGGCCATCCAATGCTAATTAAGCTGGCCAATTGCAACATTCACACTTGCCTCAGATAAGAGTTCTTTCTCCCACCCTGGACATTCCACAGATATATAAACCCCAGTTGCCCAGTTTTCAACAGACCCCTCAACAGACCCCTCAACCTCGCCTGCCATAGATGTGGGCAAAACGTCAGGAGAGAATGCTTCTGGAACATAGCCATACAGCCTGGAAAACTCACAGCAACCTAGTGATTCCAGCCATGAAAGGCTTTGACAACACCGTGTGCACTATTTTTTTTTTACTGTGTAAAGGTTGGTAGAAGGGGTTGTTGCATGAAAACAAATGTTCCCCCAAAGAGTAGGAGTAGGCAAAGCATGGCCTTCCCATCAGCCCTCACCAGTAGGACCAATTATGAAGTTGATGTCTGACACCATCCAGTTGCCATCTTAACACCATCTAACACTCCCAAATAATGGGAGTTGCAGTGGAAAGCCATCTGGACAGCTGCACAAACAGGAACAACAAGGAATTCTAGAAATCTAGGTCATAGGGATAAAATATGGAACTGAATATACAGCTTAATTCTTTTTCCTAACAAATGCAAACCACCACCATCATTATCATCTTGGGGCCCTTCCACACAGCCATATAACCTAGAATATCAAGGCAGATAATTACAATCACTGCTTTGAACTGGATTATCTGAGTCCACACTGTCATATAATCCAGTTCAGTGTGGATTTTCTACAGCTGTCTGGAAGGTGCCTCGATTTCACAGTTTACCAGGTTCAAATGATTATGAACTGGATTCTGTAAAAAAAAAATCCAGTCACCTGTGAGATATTTTTAATAATGTGGTGTGTTTTGTCTTCTTTGCCCAGAAGCACTAGAAAACATTATCATCTGAGGCATTCATCCACATGTTACCAGGAGCCCCTGGTGGTGCAATGGGTTAAACCCTTGTGCTGACAGGACTGAAGACTGACAAGTTGGAGCTTCAAATCCGAGGAGAGCGCAGATGAGCTCCCTCTGTTAGCTCCAGTTCCACATGCAGGGACATGAAAGAAGCCTCCCACAAGGATGGTAAACCATCAAAACATCTGGGCATTTCCTGGGCAACGTCCTTGCAGATGGCCAATTCTCTCACACCAGAAGCGACTTGCAGTTTCTCAAGTTGTTCCTGACACAGAAAAAAAATCCACATGTTCACCAATCTTTTGTTTGAAATGATATAGTCCAGGAAGCATTTGGCCTTTTGGACTATTTGTGGGAACTAGAGCTAACTTCCAGATCTTTCCTATCTGCTGCTCGTCTCTGGTTTAGATGCTTTGTTTCTGGGATCTGCTTCATGCCCTTTCTGCCATGCATACAATATAGATATAATAAACTACATTCAACGAAGAGAATAAACTTCTTTCTTTCTAAAAATGATTTATCCCACTTCTTTTGACAAGCGATAATCTTAAAGTGACCTTAATGCTCAGGAAACACACAAACACTTCACCATTTGACAGCTGCATAAATCTGAGGTAACATCATTGTCAATGTTCCCTTTCTTCTTACCTCCTTCTTCTATTGGATGGTGAGTCAAGAAATGACTGTTTTCCTTTCAATTTACTTAGGAGTACATGTCTATTTATGACTGTGTGGCATCTCCTAGCTCTCAGTTCTAGGAATAATCCACAGTAAATTGACTTTTTTGGATTACAACTCTCAGAACAGTGTCTAGACCAGGCATGGGCAAACTTGGGTCCTCCAGGTGTTTTGGTCTTCAACTCCCACAATTCCTAACAGCCTCAGGTCCCTTCCTTTCCCCCCTCAACCACTTAAGGGCTTAAGACTTGAAGTTTTGGACTTCAACTCCCACAATTCCTAACAGTTGAAGTCCAAAACACCTGGAGGGTTGAAGTTTGCCCATGCCTGGACTAGATCAAGGGAAGTAACAGTAGCACTCTATTCTGCTTTGGACAGACATCACTTGGAATGTTGGGTCTTGATCTAAGCTTCACAATTCAAGAAGGAAATTTACAAGATGGCACATGTCCAGAGGAGGGAGACCAAGATGGTAAAAGGTCTGGCAATGAGGGTTTATGGGGAATGGCTCAGAGAGTTGGATATGTTTGACTTGTAGAAGGTATGATAGTCATCTGAAGAAGATGAAGCAAGCTTGAATTCAAATGACAAGAGAACAGATTCCATCTAAACACAAGAAAGAACTTTTCAACTGTGCATTAGATTGCCATGGAAGATGATGGACTCTTTTATGGATTTTTAAAAATATAATAATAATAATAATAATAATAATAATAATAATAATAATAATTATTATTATTATTATTATTATGGCTGTATTATTATTATTGTGTGTGTCAGGAACAACTCGAGAAACTGCAAGTCACTTTGGGTGTGAGAGAATTGGCCACCTGCAAGGATGTTGCCCAGGGGATGCACAGATGTTTTGATGTTTTACCATCCTTGTGGGAGGCTCCTCTCATGTCCCCACATGGGGAGCTGGAGCTGACAGAGAGAGCTTATCCGGGCTCTCCCCAGATTCGAATCTCCAACCTGTTGGTCTTCAGTCCTGCTGACACAAGGGTTTAACCCACTTGTTATTATACACCAGGGGCTGTATAATAATAATAATGATAATAATAATAATAATAATTTTCTTTATAGATCACCCTCTCTGAATGGACTCAGGAAAGTTTACAACACAAAAAAGGCAAATATTCAATGCCCAGACAAATGTAAAAAAAACCAACAACTACAATAATGAAACATAATAAAAATAATAATAACAATAACAATAGCAGTTAAACAGGCATTTTTCAGGAAGGCTTTAACTTGCTATGAATTTCTTTTTGCATAGTAAAGGATTGAACGAGATGGTTCTTGCAGCTGCTTCCAACTCCATGACTCTATGCCTGAACAGTATCTCTAAAACAGAGTTCAGAAACGTTACCATTTTGGTCTACAGTTTATTACAGGCATCAGATTCTGGGAACTGTAGATTCAAAAGCTATGGTAAAGTATATGAAACCAGGAACTGTACAGATTTACTTACCTCAATAATCAAGGGTTCGGTAGTGGGACCTCTGGCATGAAGAAGCTCAGGAGCCAGGTCACCCTCCACCCCCCTGTCGTAATGCACAGTTGTGCTAGCGATATGTAAGGCCCGGCTGAATTCAATTGTCCAGTGTCCATTTAAGTAATATGCGCCTCGCACATTCTTGATGGCTGAGAGAACAAGAAAAAAAACTCAAGAGGACAGAAAAAGTGTTATCACAGAACAGTTGCTCTTGTAATATAATTGAAAAACAAAGCCCCGATGATGGGTGCTGAAAACAGGAGAGCCTAGCCTGCCAAATTAGACCTACCTCACCTCTCTACCCCCATTACAGCCCACACTGACCCCTTGATATATGCAAGATTTTTATGCCTCACCCTGTATAAGGCTGATACAAGATAAGAAAACATTTCTGTTTTGAGATATTACTATCATAAGTTGTTAGGTCTATGCATATGGTCACAATGGGTTGTCAAGTTATTCAACTGATTATAGGTTATTAAGAACACGGCTTGAGGGGAAGTCTAACACAGCCCCCAACCCATTGCGGTGGCGCAATGGGTTAAACCCTTGAGTTGCTGAACTGCTAACCTGAAGGTCGACAGTTCGAATCTGTGGGATGGGGTAAGCTCCCGCTGTTAGCCCTAGTTCCTGTCAACCTAGCAGTTTGAAAACATGCAAATATGAGTAGATAAATAGGTACTGCTTTGAAGGGGACAAGGCTAAAGATGCTCCAAACAGTCTTGCCGACCACACGACCAGGAGGTAACAACGCAGGCTCCTCGGCTTGAAAATGGAGAAGAACACCGCCACCACCACCCCCGAGCCAGAGCTGAGCACTGTCTCCAGAAGCCGGAAAAGAAAAATAAGCCTTTGCCTTGTCTGTGTTTGCCTGTCTCGTTGTATCTGACTGTGAGACATTGAATGTTTGCCCATGTCTGCTGTAAATGCTGTAATCCACTCTGAGTCTCCTAGGGAAGAAGGGCAGAATATAAACAGTGTGTTGTTGTTGTTGTTGTTGTTGTTGTTGTTGTTGTTGTTGTTGTACAGTGGGCCCATAGCATCCACTGGCATTTAGTTCCATGACCTCTGCTCCCCCCCACCATATCTCATGGGGATTCCAAAATCCATAGTTGCTCAAGTCTTATAACAACAACAACAACAGCAACATCAACAACAACAACTTTATTTATACCCCGTCACCATCTCCCCAGCCAAGGGGACTCGGGGTGATTAACATGAGGCCAAGCCCCACAATTGCAACAAAGCAAATATACAAACATACAATAATACATCAAATAAAAATATAATAAAATCTGAAAGGAAAAATACAAAATAAACACAGAATACAATATGAAATAACAAGTAATTGAGCAGGCTGGGCAAGGCCAATTGCAAAGGATAAAAATTTAAAAGCCCTAGTGAGATGAGTAGTGTAGTGTATCTGGAGGGAGGTTCAGGTGGGACAAACAATGGGGTTTAATTTCACTAAAGGGTGAGCTAAAGTGCACCAAAGAGTTAAATCCATGCATGCAGAATCCATGGATACGGAGGGCCAACTGTGTAGTGTTTTTGGGAAACACTTTGTAGTTATATACTTTGTGCTTTTCCTGCATGGCAGGAAGATTGGACTAGATGGTCCATGTGGTCTCTTCCAACTCTATGATTCTATGGTTCTATATATGTATAACATCTTTGGCAGGGATATTCACGTTTTCCTGATTGGTGGGCCTTAATTTGTGACATAGGCATGGATGATTGGGTTATATCACCATCATAAGACATACTCTTGCTTCCATTTCAGCTCTGCTTGGGAGCCCTTCCATTTTTTTTATTACTGCGTGATGCTTTTTTAGACAACATTAATACAACCACAAAAGATTTCTGGAATGGAATGGGTCTCAGAAGACTGTACCATGTTTTATTTCCGAACATTGAGCATTGAATGCTTTGATGCCAGCATTAGCCAAAATATAAATATTTAGGGATGCTGTACTTACCCAAGAAGTTCCTGGTTGGTGTTGCTTCCTTAATCTGGATACTTGTGGCCCCCATGGGAATGATAAAGATTTGGTTGTAGCCTTTAAAAAAGCAGAGCAAATCAGCCCCAATAAATCCAGCTTAGCAAGACAGATGGCAGTAGAGAAAAAGAGACAGGGTAAAGTCACCCTTGTGTGAACAGAGAGTACTTTTCCAAATGAAGAGCAGCTAAGTGGAAAAAAATATATAAATTCAACTGTAACTACTCCATCGATTCTGAATTGGCTGCATCCAGATTCATACTACCCTTAAAGCAGCCCATCCATGTAATTGATAAAATATGGCCTAAAGCAGAGTCGTCAAGCCTCGCCAAAGATTTCAGAGCTTCACTGCAAAATCTAAATGGATTAAGATGCATGGTTCATTTTCTTTGTCAAAGCCAGCCCAAATATTTTCGCAATCTCGTTAAACCCTCATGAAAAACCCATCAGTTTTTTCTACCTTTAGGGAGGTTGGGTACATCAAAGAGACCCTTCACTTCAAAACAGGCCCGGCCATCTCCACCACACTGCAGGCATTTGTCTTCCTTCTTGGAAGAATCCAGCATATTATCACAGCCAACAGCCTGTAAAACAGCACAGGGTAAATCAAATGCAAGGATGACCCTAAAGACCAGGCACAAGTCAAAAGTCAAAGAGGTGGCTTTGATTTGAGCTGAGCAATCAAGCTGGAGACAGATAATAGTTTGGAAAAGAGTTGAAAGTGATGGGTTCTTGTTGGTTTTTCGCGCTATATGGCCATGTTCTAGAAGCATTCTCTCCTGACGTTTCACCTGCATTTATGGCAAGTATCCTCAGAGGTCGTGAGGTCTAACAACCTCTGAGGATGATTTCCATAGATGCAGGCAAAACGTCAGAAGAGAATGCTTCTAGAACATTGCCATATAGCCCCAAAAACCTACAAAACCCCAGAGATTCCAGCCATGAAAGCCTTCAACAATAAGTTGAAAGTGATTTCAGAAAAACCATGAAAGTGATCTATTCTTGTCTTTGGTCAAAGGGATTTTGCTACTTTTAAAAATAATATAAAACTTTGCAAAGCCTGCTACTACTGGCAAAACTGAGATAAGTAAATGCAAACAAGTAATTCCTTTTTCAAATCACCTTTAATTCTCTGGGAAAAACCTGGCTTCCAAGATTAGAAAATACATATATAAACTGTTGGAACATTCTTCTAAGATATAGTCTACTTAAATTCCAGATTTCACACACATAAGACTTATTTAAGGAACATAATGGGCAGTATATTATTTAATTATTCTGTGTAAGGAAAGATACCGTATATTCTCGAGTATAAGCTGTCAGGAATATTAGCCGAGGCACCTAATTTTACTACAATAAACTGGGAAAACTTATTGGCTCGAGTATAAGCCGAGGGTGGGAAATGCAGCAGCTACTGGTAAATTTCAAAAATAAGAATAAGAATAGATACCAATAAAATTACATTAATTGAAGCATCAGTAGGTTAAATATTTATATTAAACTGTAATTTAAGATAAGACTGTCTAACTCTGATTAAACAATTATTCTAACTTTCTTGATTAGCATTGAATTAGCCTTGCAGCTATAATGTCTGGCTGCTTCCTGCTTGGGGGAATCCTTTGGACAATTTCAACAGAAACAAGGAAACCATGAAAATGCTCAAAATCCGTATTTAAAAACTCCAAAATCAGGACAGTAAGTAAAGAACAACACTCAGAAAATCAGGAATTTCTGACATGAAACAATCACATCCAGCTAACACCTCCCAACAAAGGATTCCCCCAGGCAGCAAGCAACCAGGCTTTGAACTTGCAAGGCTATTCAGTGCTAATCAAGGTGGCCAATTGTAACATCCAAACTCTCCTTAAACAGACAAGAGATCTTTCTCCCACCCTGGACATTCCACATATGAACACCATTTGCTTAGTTTCCAACAGACCTCACAGCTTCTGAGGATGCCTGCCATAGATGTGGGGAAAACATCAGGACAGAATGCTTTTGGAACATGGCTATAGAGACCAGAAAATTCACAGCAACCCAGTAACACCCTTTTCTCTTCAACCCCCAATCCCTGTTGAAGAGGGATTATTTCAGAGTGTTTTTTTTCTCCTCTTGTCTTTGTGTACACTCTAGTGGTCGATCCTGCAAATGCAGTAAACTCAAAACCTTCTTATAGTCAAGATTAGAAGAAGACATTTTCTTGTCTGGAAATCTTGAGCTCTAGTCTGTCCCCTTCTCCCAAAGGAACCAGTAAACTATCCCCATTGATTTTTGCTCCCTCATGCTAGGTTTTAAAAATATGAACATAACTAGTATAAGGGCTACAGTCTGCATCTGCAGTCTGTAGCCCTTATACTAGTTATGTTCATATTTTTAAAACCTAGCATGCAGATGCAGACTGTAGCCAGGAAATCAGAAGACGCTTACTTCTTGGGAGGAGAGCAATGTCCAATCTCGATAAAATAGTAAAGAGTAGAGACATCAGACTGGCAAAGATCCGCCTAGTCAAAGCCATGGTATTCCCTGTAACCTACGGATGTGTGAGCTGGACCTTAGGGAAGGCTGAGCGAAGGAAGATAGATGCTTTTGACTGTGGTGTTGGAGGAAAGTTCTGAGAGTGCCTTGGACTGTGAGAAGATCCAACCAGTCCTCCAGGAAATAAAGCCCGACTGCTCACTGGAGGGAAAGATACTAGAGAAAGTTGAAGTACTTTGGCCACATCATGAGGAGACAGGAAAGCCTAGAGAAGACAATTATGCTGGGGAAAGTGGAAGGAAAAGGAAGAGGGGCCGACCAAGGGCAAGATGGATGGATGGCATCCTTGAAGTGACTGGACTGACCTTGAGGGAGCTGGGGGTGGTAACGGCCGACAGGGAGCTCTGGCGTGGACTGGTCCATGAGGTCACGAAGAGTCGGAGACGACTGAACGAATGAACAACAAGTATAAGGGCCCAACAAAAGCCATTCCTAATGGGAGTTGGCAGCTCTGAGGATCTCTGCATGGCCAGCGACCATCACACGTTTTTCTGCTTTCATTCTCTGACTCTTGTGGCAACCTAAGGGTGACCCCTATAGTGTTTGGAGTACAGAGAACAAAAAAGAAAATGGGGCTGGTAGGAAAAAATAAAGTTGTGACTCCTTTCAGACTGGGGGTCCTTCCACATAGCCCTTTATCCCAGAATATCAAGTCAGAAAATCCCACGATATCTGCTTTGAACTGGGTTATCAGAATCCACACTCAGATAAAGTGGGATTTCTTGCTTTGATATTCTGGGATATAGGGCTGTGTGGAAGGGCCCTAACTGAATTATTTCAGCATGAGTTTTCATGGATATTGTCATCTCTTCCATTTCCCTTTTATGTTATGACAAACTAACACAGTTTGGAATATATATGTGTGTGTGTGCGCGCGCGTGCGTGCGTGTATGTATATATGTATCATGCAGTCATGCCAGCCACGTGACCTTGGAGGTGTCTATGTGCAACACCAGCTCTTCGGCTTAGAAATAGAGATGAGCACCAACCCCCAGAGTCGGACATGTCAGGGTAAAACCTTTACCTACCCCCCTACACCCCCCCCCCCTCACTATATATATATATCTTGACGTCCTTGCTAATCCATTAAATGCACGTAGTAACACTGGTCAAGTAACTGCCTTTAACATTCCTAACAAAGCTGCTCGGTAAAATGGGATAACCTGGATATGTCATCATGAGCCCTTTCAAGGAATAGGAAATAATAATAATAATAATAATAATAATAATAATAATAATGCAAAGACTCTGGCATAAGCCAGTCAAGATGGTCCCAGTGGTGATCGGCACACTGGGTGCAGTGCCTAAAGACCTTGGCTACACTTGGCGCTGACAAAATTACCATCTGCCAGCTGCAGAAGGCTACCTTACTGGGATCTGCATGCATCATTCGCCGATACATCACACAGTCTAATGTGTGATCTAATACAACAGCCAGCAGAGCGTCTGTTGTGGACTCATCTTGTTGTGTTTCAAATAATAATAATAATAATAATAATAATAATAATAATAATAATAATAAATCACACAGTCGAAAATACATCACACAATCCTAGATGCTTGGGAAGAGTTTGACTTTTGATTTTGTGATATGAAATCCAGCATATAGATCTTGTTTTCTGTGACGTACTGTGTTTTTGTGTCAGTAAAATAATAATAATAATAAATTTATTATTATTATTATTATTATTATTATTATTATTATTATTATTATTTCATTAACCCACCCTATGTCCCCAAGGCGATTCAATAAGACAGGAAAATGTATATACTGCTTTTGGGATAAAGTGATGCAAAAACATACTTGACAGACTCCCTCCACACAGATATCATGCTTCCCAGGCTCACAGGGGGTTCCGTCAATCACAGCTTCTTTGTGTCTGTAGTAGAAGTTCTCTCCTTTTGGGATGCAGTTTAGTTCACATTTGTTGGGTGCTATGAGCAAAGTTTAAGAAGCAGTGTTTTACTGAACATGCTATCTTTTCCCATAAAGACATTTGAAACATAGGGCCCTGTAATACTACATTATGGCACGGTGGTTCTACTTTAGCCGACATTGCTGCATCCTATGGATTGTAGTTTCAGAGCTCTCTGGTTGAGAATTCTGACTGTCTCTCCGTAAACTGCAAATCCCAGGATTTTATAGGAGGTTGGCATGGCAGCTAAAATGCAAAATAGCACTATAATTGTATAGTCTGAAAGAGTATATACTACTATTTTATTTGAGTTCTTATATGAAATCCAAACAAAGTTTAATTGAAGATCTCATATCACATAGCACAATTGTTTTTGTTTACAGAATACCTTTAAAATAATAGGTAAAGAATTATAATCTAGTATCAAGAATAGGCTTTATCAATCCATTTCCTTCCTCCTTGTGTATTTAGACTACAACACCCACACACCCTGTCTCAATATGGAAACTTTAAATTGGATGTAGGAGCTTTAGATGGTCACCCTTTCCAGCCAATATGGAGGTTATTGGCTTGCAGAAGGCCATTACAGAGCAAGGATTCAAAGGCTGGGCCATATATTATTTCCAGCTTTGCCGTAACACTTTATTGAACTGGAATATATTCACTATTTCAAATGTTTCCTAGTGGTTCCCTTTTATTTTTTGGTTAACCAATATAAAATATTTTTTTCCACAATTTTTACTCATTTTGTATCCTTGTGGTTTGGCTTTCCTGTATTAAATCTCCTTTGCATTCTCTAAGCATACATGTGTAGGTGTATGCTACAATCTGGAATATGCAGGGTCCGTGGTGAAAGCATAGCTATACTCAACTGTCAATATTTTAATGCTTGAAATGCCTGATCCTCCATATATATCATCATTATCATGGAAACATTATATTTTGGATGAGGCAATTGAGAAAGCATACTATCTGGAAGGGACAAAGATAAAGATAAGGAAAGTTCAGTTTTCAACATAGGCAATGGGAATTAGCTTATCAAGTGGCAAGTAAGTGTGAGTGAGACAAGACTTTAAATATAATTTGAAATTGCATTCAGGTTGCCTTAGGAGGCAGAACTATTACAAATTGTTTGGTTGTTTTTACTTTTATTTTGATAGATTTTCTTTTCATTTCTTTTCATGTTTTGTCATTATTTTTAAAGCTAATTGTATTGTTTTAATCTGCTTCTGTAAACCGCTCCGAGCCAAATTGGGAGTAGTGGTATACAAGTTAAATAAATAAATAAATAAATAAAATTGATCTTGCAAAAACGTTTCCATGAGATCCCAGATGTTTTACCGGGAAGTAATAATATATGGATCCATGGTAGCACAGTGGAATAAACCGCTAAGCTTCAGAACTTGCTGACCGGAAGATCACCAGTTCAAATTTGTGGGACAGGGTGAGCTCCTGGCATTAGTCTCAGCTTCTGCCAACCTATGTGAGTAGATCAATAGGTACCACTTTGGCAGGAAGGTAATGGCTTTCCATGCAGTTATCCTGGCCATATGGCCTTTGAGGTATCTATGAATAACACCACCTCTTAGGCTTAGAAATGGAGATGAGCACCACCCCCCAGAGTTGGACTCAACTAGACTTAATGTCAAGGGGAAAGCTTTAACCTTTACTAATAATGTATGATTTTTAAAAAAATATATGCGATGTAATCAATTCACCTTCAAGCAAACCGTCTATGTCCCCGAATTGAAAAAAACATTCAGTATGAATAAATTACCTCCATAATAAGGAAGCCACTTGTATCGCTTTCCCTGGAAGTCTGTCCCATCAAACACAGAGCATTGTTCTGCCCGAAAATCTCTGGTGCCTTCAGGACATTTCTAGGAAGAAAGGAGTGTGTTGTTTGGAACAAGGTTTCATATCAAAGTAGACAAGCAACGAATTCAGATTAATTCTCTTAGAAGAAGCTTTCTGTATTTCTGCCTAGTTTGTGGGAGGTAGTCAGCATGCTGGAAGAAGCAAAGACCCCCAGCATTGAAGCGATGCTCCTACACCACCAACTTCACTGGAATGACCACGTAGTCTGAATGCCTGATCATCGTCTCCCAAAGAAGTTACTCTACTCCAAACTCAAGAACGAAAAATGGAATGTTGGTGGACAGGAAAAGAGATTTAAAGATGGGCTTAAAGCCAACCTTAAGAACTGTAGCATAGACACCGAGAACTGGGAAGATCTGGGTCTTAAGCGCTCTACCTGGAGGTCAGCTGTGACCACCAGTGCTGTAGAATTTAAAGAAGCACAAATGGAGGATGAAAGGGAGAAATGTTCCATGTGGAAGAAGCATCATGCCAATCCTGACCGGGACCGCTTTCTACCTGGAAACTGATGCCCTCGCTGTGGAAGAACATATGGGTCAAGAATAGGCCTATGTATCCACTGCCAAGGCACTACACTTGGAAGGTCATCATACTCAGACAACGGACTGCCTAAATAACAATCAACATTAAAAATGCTACCTGGTCAGTCACTTGGAAATCAATAAACCAATGAATATTATTCAAAACTCCAGTTCTTTACATTTATAGTTCAAGATTAACCTTGTGGTTGTTACAGCTATCGTTACATCTCTCCAGTTTTAATCTGCTCATGATGTTTGCTCAAAGATATTACTGATTACCGTCTGAATATCAAGAAGCCGCCTTTGGTTATCAGCAGATCATGGCTTGTATTTTATAGAGATTAGTCTGCACAGTTCTGTTTTAATTTCCACGCCGTCATCAGCTCTGTCTGAATGCTACTTTTCACCTTCACATACCCATCATTTATATGCATAAAGATTTTGCCATAGCTTCACACCACTTCAGCTTCCTGTATTTTCACTCGGCACATAAGCAAATGAGAGGATGAAATCAGTCAATAAAATATTATCCAAGGACAAGTGGTGGTTTACATGAAAATCAAGATGAGAATGAGTAGATGCCAGATATCGTTGTTGAAAAATATTCAGCTCATGAAAGAGAAGGGTGGGGAAATGAAAGCGAGCATATTGAAGAATTTACCTGAATGTTGCATGAGCGATAGCTTCGGGTTGGTCCTATACAACTGGAGCCACCATCTGTCCTGAAAGACAGACCAACAGTCTGGAACAGCTTGCAAAAAGCGGTCAGTGCCAGGATCATATTGAACAATTCATTTTGTGCTTCCTAATGAAACATCAATATGAAACACTATTACTGCAGAGTTTTGTAAATCTTACTTCCTGCAAGTGGCACAAGTTTTGCAAAAAGCTTTTCACAAGGTAAGTTTCCTTAAGAGAAACCAGACCTGATTCTGATACTGCTTCCTCTGTCCATCAAATGAGAGTTTGTTGTCGGATGAAAAAGAGCTACAACCACAGAAATGCCCAGAAGATATTTCCTGGTCTATTAAACTACTTTCCCATCCTATGTGAACCGTAATTGTGCTTATAACATTATCTGCAGACTGTAGCATAAATCAAATAGTTCTATGCAGAGTAGAGCCATTTCATCCAGTGGTTCTCTTTTCATGGGTGGGGAAAGCCTGTCAATAGCTCTCAATATCATTGCTGTTATAATGGATCCCTTTTGCTTCTGTTGCAATGTTTGAGAAATATGTGGAATGAGTGGGCACAGACTCATAGAATCATATAATCTATTCCTTTCACTGTATCAAGGCAGGGTAAGGTTGCTTTTAGTCAATTTTCATGTATTTTATATTTCCTTTTAAAGAAAATTAATTTTCTCAATTTTCAGCAACAACATAGTTGAGCCCTTGGTGGCTCAGTTGATTAAACTTGCTGAATGAAAGGTCGCAGGTTTGAATCTGGCGAGCGGCATGAGCTCCTTCTGTTAGCCCCAGCTTCTGCCAACCTAGCAGTTTGAAAACATGCAAATGTGAGTAGATCCGGTGGGAAAGCAATCCATGCAGTCATGCTAGCCACATGACCTTGGAGGTGTCTTCGGACAATGCCGGCTCTTCGGCTTAGAAATGGAGATGAGCACCAACCCCCAGAATGGGACACGACTGGACTTAATGTCAGGGGAAAACCTTTTCCCTTTACCTTTACCTAACACAATTGAATGAAAAGTGTGCATGTGCTGGATAGGCTATAAATGGACAAGAAAGTGGGGTTTGTGAGACAGATGCAGTGTCGAAACAGCACTGTAGCACAACTGAAAACAAACACGATAGTGACTGTTTCACTACTGGTATATTTCCATGTGTGACAACAATGCAATTGCTGTGAGATAAGAGGATGGTATGATAAAGTCCTAAGAGAGATTATTGACAACTGTCTACTACAGTCAGGCTTCTTTCTGATCAATTCAAATTGCGGATTTCCCCCCACCATCCATTTCATGCTATACCTCCCCAGGCAAAGCCAGTAGGTTGGTGTAACCTTACTTCCAAGAAGCCAATGGAAGTCATCTTACTATGCATGGTTAGGATAACAGTTAAACTCCCAACAATGTGGGCAGGGGCTTTTTTTTTGTGTTAGGGGCGACTTGAGAAACTGCCATTCACTTCTGGTGTAAGAGAATTGGCAGTCTGTAAAGACGTTGCCTAGGGGATGCCCAAATGTTTGATGTTTTACCATCCTGTGGGAGGCTTCTCTCATGTCCCCGCATGGGGAGCTGGAGCTGTCAGAGGGAGTTCAACTCGCTCTCCCCGGATTCGAATCCTTGACCTGTCAGTAAGCAATCCTGCCCGGCACAAGGATTGCACTACTGGGGGCTCCTGGGCAGGGCTAACTCAGGGGAAGTCAGCAGATCCAGCTTTACAAAGACAACGATTCTCACAATCAGTTTGTGTCCTGAACAGAATCCGAGTTCCCATTCAAATCAGAGCAGCTGTAGGAGGAACAGCCATAATATTAAGAGTTGATATTTTGTGCCTGACTCTCCATGTTGATGGATACACTAACTGAGCAATGAGAGGGAAAGAGGAGACATTTCTGATATTTTTTTAAAAAAAGATGTCTAAAATTACTTGCTCAACTTTGGGAACTATATGCCATGAGTCAGAACAGTAACTTGACTTGTACTGCCATTCACTATTACAGAACAGGACACAGGAGCAGCAAAGTGAGGCAGCTGTTGTATAGAGTTTTTACTACCAGGTATGGGAAGAGGCACTTGTGGGATTTCCCACCTTGAGTACCAAAATAACTTGGCTATCTCTGGATACTATACACATTGATTCAGGGTGTGTGAGGGAGGTTATTTGTTACTTTGTGCCAGGCACCAAAATGTCTTGGGTCTGTCCTGACAGGATGCATATCAGAACCTATGAAAATATTCAATCATGCAACAGTGTTACTGATTTAAAAATGCTGTAGTTCACTATCATGTGAATCTCATTGTGAAGTTCACAGAAGATATTGAGTTTTTTGTCTGGATAGAGTCATAGTTGGAAAGAAATACAGTTCAGTCAGTCTGAGTACCAAGCCCATAAACATTCTGAAGAGAAACCAAAATGTACAAGGCAATCATAGCTGTGTTTACTCTGAAGTAAATCTTACTGTTTTCAACTCATCTCACTTGTAAAGTGTATGTAGAACAGCAATTTTATAAAGTCATTTACTGCCCTTCTCTCCTTGTCTACCTGCCTTTCTAGCACCTACATTTTAGTGCCATAAGGGCACAGATGTTATTTCTGAGAGAGGATCCAGAAAAGCTTTTCTGCTGGCAGTGCTTCTCTCCAGCCAGAATTAGGTTTTCCCAGCACACAAACAAAATATTCTGTGTTTGGAAATGCAGTTGTTGGGATCATGACTGAGAAGACACGAAGCCTAATCCAGCTGGATTTCATCTGTGTAATGTAAATAGAAGAAGAGAAGCTGTATAAGGAAAACATGAGCTTTACCTCCTATTGTTGCCCTTTTAGTTGCCCCTTCCATGTGATTTCCTGAAAGGGAATCTTGTATTTGCAAAGGTTTTCCATCTGATTTCAAATGGAACAACATCAATATTGGGTTGTTGCAGGTTTTTTGGGCTGTATGGCCATGTTCTAGAAGCATTCTCTCCTGACGTTTCACCTGCATCTATGGCAGGCATCCCCAGAGTTTGTGAGGTCTGCTGGAAACTAGGAAAATTAGGTTTATATATCTGTGAAAACTCTTGTCTGTTGGAGATAGGTGTGAATGCTTCAATTGGTCACCTTGATTAGCATTTGATGACGTGACAGTTTTCCTAATTTCCAACAGACCTCACAACCTCTTAGGATGCCTGCCATAGATGCAGACAAAACGTCAGGAGAGAATGCTTCTAGAACATGGCCATACAGCCCAAAATCCTACAACAACCCAGTGATTCCAGCTATGAAAGCCTTCGACAATACATTGAATATCAATATTAAAAATCATGTGAAAGCCTCCCCATGTCGAAGAGGCTCTCTTCTTCTGAAGACTACCCACCAAGTGCAGGGACAACAAAAAGCTGCCATTGGATTTTTTTCCTACCTGGGGGAAAAGCCTGACCAGTCAGAATGGCAGAAGCTACAGTTCAACATGGAAAAGGTACAATAGGAGATCTCATTGCAGTGATACTATAACTACCTATAACAAGACTACATTAATAGTTTAGGGTGTCTTGGATTCACACTGGTTTTGTGTGTGTGTGTGTGTGTGTGTGTGTGTGTGTGTGTGTGTGTCAGGAGCAACTTGAGAAACTGCAAGTCGCTTCTGGGGTGAGAGAATTGGCTGTCTGCAAGGATGTTGCCTAGAGAATGCCGAGATGTTTTACCATCCTGTGGGAGGCTTCTCTCATGTTCCCACATGAGAAGCTGGAGTTGACAGGCAGGAGCTCACCCTACTCGCTGGATTCGAACTGCTGACCTTTCAGCCAGCAGTCTCATTGCACCACTGCATCACAGATTCAGATTGTGAGTATGCATATATAAAGTTAAGAAAATATTTTTTTCAAGAGATGCCTTGAAGACGCTGTCATATCGAAATCAGATCCACAATGAAGGCACCACTAGTAGTAATTCTGCAAGATCCAAGGGCGAACTGAGACATGGCTTCAGAGAGAGAGCACAAACAGGTTTTTAAAACACAGTGTCAAGACAATGTTTTAACAGTTTTCTCCGTCTGGCCTTGTTTATACAAGACTAGTCTGATTCATCCCGAGCTTGCATCAAATGGGTGTAGCTCTGCCTGCCCAAGCAGGATCTGGCATTTTTATTACCATGTAGATATATTGCACCTTGTGTTTCCCAAGCCTTTGCCAGATGACACCATGCTAAGAACATCCCTGTTGTGTCTGCAGCTTCTGTGAATGGAGCAGCACCTGATCAGGATTTTCAGATTTGGAAACACATGCATACATACACATAGTAGTTTAGGCCCTGCTGCCTTGGACAAATATTTGTGATTTTTTTGGAAAAGTAATAATTCTTTGTATTTCCAACCCAACTCTCCTGTTGGACTCATCAACTATGTTGTAGGGTTGAAGAATTGAGCGAAATGTGAGGAAACCTTTCGAACCAGAAATAGCATGCAAAAAGAGCTAAGGGCACAATGATCTAAAGGCTGAGGCAACTGTCTTATTTCATCCATATTGAATTTTAGACTGTAAACTTCCTGGGGCAAAGGCATATCTCTTTGAACTCTATAAACTCCACACATTGATGACACTATGCAAATAATTAGAGGCCATGCACAGATGTGCATAGGACGTGCGTCATTTTGGCAATGGCCTTTGGAAAAACAAATCCAAATAAAAATCATACTGGGAAAACGCTGTAGTCTTATCTTGACTTCACGAAAAAAAATGCATTATTTGTAACTGCTTCATTGCCAAGGAATACAGAATATATCAGAATTATGCAGAAATCAATTGAAGAATATTTCAGGCTCCCGGGACCCTGTGTTAATGATGTTCAAGTTGCCATTCCTGAGCAAATAAATGTTTAAGGGAAACTTTGCCTTAAATAGTTGAATTAAGATTTACCAAAGTTCAGTTCTTTGATCTGAAACCTGAATCAGGATTATGGTATTTTATCCCGCAACAAGTGTTTTGATTGTGATTGCCGATAAACACTTTTATACAGCTCTCACATGTTCAAAGTATTTCACATGCATTATCTAGTTGCATAATCTTAACAATCATATTGTAAATAGTAGTATTATCCCTATGCTATGTACAATGGGCCCTTGGTATCCACTGGTATTTGGTTCCAGGACCCATTGTTGCTACTAAATCTCATGGATGCTCAGGTAGTGGTGCAGTATCATGGTGTCCTTTATACAAAATCAAAGTTTACTTTTCTAATTTTTTTGGGAGAGGGGTATATTTTTAACCTGTGTGTGGTTGGATCTCTGAATAAAGTTATCAGTGGATACTGATAGCTGACCGCATTGCTGATAGGGTAACGGAGCTATGTCTAATAGTACCTAGTGAGTTTGTGACATAATCAGATACTTGAACCAGGTACTTTCTGGTTCACAGTCGTTTGGTGATCTACTCAGTCTCTGAAACATTAAACTACACATGCTCTTTAATGAACTACCAATACCAGGGATGGACAACGGAATCAATGCCATGGGAGTGGAGAAGTCATTATCAGTTTTATAGAAGTTCCTCATATAACCTGCTCCAAGTTGTACAGGGGTTTTTGTGGCCATAAACTGCCCCCGGTGGTGTAGTGGGTTAAACTACTGAGCTGCTGAACTTGTTGACCAAAAAGTCGCGGGTTCGTATCCGAGGAGCAGCATGAGCTCCCGCTGTCAGCACCAGCTTCTGCCAACCTAGTAGTTTAAAAACATGCAAATAGGTGCTGCTCCAGCGGGAAGGTAATGGCGCTACATGCAGTCATGCTGGCCACATGACCTTGGAGGTGTCTATGGACAATACTGGCTCTTCGGCTTAGAAATTGAGATGCACACCAACCTCCAGAGTCAGACATGATTGGACTTAAAGTCAAGGGAAAACCTTTACCTTTACTACTAAACCTATGTCATGTCGCACCCAATACCTCATTGGTTCCCACCTAACACAGTGCAGATGTGAGAGGAGCATAAAACCATGGGTGGATTCACAGCTCCCAGAGCAACTGCTAATCACCAATGCCATTCATCATAACTGCAAAGCTTCAAGAGCACCTCTCCTTCTGTCAGCATGCCCATGACTTAGTCATCGGAAGAGGTTATTCTCTTAAATTATTATTTGTTGCTGTGTGCTTTCAAGTATTTTTTTACTTATGCCAACTTTCCTGGGGTTGAGAGTGTGTGACTTGCCCAAGGTTACCCGGTGGGTTTTCATGGCTGAGGAGGGAATCGAGTCTTGGTCTCCAGAGTCACAGCCCAATACTCAAACTAAACCATGCTGGTACTTTCTCTTAAATTATATTTTGTATCAACAAAGGGATGAGCCTTCTAGGTTGTGGCGACACAACTGTGGAATATTCTCCCTATGGTGGTGGTAAGGGTCTCACAACGAGCACAAAACCTTAAGTGTGAAAGCATTTTATTTGCTATTTTTTCCTTTTTTTATTACATTTGCTGATTTTCACTGTATTGGTGTATTTTAAAAAAGTATTTTGTAACTGTATATAATATTTTATTCTTGTTATTGTACTTAGATACCAACTGGTTGCCTATAAAAATGAATAGTGGGTTAAAAAAAAGTAAAGTAAACTAAAGGTTTCCCCTGACATTAAGTGTAGGGTAGTGCTCATCTCCATTTCTAAGCCAAAGAGCTGGCATTGGCCATAGACACCTCCAAGGTCATGTGGCCAGCATGACTGCATGGATTGCTGTTACCTTCCTGCCAGAGTGGTATCTATTGATTTACTCACATTTGCCTGTTTTCGAATTGCTAGGTTGGAAGAAGTGGGATCTCACTCCGTTCCCCAGATTCGAACCACCAACCTTTTGGTCAGCAAGTTTAGCACCTCAGCGGTTTTACCTGCTGTGCCACCAGGGAGTGTTAAAATGCTTTATTAAATAAGCAATATAAACAATAAACATTACTTTTAAAAATAATGGTTTTACATCTATTGAGCATAATTGTCTCACGAAGTATTTTATAACATCTTTTCTTCTGTCCTCAATGCTGCCAATTCCTTTCTCATTCCACATCTATCCCTGACAACTAAGAAGTGCACTTTGTGCATTTCATGAAGTGGACTATGGGCCACAAAAGCTTCTCCTATAAGAAGTGTACTAATTTCGAAGATGCTACAAGATACTATTATTGTTTCTTCAAAGAAGCTGCTGTACCCTTTCCTGTAAATATTCTGGTTTAAAGAGGAAAAAGGCATGGAAATAAAAGGTTCTTACCTTTGCGAATAGCAACGTCGCACCCGAATACTGACGCCTCCACCACAGCTTCGGCTGCACTCACCCCATTCTCCCCAGCTTCCCCAAAAATCACTCTGCCTCTTTACTTTCCGAAACTGTAAGAATAAGAAGAGGCCCAGGTTTTAGAAGTCCAACAACTATGTCATTAAGGTTGAATACTGAGAACCCGAAACATATCCTGTCTCTATTCCTGATTTGTACTAATTCTTCCTGCTTCAACAGCATCCATGATGGACCAGCTACTACATCCAAGATCTTCAGCAAACACATACTACCTGAAAAAAGCAAATCTTGGGTGAAACTGCACATTTGTTTCTTGTTTGCTCTGGAAATGACCAGTTCCAACACACTGATTAAAGCTTACCGTTTGACCACTCCAATTTGATATTTTGCTGTTGCTGCATGCCTTTAACTCTTTCCGATTTGTGGCAACCCTAAAGCAAACCTATAATGGGGTTTTCTGGACAAGATTTACTCAGAAATGCTTTACCTTTGCTTTCCTTTGAGGTTGAGAAAATATGACTTGCCCAAGCTCATCCAGTAGATTTCCATGGCTGAATAGAGATTTAAACTATTGTCTCCAGAATCATAGTGCAATATCAGCCCATTACACCATGTTGGCTCTGTTCTATTACTGTTACACAGATAAATTAGTTCTTCTAGACGGAATAAATCCATCCAGATGTTAGGCTATTTGTTGCTCCAATTCTTGGGTCCTCTAAAATGCCCAAACAACCTTTCTGTTGTTGCAGACTATTTTCTGGGAATTGCTGGCACCAGATGCAAAATTTTAGGGTGGTTAGACTGAGATTAATTGGAACAATACATCCTTTTAATTCTCCTTTATTTTTTTAAAAGAGTTACAGTGTTCATAGTGCATTGATGTCCAAGAAAACTCAAAGAGAAAAGTTTTCTTTCAAGCCATAGGTCTACCTTAGCAAACCATGTCTCTGTTGAAAGAAAAACTGTAAAAGTCCTAAGTAGTGCAAATCCACAAAATGGCTACAAACAGCCTACTCAAATCTATACACATAATAAAAGTGAAAATGTGTATGTGATGGAGGTGTCCAATTCCCAGACAGCCTCCCACCTCCACAAACAGCTTTAGCCCACAGTGCTGAAGAGTCACCAATGGCCCTCCCTCCAAGGACATTTCAGGTTACAGTGGGCACCATGAACATGTCTCCCAAGCCCTGCCAATGTCCTCTCGAAACACCGCACTGCCCACCACCCAAGTGAAGGCCATTCAGGGACAATTTCATCATAGATGTTCTGTTTTTCCTCCTGAATGGACATCCCAGGGGTCCTTTCTCTCTCCAAATTTGCATAACCCCACCCACTGCCTCTCACTTAACCCTTTCTTACCCATTCCTATAGCACACAGAGAACAGGAATTGATTCGCAACAACTAAACATACTGCAGGGGTTTGTGAGAATGGATCTTGATTTTGGGAGTTGTAGTTCACCTGCATCCAGCGATGCTGTATCCCCCACCAACAATGGACCAGGACCACTCTCGGAAGAGAGAAGCCCCAAGACCAGTGAAAAATACTGGTGGCCTTGGGGAAAATTCTCCTTGATTTGAGGGAGTTGTAGTTCATCTACATCCAAAGAGCATTGTGAATCGAAACATTGATGGATCTGGACCAAACTTGGCTCACAGACCTGATATGCTGAAATTTGATAACTGGAGGGGGCTTTTAGGGTGGGCTGATGTTCCTTTCTGGGAGTTGCCCCCCCCCCCCCCGCAGTCAATTTAAGAAATAATTTACAGGGAGAATCAGCTCACTACAACCAGAGAAACAGTGACCTCCACTGATGATGGACCTGAACCAAACTTGGCACACAGTACCCCCATGACTAACTCAACCTACTGGAGGGGTTGGAGGAGACTGGTTGGAGGAGACAACCTACTGGAGGGGTTGGAGGAGTTGTAGTTTACCCTACAGCCAGAGAGCACACTGAACTCCATTGATGATGCATCTAGAGCAAACTTGTCCAACATAGCAAACTTTAAATACTGATGGTATTTTTAAGGGTTAACTTGGCATGGTGTGGGTTATAGTTCACCCACAACCTTATGCATTTTGTACAATTTAAAAATTGACGTTTTCAAATAACTTGGGCAACGCTGGCTACCTGAGCTAGTAAATAAATATAAATGAAATGAAGAACACACAACCAACAAAAATCAAGAATTAAAGCTTATTGCTGTTTATTCTTTCAGTCACTTCTAACCCTTCGTGACCTCATGGACCAGCCCATGACAGAGCTACCTGTTGGCCGTTGCTACCCCCAGCTCCTTCAAGGTCAAGCCAGTCACTTCAAGGATACCATCCATCTATCTTGCCCTTGGTCGGCCACTCTTCCTTCTTCCTTCCATTTTCCCCAGCATCATTGTCTTCTCCAAGCTTTCCTGCCTTCTCATTATGTGGCCAAACTTTGCCTCTAATATTCTTCCCTCCAGTGAGCAGCCGGGCATTATTTCCTGGAGTATGGACTAGTTTAATCTTCTTGCGGTTCAAAGCACTTTCAGAATTTTCCTCCAACACCAAAGTTCAAAAGCACCTATGTTCCTTTGTTCAGCCTTCCTTGTGGTCCAGCTCTCATATCCATAGGTTACTACAGGGAATACCATTGCTTTAACTATTCAGTTCTTCGTTGCCAGTGTGCCAGAATTCAAGCTACTTTGTACTAATCTGGAGGAGACTGCTGAGCCAACCAAACTAATGTTATAAGATGCCCTAGGACATTGTCAAACCAGGTTTCTTCACAGTCAAGATCAATTGAAGAACTCTCTATTTTCAAAATATGTTGAATATATGAGATCCTTAAACTTTTGTTTGTCATGTCTTGCCTAAATACCCAAAAGGTACCAGATTCTATCAGATTTTGGAAGCTAAGCAAGGTTAACTTTGGTTAGTACTTAAATGGTAGACCATCAACAAACACTTAATGCTGTAGGTTACGGCCCTTCCACATAGCCAGAATATCAAGGCAGATAATCTACAATATCTGTTTTGAACTGGGTTATCTGAGTCCACCCTGCCACATAATCCAGTTCAATGTGGGTTTTCTATAGCTGTGTGGAAGGGGTCTAAAAATAGACTCTCAGTTTACTGGAACTCAAGCAATTAGAACTCTCATATGTAAAAGAAGGAGAATTATGAATAAGGGAGAATTATAATCATGAGCAGACAGAATGCTGCAACTGGCACAAAAATAAAATCACAGAAACAATACTGTATTCACAAATCTGTTTTTAAAGCCTAGTGAAACTGTGTTAAATTTGATAATATCTCTCTTCATTTGTCTTTAATTACTGTATTTCAATATTAATATCAAGCCAATACAGAGTGTATGGTACAGTATAGTATGGGGTATAGTATTAGCTAGGCCTATTTTAGTACTAACTCTCAAACAACCAGAAGCTGCATTTATCCGGCATCTACCAATCCAGGAAGGGACTGGCAAATAGTACTGCTTTCATAAGAAGTCGCCATAAGTTGACAGATAACTCAAAGCACGCATACACATACATGACCTCAGCAATTGTTTTGCCTCTAGACTGAGTGACAGGCTCAAGTTTCTCAATCCCTGTAGTAAAGGACAATAACAAGATTTTATCAGGAACTGGCTGAATTAGCTGTTTTTGTTATAGATTCTCTCTGCCTGCCCTCTATTTAATTTGAAACATCTGTTTAAAAGCCTGGAAGTATATGCCAAGAGATAATCCATTACTCCTAAAATATTCCAGAGACATAATGGTGAGTGTTGGGGTTTTGTTTGTTTGTTTGGTTTGGTTTTTTGAGGTGGGGGCAATGTACAAGACATTTATCAGATAAGATAATAGAGGATTGTATAAGGAAGATTTTCAATTCATTTCTAACCAGTAATTGTGTACAATAATGTTAAAATAACCTGTTCAGAAAAGTTGGCAACATCTCCAATAATATCACTGTGGCTTAATTAACCAAACAATCAAGTTACTAAGCCCAAGTGCTGGCAAATAGTCCTAAAATTGATAATGAAGACACAAACTGTTTTTTCAGACAAATAAAAATGTAGCCAGAAACTCTTTAAAATTATGGGAAAATATGTCAGCTTTAGTACAGGAAAGTTAACTCTGCCTTGGCTCCATTATACAGTACTCCAACGTTATAAGCATGTTTATAAGCATGTTGCACTGATGCCAGCATACCCTGCAACATTTCCCAGATGAAAACCAGGAAACTGGCGTTTGGAACTATCAACAAAACACCATTTGGGGAAGACAATGTGATACATTGGGCCTCAAAGTTTGCTGGGGATAGGGCAAGTATGGGTAAACCCAGGCCCCGGGGGCCTAATGCGGCCCCTCAGACTCTTTTCTCAGGCCCTCCTTTCTCTCACCATCCTATCCTTCCTTTTCTCTTTCCTTCCTACTTCCCTCCCTCTTTCTCCTTCCCTTTCATCCTTTCCTCCTTCCTTCGTTCCCCTCTTTCCTTCCCTGGCTTCCTTCTTCTTTCTCCCCCCCTCCCGCCTTCACTTTTACCCTTTCATCCTTTCTTCCTTCCCTCTCTCCCTCTTTCTCCTTCCTTCCTTCCTTCCTTCCTTCCTTCCTTCCTTCCTTATTGTCTTTCCTTCCTTCCTTCTTTCTTTCCTCCCTCCCTTCCTCTTTCCCCTTCAATCCATTCCCACCCTTTTGTCCTTCCCTCCCTTTTGTCTTTCTTTCTCTCTTTCCTTCCTCCTTCCCTCCCTCTTTCTCCTTCCATCTTTCTCTTCTACCCTTTCTTCCCTCTCTCACTCTTTCTCTTTCTTTCCTTCCCTGTTGTCTTTCCTTCTTTCTCTCTCTTTCCTCCCTCCCTTCCCCTTTCTCCCTCAATCCATTCCCTACACCCTTTCCTTCTTCCTTCTGTCCCTCCCTCCCTTTTGACTTTCCTTCCTTCTCTCTTTCCTTTCTCCATAAAATTAAAAAACAAACAAACAAATAACCCCCTTAATTATTTACATGAGAAAACACCTTTGTGGGAATCTCTAGGTATCCGGCATGACCGACTTCTGCCAGAAGTTGACCACATATTTGCAATGGAGAAACTACAGCTGCTTAAATAAGGAGTCTTTGAGTTGACCATAAATCCCACTGGGAGACCTAGATATTTCCAGAAAAAAATATATTAATAAAATCCACAAATAATCAAATCTGCAAAAGTTAAATTTGCAGATGTGAAGGACCAACGGTATGAAACTGGAAAATATATCCAGGGGAGGGGAGGCAGAGTGGCCTATTTCCTCTGTCTGTCTTACTAAGAAAAGCAGAGGAAGATACAGGCATACGTCAGTTAACAAAGTCTTCGACCAAGAATCTCCAAGTCTTTTTGTATCTGTCTTAATCTTTAGATTTATTCATTACCTCACTGAGACAGCTTTCAAGGTGGAAAGGGATAAGTATCTTTATATGCATATCATCCTCACTTGGTATAAAAAGATGTGTTTGTATAGAACAGCAACCCTCCTGGCCAAGGAAACATAAATAAAACAGAGACAGCACAAGATGATACAGGAAATGGTTCAGGAGTAGCATCCTAAACAGCAGTGTATTAATCTTCAGAGGTCAGATGCTGAAAAGTCAATACCTAGAAAGTAAATGCAATGCAACCGCATAAACATTGGAGCTGCAATGCATCATGAGTCCTTCAGGCAAGAATTGAGGCAGAAACAGGAGGAAACACCTTAGCTGGTTTTGCCCTACCATTCAGAAATTAGGGGACCTTATTTATTTGTTTACTTACTTATCTTGACTTTCTCCTGATACAAGGACTCAAGGCGGTTACAGAGAGATTCAAGGCTTTACAAATGGAATATATTTGAAGGCAATCTGTCCCACATCCATGAGCAATTGACTACATATTTACAACTGTACATTGATGTGAAGACTTGGTATATCTTTCTGAAGCAGAGTAATAGAGAAAAGCAGCTGGGAGTGTGCAGAAAGGTGAAGTTTTAAAAACAACGATAGTATTAAGTCGCTTTGTTGCTCTCAATCATAGAAATGAAAGCAGAATACAAATGAATACATAATAGCAGCAGCAACAGCCTATGTGAGCTGCACTGCAGACCTGAAATGGTTAATCTAAACCAGTGGTTCCCAATCTGTGGTCTATGGACCACCAGTGGTCCACAAGAACAAAAATGTGGTCCATGGCCTCACCATTACTACACCATTGGAACTAGAGCTAATGGTCTTGCAAAACACTGTTACAGTGCCAAAGCTTATTAAATATGGTTTTTTATGGGTGTGCAGATGCCGACTACTGGATGGCATATGTATCTAGAGCTGATGTAGGCCCCTTCCACATAGCTATATAAAATTCCACATTTATCTGCTTTGAACTGGATTATATGGCAGTGTATATGGCAGTCTTTCCAATGCATTTTTCTGAATCAGCACCCTAAATAACCAAACTGAATCTAAGGGCCCTTCCACACAGCCCTATATCCCAGAATATCAAAGCAGAAAATCGCACAATATCTATTTTGAACTGGGTTATCTGGGTTAAATGTGGGATTTTCTGCCTTGATTTTCTGGGATATAGGGCTGTGTGGAAGGGCCCTCAGTAGACGATTAAATATGTATCCAAGTTCAATGGATGAACATAGGTGATAACCAAACATGAAGGAGCAATCGCACAACATTTGACTATTATTATATGCACCTCAGTTCTCTGAGCACTCTGAAGTTTGGAGGATTTAACCATATTTAATCTTTGACTGAACAACAGAAACGTGTCAGACAAAATGTTGGTTTTTGCCTGCAACACCTTCACTTTTCTTATTTTTAATATGTTTTGCATGATGAAGAAACCAGTAGAATTTCCAAAGCTTGTGTTATGTGTTTTACGCATTTTGGTTGGTATTGCTCTGCTGTAAATTGTGGGTTTTGTTTTGGTGTATGGTCAACTTGGGCCCCTTCCACACAGCTGCATTTTCTGCTTTGTACTGGAATATATGACAGTGTGGACTCAGATAAACTGCTTCAAAGCAGATATTGTAGGATTTTCTGCCTTGATATTCTAGGTTACATGGCTGTGTGGAAGGGCCCTTGGCTACTCCTGAATGTGATACCTGGAGTTAGCTTCCTTTGGAAAGAAGTCCCTGCACACTTTTGTAATATTTATAAAGATCTGTACCACACTTGTGAAACACTCCAATTGACAGCCAAAACACCTCTGTCCTGAATAAGATGATGAGAGTAAGGCAACCCTCATACGGTTCTTCCTATATGCCACTTAAAACCGTGGGATGCCTCTTTTTTACTTTTCTTTTTAACTCACAGCTAAAGTGCTCAGCAGGGATCTCCTTTGCGGTTCTCGGCGCCCTTCCATACAGCCACATAACTCAGAATATCAAGGCAGAAAATCCCACAATATCTGCTTTGAACTGGGTTATCTGAGTTCACACAGATAATGTGGGATTTTATTCAGCTGTGTGGAAGGGGTCTCAGAATAAGGATGAGACACCTTCTAACCTTCCCAAACCATTTACCAGTAGTTTTCCTAAGAAACTATGGTTTTACCATGTATTTTTGCTAAGGGAATCTGTTTTGCATTTGTGCTCCCTTTCAAACTCCACAATTATAACGTACCATCCAGAAACCCAGATAATAGTCAGAAGGATCTAAAAATAATCCTATTTATTACTCATGCTCCAGACAAAGTTAATTACTTCAGCCTCTCACTGATAAAATGACTGAGCTTTGGATCAGTTATACGCATTGTCTGTTAAGCCCCGCAACAAACAACAGGGCTCCATGTGATACATGTAATAAAAGACAACAAAGCCCTGCTTGCATGCTTATAGCCTAAAACACACACACACAAAAGCCCTGTCTCAGACTCGTAAGTCAGTCTGGCATTTGCCCGATGGGTGGAAACAGACCACTACCCTTGAAGGATGGGGAGTACCTAAATAGCACTGATATAATATGCTCTTAGCAAAGACCCAAGCATGCCTAAACAGGCTGCAGCATCTGGCATATCCAGTTTTATTTCTACTTTCATGTGACAGCTACCATTTTACAATCAACATGCTCCTGGCTTAAAAACTGTGATGTCATCCTTTGAAAATGGTCCCAGCTTTCACAGCTAGCACATTTCCTTATGGGCTTTAAATTCATTATAAGAAAATGTTCATATGTCCTGTATTCAACTTCCTTATAAGACAACTGCCTACCTGTATTAATCAATACTTTTATCAAACAGTTCCTATGAATTCTATTTTACCCAAGTAACATATATGATCAGTATTTCACAACAAAGGGTTTACAAACAACATTTAAAGACAGTAAATAAAGAACAACACTCAGAAAACAGGGGATTTCCTGACAGGAAACAATCAGGGCCAGCTAACACCTCCCAACAAAGGATTCCACCAGGCAGGAAGCAGCCAGGCTTTGAAGATGCAAGGCCGTTCAATACTAATCAAGGTGGCCAATTGCAACATTCACACTTGCCTCAAACAGACAAGAGTTCTTTCTCCCGTCCTGGACATTCCACAGATATATAAACCTCATTTGCCTAGTTTCCAACAGACTTCACAACCTCTGAGGATGCCTGCCATAGATGTGGGCAAAACGCCAGGAGAGAATGCTTCTGGAACATGGCCATACAGCCTGGAAAACTCACAGCAACCCAATATTTAAAGAGATGACAAAGTGATTGTGCATCAATACACAAAGTGATTGTGTTTCCCTATAATTAAAATAATCAGAAATTCAATATCTGAAATAATCTAAAATTATCCAAATGAGACAGCAACTCCTTTGCTTTCTGACAGTTCAATGTACATAAATACTGTGTAATGCCCAAAATGATTAAAATAGTGTGCATAAAATTACCTTCATGTTAGGAATATAAGGTATATATAAAACACCAAAAAAATCCTTGTATTTAGACATGGGTCCATTCTCCAACATATCTTATTATATATATGGAGGTATTCCAAGATCCAAACAAAATAAATAAATCCAAAATACAGAACACTTCTGGTCCTGAGCATTTCAGATAAGGGACACTCAACTTGTATTGGTGGACACATGAAGTGCACAACTGGCAGAACAAGGAGCAAGGTGCATTACTTTTTCCCATGTTTCATCTAAGAAGTTCAAACAGCTGAGTTCATTATGGAAGCTATCAAAACACGTTCTATATTGAGTCCATAATTCTTTGGTGGGGCCACTTCCTCTTACCGAGTCCATCAAATTCAGCTTTCTTTGAAGACTTTAGTTCTCTAATGGGCCACATGCTGGCATATTGTGTAACACATTAGATTCTCACTCATTGTTCCCCAATTTGCAAACACTACATTTTCCGCAACAATTATGATTGTTGGAACAGATCAAAAATATAAGAACAGCTTAGCACCACCTAGCCCACCTTCCTATTAACCCAGAGGAAGCAAACAAGTATCTCTGAGAAGACCACATGTGTGATCCCACTGCAACTGGTATTCTGCAGGGTTTGGATGACAACTGCTAGGATCCCACAGCCTCTATGACTTCCAGTTACAGAGTTGAAAAGTACAAAGGTGTACTTTTCAAAAGTTAACATTCCAAGTTCTTGTATTCAGAACATGATGCCAATCATCTTGGCAAGGAGTTGAAGTCCAAAACACCTGGAGGACCCCAGGTTTGCCCATGCCTGATATATAGACTCCTTCTTCTGACTCAAGTTCGGAAACCAGCGTCTCATGACAATGCTTCAATACTCACTGCTGGTGTGGAAGAAGGCATCACTGCTAGCATCAGCAGGAAGAACAGAAATGTCATTGTGTCCTATGAGGAAGGAAAGACAGATTTACTTAGCTGAAGACTAAGGTAACTAAAAGGATGACAGTTCATGGCCTTGAAACCTGAAACATCTCCTTTAGATATTCCTACTGTGAGGAGAGGGGTTTTTGAAGCGATCAGTTGAACATAGAGGGTGCAGTGGGATAAAACCAAGCGGTTGAGGAAATGATAAGGAAACAAGAAACATTGGGATTATTAAGTCTTGATTAAGAACTTAAATGACAGATACAACATGAAAATAAGAGAAGCCTGGTTTGGAGAGATACCAATTTTGGTCACAAAAATTGAGTTGGAATGCCTTTGCACAGGTGCATCAGCAAGATCTGAGTTGTATTGGTGTACAGTGGGGGGAGGGGTATTTAGTCAGATACCAATTGTACAAGTTAAAAATCGGACAATGTGATTTTCTGGATGTGTTTTCTCATGTTGTCTCTCATAGTTGAGGTCTACCTATGATGTCAATTACAGGCCTCTCTCATCTCTTTAAGTGGAAGAACTTGTACAATTGGTATCTGACAAAATAGTTTTTTCCTCACTGTATGAGCCCAGTGTTCCGTTAGGTAATGAACTAATGCAGATTCATATAAGAATTATGCCTGGTAGATCAATAGGTACCGCTCCAACAGGAAGGTAGCGGTGCTTCATGCAGTCATGCCAGCCACATGACCTTGGAGGTGTCTACGGACAACGCCGGCTCTTCGGCTTAGAAATGGAGATGAGCTCCAACTCCCAGAGTTGGATACAACTGGACTTAATGTCAGGGGAAAACCTTTACCTTATATATATAAAATCTGAATTCTATGGAAAAACTCCCACTGATACAGGGCTTAGACGCAAAACATGCTTTGTGTTTATTTGGATTTTCTTTTTCAATGGAGAAATTGTGCAACTGAAATGTCACTTTTAAAAAATCCTGCAAAGGGGAAGTGGTGCAGCTGAGAGAAGTTCTTTTAAAAGACCCTGCATAGCAGGCATGGGCAAACTTGAGCCCTCCATGTGTTTTGGACTTCAACTCCCACAATTCCCAACAACTTCAGGCCCTTTCCTTTCCCCCCTCAGCAGCTTAAGTGGAAGAGGCCTGAGGCTGTTAGGAATTGCGGGTGTTCAAGTCCAAAACACCTGGAGGGCCCAAGTTTGCCCATGCCTGCTACATAGTATATTTCTCTCTCATTATTAAGAGCAATATATATTTGAGAAAATGAAAGGGTCATTATTTGCAGTTGCACCCTATTTGTGAAATGACTGGAGATTGGGTTGATTAGAAGTGTAATCAACCAAATGTTTTGAATCGTTGTCTGAGAGATAGCAACCAAGGATCCTGGCACATGTGCCAGGGGTATCAGAGCCGTGTTACGCAACCAGCGTAGCGTGGGTTCCAGCTATCAGACTTTCACTGGTTTCTGCATAGCATAACCTCAAACATTTCACAGATGAAAAATAGCACACACGTGGTCACACAACATCTGACTGTGATCCAGATGTCAAAAGTTATTAATGAGGAAGAACATTATAAAAGTCGGGCGAGGTCGATTCCTACCTCTCCTCTCTTGCCTGTGTGTTAATTGAGTGCCAACAAGTTTTGGACTTTGAACTTAGCCTACAGGGAAGGGCACGATTCTCCCATCATCACCCATTTCCTCCATCTTGCTTAAGCAATTGAGTGCAAACTACGTTTTGGATTTTGAATTCAGTTTGTACAGCTGAAGAAAGTTGATGAACGAAGGATAATGGGAGGAAGAGTAGAAAGAAACTAAATCCAGATTGATTGAGAAGTCTCACATTTCGATATTTCTGATTTTATACTGTTAACCCAACCTGAAGAGCTGGTTAAAAGTCTCTGATCATACCAATAGTTGATTAATGGGGGGGGGGGGGAACGGGATGGGACACAATATAAGTTCTGAATTGTTGCTGAATTTATGCTTTGAGTACACATCCAGTATCCTATTCAGCCTCCCTAGTAATATCCCCACCAGTGAGTGTTCATTCCAAGATCTCTGTAAACAGAGACGTTACAATGTGTTGTCGAAGGCTTTCATGGCCAGAATCACTGGGTTGCTGTGAGTTTTCTGGGCTGTATAGCCATGTTCGAGAAGCATTCTCTCCTGACATTTCGCCCACATCTATGGCAGGCATTCCCAGAAGTTGTGAGGTCTTTTGGAAACTAGGCAAGTGAGGTTTATATATCTGTGGAATATCCCATGTAGGAGAAATAACTCTTGTCTGCTTGAAGGAAGTGTGAGTGATACAGTTGACCACTTTGATTGGCATTAAATGACCTTGCAGGTTCAAACCTGGCTGCTTCCTGCCTGGGGGAATCTTTTGTTGGGAGGTGTTATCTGGCCTTGATTGTTTCATGTCTGGAATTCCCCTGTTGTTTGAGTGTTGCTCTTTATTTACTGTCCTGATTTTAGAGGTTTTTTTAATACTGGTAGCCAGATTTTGTTCATTTTCATGTTTTCCTCCTTGCTGTTGAAATTGTCCACATGCTTGTGGATTTGAATCGTGCCAGAGATGTTACATATTATTCAAAACATAATATCAACACTATAGGTTCTGGACAGGACAACCACCAAGTCAGAAATTAAAATAAATTGAAAACAAGGTCTCGCTGCAGCAGCACCTGTCTCTTGTATGCTATCAAAGTGATTCTAAATCAAGAGATTTCTACAGCTGCTGCAAAATGTCCTTGGTGATTTTGTTGTGAGCCACCCGTCTTACATCTGAGCAGGGGGTCGTGTATGAATGGAGAGTGGAATAACAGATAATCTCATTTTCTCTCTACTTTCACACAGCTGGTCACTTTATATAACATGTTATAATCTGCAAAAAGCATGCATATAGGCTGTGGCAATGGATTAGTGCCAAAGTACTGCTTGTTGCCATCTATTCTCACATGTTGTATAAACTGTGATCATCTGTTCTCCCCACTACCATATGTCTGTGTTTCTAAGATAGTTAAGATCCTCGGGAGGAGAAACATCTTTTGCTTTTGGAATTCTGAAAGGAGGAAGTTCTTACACTGATGATTGTGAAGAAACAATTGTAATACATTGTGATTAGATCCAAACAACATAATGCACAGATTTCAAGACACTCTGTGGAGACACTCCTACCTTTTGTATGCACAGGGGCAGGCTGCTGTCCTTGTGTGACTTCAAGTCCCTTCTGATTTATGGCAATCTTAAAGACATCCTATCATGGGATTTTTTCTGGCAAAATTGTTAAGAGGGGAATTGTTTTTACCTTCTTGTGAGGCTTATTTATCACATCAGAAGCGAAGCGGTCTGACCTCACAACCTCGGAGGATGCTTGCCATAGATGCAGATGAAACGTCAGGAGAGATTGCCTCTAGAACATGGCCATATAGCCCAAAACAACCTACAACAACCTAGTGATTCCAGCCATGAAAGCCTTCGACAATACAAGCAATTATTTGTTTCCAACATGCCAGAGACCAGCTCCATATTGGTGTCCATTTATTAGAACTATTTCTTTCTTTCTTTCCTGGAAAGTCGCCAGGAACTAGCAGACAATGGCTCAGATTCAGGGACAACTGCTTTGAGTAGCATGTCTTCAGAATGCAATACCATAAAACACAAAGGATAGACGCTAGAAAGAAAGATTCTGGGATCTCCCTCCTCTTGAGCAGGAGGGTTTTCCAGTTCTTTACAGGTTTCCTGGATCCAAACCAGTAGTAATATTTCCTTTCCTGACTTCTTTTTAAAGTTTTCACCAATCAACATTTAGCACAGTACAAGGGGCAAATTTCTCATCCATCCACAACCTATGGGGCCTTATTTTCAACCATTTAAAATATTTAGATATAATAAGAAAATCTTAATCAAGACCTATACACATGCTTTCCCATCTATGTAAGACAGTTTAGAAAACAAACAGGTTTTTTTTCATGCCAGGAGTGACTTGAGAAATTGCAAATCACTTCTAGTGTGAGAGAATTGGCCGTCTGCGAACATGTTGTCCAGGGGATGCCCGGATGTTTTACCATCCTGTGGGAGGCTTCTCTCACTTGAGAAGCTGGAGCTGACAGAAGCTCACCCCACTCTCCAAATTCAAACTGCCGATCTTTCAGTCAGCAGTCCTGCCGTCACAAGGGTTTAACCAATTGCACCACGGCGGGCTCAACAAACATAGTGCCCTGAACCTTTCTGCTCCCATCCATCACATGAATAATGAAGATAGATCAAGTGCTATGTTGTTGGGTGTCTTACAATAAAACATTAGACCCTAATGAATCACAAAGACTATCTTGGTTTCATCTCTGTGTAGAGAATGACAGAGTCCTTAGGCCTGGGAGCTCAGACATGGTCCTCCAGCTGCTGATATATATATAGTTTTGGGAGTGTGCATTAGCAAAAACTTTCTTGGCAGTGCACTGTGATATGAAAGGAAATATGTGAGGGACTAACCGCTTTGCATCAGAAAAAAACATAACATTATGATGGGAAATAAAGACTGTTTGTTCTTTGAGGAATCACCACAGCATTACTGAGCCCAAGATAGAAACAGAAATATACTATCAAAGAATTTGTGTAAGGCCACTCCTAAATACAAGGAAAATAATCTCTGCTGCACGGATCACATAAAACAAATATAGCTAAGTTCAAGAAAATATGGCAAAAAAAATTGGGACATATCTCTGCAGTAAAAAAAAACCTCCCTGCGCTTTGAGTGCATGATAGGTAAAGATTTTCCCTTGACATTAAGTCTAGTCGAGTCCGACTCTGGAAGGTGGTGCTCATCTCCATTTCGAACCTGAAGAGCTTTGATTTGACGTCTCAAAAAATTGGTGCAGCTAGCACACTAGTATTTTTTGTGAGAAAATGCACTCCTTGAAAGCTGAATTAAACCTTGCAAAATGGTAGTGAGCTACTGTTTTCCTAATTGAGCTGGAGATTTGGACATATACTTTTTTCTTGCCTGATCCCCAAAGTGATCCCCAAAACTGGAGAATCTACAACCTT